GTCTGCGCGTGCGTGTGCAGCGTGCAGTCGTACGCCGCCCTGAACCACATGACGTCACACAACCTGGCCATCGTGTTCACTCCGTCGCTCTTCCACACGGAGGGGAAGAGCGGCGCCGAGGGGCTCGTGCTGGAGCACCTCGTCGCCCACTACCCCTCCCTCTTCCACGTGGGTGCCTCACCCCCACGCTCACCCCCACGCTCACCCTCACGCTCACCCCCTCGCTCACCCCCACGCTCACCCCCTCGCTCACCCCCACGCTCACCCCCTCGCTCACCCCCTCGCGCCTGGATGCCGCTCCTCGCTAGCGGCACTTGCTCTTACGGCCGGTGAAGGCTACTCGGGGGACCTTTGCCTTTGTGGGGTGCAGGTGAGCGAGGAGCAGCTCCGGGCCCGGCAGCAGGAGACCGACCTCATCGTGCAGATGACGAGCTCCAGTTGCCTCAGCAAGGTCGCGCCTCTCACCTCCTCACCACCTCCTCACCTCCTCCTCACCTCCTCCTCCTCACCTCCTCCTCCTCCTCACCTCCTCCTCCTCCTCCTCCTCCTCACCTCCTCCTCCTCACCTCCTCCTCCTCACCTCCTCCTCCTCCTCACCTCCTCCTCCTCCTCACCTCCTCCTCACCTCCTCCTCCTCCTCCTCACCTCCTCCTCACCTCCTCCTCACCTCCTCCTCCTCACCTCCTCCTCACCTCCTCCTCCTCCTCCTCACCTCCTCCTCACCTCCTCCTCCTCCTCCTCACCTCCTCCTCCTCCTCACCTCCTCCTCACCTCCTCCTCACCTCCTCCTCCCCCCCTCCTCACCCCCTCCTCACCCCCTCCTCACCCCCTCCTCACCTCCTCCTCACCTCCTCCTCACCACCTCCTCACCTCCTCCTCACCTCCTCCTCACCACCTCCTCACCTCCTCCTCACCACCTCCTCACCTCCTCCTCACCTCCTCACCTCCTCCTCACCTCCTCACCACCTCCTCCTCACCTCCTCCTCACCTCCTCCTCACTCCTCCTCCTCCTCCTCACCTCCTCCTCACCTCCTCCTCACCTCCTCCTCCTCTCCTCCTCACCTCCTCCTCCTCACCTCCTCCTCACCTCCTCCTCCTCCTCACCTCCTCCTCACCTCCTCCTCACCTCCTCACCACCTCCTCCTCACCTCCTCCTCCTCACCTCCTCACCTCCTCCTCACCTCCTCCTCCTCACCTCCTCCTCCTCACCTCCTCCTCACCTCCTCCTCCTCACCTCCTCCTCCTCACCACCTCCTCCTCCTCACCTCCTCCTCCTCCTCACCTCCTCTCACCTCGTGGCCCCTGGGGTCAGCGTCGCTTCGCCAGCGGGTGTCGGACGGCTCGTGTGGGAGACACACCCTGGACGATCGCTGATGATGATGATGATGATCCTGCTGGTGATGATGATGATGATCCTGCTGATGATGATGATGATGATCCTGCTGCTGCTGATGATGATGATGATTATTCTGCTGTTGATGATGATGATTATTCTGCTGTTGATGATGATGATTATTCTGCTGCTGATGATGCTGATGGTGATGATGGGGATGATGATTATTTTGCTGCTGCTGCTGTTCCTGCTGCTGATGATTCTGATGCTGATGATGATGCTAATGGTGATGATCATGATTATTATACTGATGCTGCTGCTGCTGATTAGGATGCTGATGACGGTGTGGTTACAGAAGCGAGCTGGCGACATTATTATTATACTGATGCTGCTGATGATGCTGCTGCTGATGATGCTGATGACGGTGGTGTGTTTACAGGAGCGAGCTGGAAACATGATTATTATACTGCTGATGATGATGCTGCTGATGCTGATGATGATGCTGATGACGGTGGTGTGTTTACTGGAGCGAGCTGGCGACATGATTATTATACTGCTGATGATGATGCTGATGATGATGCTGCTGATGCTGATGATGATGCTGATGACGGTGGTGTGTTTACAGGAGCGAGCTGGCGACATGATTATTATACTGCTGATGATGATGCTGATGATGATGCTGCTGATGCTGATGATGATGCTGATGACGGTGGTGTGTTTACTGGAGCGAGCTGGCGACATGATTATTATACTGCTGATGATGATGCTGATGATGATGCTGCTGATGCTGATGATGATGCTGATGACGGTGGTGTGTTTACAGGAGCGAGCTGGCGACATGATTATCGAGGTTTACCTGCTGCACAAAGACAGCGACAGCTGCCTGAGTCTCCAGGTGACTGACACACAACACACACAACACACACACAGAGCACTCACACACTCACACACACACAGCACACACACAGCACACACACAGCAAACACACAGCAAACACACAGCACACAGACACTCGCACACTGACACACTCACACACAGCACAGCACTGACACGCACACAGCACACCGCACACAGCGCAGACACTCACACACACACTCACACACAGCACACACAGCACACACAGTGCACCACACTCACACACTCACACACACACAGCACACACAGCACACACACAGCACACACACAGCACACACACAGCACACACACAGCACACACACAGCACACAGACACTCACACACTGACACGCTCACACACACACAGCACAGCACTGACACGCACACAGCACACCGCACACAGCACAGACACTCACACACACACTCACACACAGCCCACACAGTGCACCACACTCACACACTCACACACACACAGCACACACAGCACACACACAGCACACACACAGCACACAGCACACTCACACACACACCGCACTGACACACACATGGAGAACTAGATGTGAACTCCCTCGCCTGGTACGCAAGAGGTCGTCGCTTCGATCCCGACCCTGACGCCTGCTGCTGCTGCTGTATATTTGCGCGTGTCTCTCTCCCCGCGGTCGCGTTGAGAATCGAAGTCGCCACGCGTGTCGTGGAGAATTCTGTCCGCTGCTGTGAACGTCCACGCGGCGGCTTCGCCGAGCCGTCATCGGCGGTTGCCGGGGTCGCTACGGACGGAGCCATGGTGGGGCCCTCGCCTGCGAGCATGAGAGATGGTGCAGCCGGGAGAAGCTCGCTCCGCGTGACGCCGTGCCGTGTCGTGCCGCTCCCTCCGCAGGTGTCGGCGGCGATGACGGCGCAGGAGCTCACCGAGGAGGTGCTGGAGATGAGGCCTGGGGCGGAGACGGGGGGGGTGGCGCCCTGGGCCACCTTCGAGGTGATCGCGGGGGGCGAGCTCGGTGAGTCGGGGGGGGGGGGCCGCTCGCACTCGACCCCACGCTCGACCCCGCGCTCGACCCCGCGCTCGACCCCACGCTCGACCCCACGCTCGACCCCGCGCTCGACCCCGCGCTCGACCCCGCGCTCGACCCCACCCTCGACCCCACGCTCGACCCCACGCTCGACCCCACGCTCGACCCCGCGCTCGACCCCACGCTCGACCCCGCGCTCGACCCCACGCTCGACCCCACGCTCGACCCTACGCTCGACCCCACGCTCGACCCCGCGCTCGACCCCACGCTCGACCCCACGCTCGACCCCGCGCTCGACCCCACGCTCGACCCCACGCTCGACCTTACGCTCGACCCCACGCTCGACCCCGCGCTCGACCCCACGCTCGACCCTACGCTCGACCCCGCGTTGCCTCGCAAAAGACAAAGCTCCCCCATGTAGCCTCCGGCAGGCTGTAGGGGCAAGTGCTGCTGGCGAGCGAGACCTGTGAAGGCCGGCACGTGCGGCCGCCTTTGTCTCCCCAGTGGCGATGTTTACTGCACATCGCATCGGGTACCCATTTGAGGCTGAGTCGACCTAGGGGGGCCCAGGACTGGTTCAGATAATCGAACCTGGGTCGTCAGGTTCGTAGCGCAGTGCGATAACCGCTACACTACCGCAGATAGAGAAACACACAGACACAACAACAACCGCCATTTGCCACTAAGTGGTGGTGACGTCACCACGACGTTTGTGCCAGGCCATGTGCACTTTGAGGCCACGTGAAGTGTCGAACGCCCGCTGGCAGGAGGTCACGGGGCAGACCCAGGTGCCACGGGTCGACTGACTGAGATGACCGAGATGACTGGCTGATGCACCACCTGTGCCCCCTACTGTGCCAACTTGCTGTGCTTTAGCCACCCGGCGCTCCGCTCGTTGTTGTGAGCGTCGCTCCTCCGCCCTCCGTTGTTGTTGGAGCCTTGTTAAACCCAGGATGGATCGTAGGCAGGCCAGCCTAAATGTTTCCAACTGGCGAAGATGCTCCATTAGGGGGGTCCACGTTTCGCAAGCGTAGAGAAGGGAGGGAATGACCGTGGCCGAGAAGACCTGAAGCTTCGTGCGGAGCGACAGACCAGGTAGCTTCCACACAGCGTTACGCAACCGATGAAAAGATATTGCGGCTCGACTGATTCGGAGTGAGACCTCTGCTGTTAAACTGGAGCCGGTCATAAGCACACTGCCCAGGTATGGGAAACTCTCCACTCTCTCCACTACTGCCCCATCACCGATTGGGAGTTGTGGGGGTGGAGTGTCCGATGATACAAAATACCCAGGCAGGTGCTTAGTTTTGGTGGGGCTGATGGTAAGGCCCCACCTCTTAGTGGCACACTCCAGTTTCAGCAGATATACACACACACAGACACACACAGATACACACACAGACATACACACAGACAAGGCTGCTGTTGTTGTCATCCTCCAGCATGCCGTGTGTGCGCGAGCGAGCGGGCCACTTTCCACAGCATCCCGTGCGAGCTACCTGGGTGCCCTTTGCCTGTGCCTGCAGAGCGGGCCCTGCACTACCGGCAGCGCGTGCTGGACACGGTGCTGCAGTGGCGCCTCCACGCCGACTTCCAGACGCACTACCTCATCGTGCGGCCTCACCCCGCCGCCAGCGCCATGCAGCACTACCTGGGTACCACTCACCCACTCACCTACTCACTCACCCACTCACCCGCTCACTCACTCACCCACTCACTCACTCACTCACCCACTCACTTACTCACCCACTCACCCACTCATTCACTCACTCACTCACCCACTCACTCACCCACTCACTTACTTACCCACCCCCTCACTCACCCGCTCACCCACCCACCCACCCACTCACCCACCCCCTCACTCATCCTTTCAGCCACCCGCTCACTCACCCACCCGTCCACTCACTCGGTGCGGTTGCGTGAACGTGGTTGTGGTGCGTGTGGTGGTGGTGGTGGTGCAGAGCGGTGCGGTGCGGCGCTGCGCTGGGAGGGGCTGGTGCACTTGCGTGAACGTGGTTGTGGTGCGTGTGGTGGTGGTGGTGGTGGTGCGTGTGGTGGTGGTGGTTGTGGTGCGTGTGGTGGTGGTGGTGGTGGTGCAGAGCGGTGCGGTGCTGCGCTGGGAGGGCCTGGTGCACTTGCGTGAACGTGGTTGTGGTGCGTGTGGTGGTGTTGGTGGTGTTGGTGGTGGTGGTGGTGCAGAGCGGTGCGGTGCGGCGCTGCGCTGGGAGGGGCTGGTGCGCCTGCGGGAGGAGGCCACGCGCCTCGGGGAGCTGCTGCCCGTGTCGCGCTTCCACGAGAAGCTGCTGGTGGTCAGCGCCGGCGTCGCCACCGTGTACCGCGACGCGCGGGTACGCTCACCACCACCACGCTCACCAACACGCTCACCACCACCACGCTCACCACCACCGCAAAGCTCACCAACACGCTCACCGCCACGCTCACCATCACGCTCACCAACACGCTCACCAACACACTCACCGCCACGCTCACCAACACACTCACCGCCACAACGCTCACCACCACGCTCACCAACACGCTCACCAACACGCTCACCAACACGCTCACCACCACGCTCACCAACACGCTCACCGCCACAACGTTCACCAACACGCTCACCAACACGCTCACCAACACACTCATCGCCACAACGCTCACCACCACGCTCACCAACACGCTCACCAACACGCTCACCAACACGCTCACCGCCACAACGTTCACCAACACGCTCACCAACACGCTCACCAACACACTCATCGCCACAACGCTCACCACCACGCTCACCAACACGCTCACCAACACGCTCACCACCACAACGCTCACCAACACGCTCACCAACACGCTCACCAACACACTCACCGTCACGCTCACCGTCACGCTCACCACCACGCTCACCACCACGCTCACCACCACCACGCTCACCACCACGCTCACCACCACGCTCACCACCACCACGCTCACCGCCACAACGCTCACCGCCACAACGCTCACCAACACGCTCACCACCACAACACTCACCACCACGCTCACCACCACACTCACCACCATGCTCACCAACACGCTCACCGACACAACGCTCACCACCACAACACTCACCACCACGCTCACCACCACAACACTCACCGCCACGCTCACCACCACGCTCACCGCCACGCTCACCGCCACAACGCTCACCGCCACAACGCTCACCACCACACTCACCACCACGCTCACCACCACAACACTCACCGCCACCACGCTCACCGCCACGCTCACCGCGATGCTCACCTTGTGGTTGTTGGTCTAGTGGTTGTTGTGGTTGTTGGTATAGTGGTTGTGTTTGTTGGTATAGTGGTTGTGTTTGTTGGTATAGTGGTTGTGGTTGTTGTTGTGGTTGCTGCAGGCAAGCCGGGCTGACAGGGAGTGGGCTGTGTCTTCTCTCACCGTCTACCGCGGAGTTCGCAAGAAGCTGAGACCCCCCACTGAGTGAGCCCCTCCCCCCTCACCCCCCTTACCCCTCCCCCTCACCCCCCTTACCCCCACCCTCGCCCCCCTTACCCCCACCCCTCGCCCCCCTTACCCCCACCCTCGCCCCCCTTACCCCCTCTCTCACCCCCCCTTATCCCCCTACCTCACCCCCCCCTTACCCCCCCTCTCACCCCCCTTACCCCCCCCCCTCTCACCCCCCTTACCCCCCCCCTCTCACCCCCCTTACCCCCACCCCTCTCACCCCCCTTACCCCCACCCCTGATCCCCCTTCCCAACCCCCCCTCCTCCCCTCGTCCCCTCCACCCCTTCTCCCAATTACCCAGGTAGCCCCGCCCACTACTCGGGTAGCCCCGCCCACTACTCGGGTAGCCCCGCCCATTACCCAGGTAGCCCCGCCCACTACTCGGGTAGCCCCGCCCACGAATTGGTGAGCGATTTAGTTCCTGGGTGAGCGGGTGGGTGACCTCTGCATGTGTCTGGCAGGTTTGGTGTGACCGTGTTCCATGGGCGCCAGCAGTGGTAAGTAACCCTGCACTTCTCACCACACTCACCACACTCGCCACACTCGCCACACTCGCCACTCACCACACTCACCACACTCGCCACACTCGCTGAGCTGGTGTGAGTTAGTGGGTGGCTAAGTGAGTGGGTGTGAGAGTGAGTGAGTGACTGAGTGAGTTAGTGGGTGACTGAGTGAGTGGGTGTGAGAGTGAGTGAGTGACTGAGTGAGTTAGTGGGTGGCTAAGTGAGTGGGTGTGAGAGTGAGTTAGTGACTGAGTGAGTTAGTGGGTGACTGAGTGAGTGGGTGTGAGGGTGAGTGCTTGAATGTGTCAGTGTGAGAGTGAGTGGGTGAGTGAGTGAGTTAGTGGCTGAGTGAGTGAGTGTGTCAGAGTGAGAGTGAGTGAGTGGGTGTGCGAGTGAGTGGCTGACTGAGTGAGTGGGTGTGAGAGTGAGTGCTTGAGTGTGTCAGTGTGAGTGGGTGAGTGAGTGACTGAGTGGGTGTCTGAGTGAGTGAGTGGGTGTGAGAGTGAGTGACTGAGTGAGTTAGTGGGTGGCTGACTGAGTGAGTGGGTGTGAGAGTGAGTGCTTGAGTGTGTCAGTGTGAGAGTGAGTGGGTGAGTGACTGAGTGGGTGGCTGAGTGAGTGAGTGGGTGTGAGAGTGAGTGAGTGACTGAGTGAGTTAGTGGGTGACTGAGTGAGTGGGTGTGAGAGTGAGTGCTTGAATGTGTCAGTGTGAGAGTGAGTGGGTGAGTGAGTGAGTGGGTGTGAGAGTGAGTGAGTGACTGAGTGAGTTAGTGGGTGACTGAGTGAGTGGGTGTGAGAGTGAGTGCTTGAATGTGTCAGTGTGAGAGTGAGTGGGTGAGTGAGTTAGTGGGTGGCTGAGTGAGTGAGTGGGTGTGAGAGTGAGTGCTTGCACCCAGCCTGGCACGAGTGCCGTGCTGACATCACCGCCGACTTAGTGGCGAATGATGGCTGTTGTCGTTGTTGTTGACGATGTCGGTGGCCGTTGCTGTCGTTGTTGTTGTTGTCCTGCCCAGGTATCTGTGCTTTGACAATGAGGCGGACTGCCTTCACTGGCACGCGAGCATCTTGCACACGCAGGTGAGCCGCCCCCACGTTGCTACCCAGGCGACTTCCGCGGGGGTCACCGTGGGGGTCACCGCGGGGGTCACCGCGGGGGTCACCACGGGGGTCACCGCGGGGGTCACCGTGGGGGTCACCGTGGGTGTCACCGCGGGGGTCACCACGGGGGTCACCGTGGGGGTCACCGTGGGGGTCACCGTGGGTGTCACCGCGGGGGTCACCGCGGGGTTTACAGCGGGGTTCACAGCGGGGGTCATTGCGGGGGTCACCGCGGGGGTCACCGCGTGCCGTGTGTGTCCGCACGTTGCGTAGCCTCATGGCACAACGGGACCCGCATCCGACGTTTTCACTGCCACCGAATCGTATTTACGCCGGACGAATCTGATGAGCTATGAAGCTCTTGACCACAGACGTCCAGCCCTGGCCCCCCCTCTCCCCCCCCGATAAAAAAAATAATTTCCGCCAATGTGAGCCTGGCTCTGCCGACAAGACGCCGAACATCCTTACCTTCCGCCGCCATGCCACCCCCCCTCCCACCCCACTCCCCCCACTCTCCCCCCCACTCTGCCCCCCACTCTGCCCCCCACTCTAGCACGACGGGGACCTGTGGGGGGCGGCGCGGGCAGCGGGGGGAGCGGCGGGGCGGGGGGCCGCCGTGCGCCGCGTGGGCAAGCGCTCGCTCGTGCCGCTCCGCGGGGAGCAGAGCGAGATCCGGCGCAGCCTCGCGGCACTCAGCGCCGCCGCCAGCGCCGCCATCGCCAGCCCGGTGAGGAGCACCGCTCGCTCGCTCGCTGACATGCTCGCTCACAAGTTCACTCCTCGCTCGCTCACGCGTTCACTCACTCGCTCGTTCACCTGCTCGCTCACTCACTGGCTCGCTTGCTCATATGTTCATTCACTCACTCCTCGCCCGCTCACTCGCTCGCTCGCTCGCTCACCCACTCGCTCATTCCCTCGCTCGCACGTTCACTCACTCACTCCTCATCCGCTCACTGCCTCACTCCCTCGCTCATTCACTCACTCATTCCTCATCCGCTCACTCCCTCGCTCGCTCGCTCACTCACTCACTCCTCACCCGCTCACTCACTCCCTCGCTCGCTCACTCACTCACTCGCACCTCACCCCCCTCCTCCTAACCCCCTCCCCTCACCTGCTTCCACACCCCCTTCCTGCCGTCCCACCAGGAGGCGTGAAGACCACGATGCAGACCCCTGGATCCCTGGACTCACTCCCTCCGCCCTGGATCTCAATCGCTCAACCTGCGTCTTATCCAACTCGTGGACATTTAAAAAATCGCCAAGTGAACCTCAGAAATACTTTATAAAAAAAAGTTTTAAAAAAACTCAAAACGGGGCCACACGGCCCCAGTATTGCAGAGCTGCCCCGATTTTCCTGGGGCCTGTTTTGAAAAAAAACGAAAACCACTTTTTATTTCACGCAACTGAGCTAAACAGCTCGTTTCCAGAAGGGCTATCACAAACGACGGCGAAACGAAGGGACGTATCGTGTGGAAATGTATAAACAGCAGCCAAATCCTCTGAGATGCGTTACGTCGATTGTCAATGTGGAGGGGAAAACCGTAGGAACCGGAGAAAAATCCACGTGACCACGGAGAGAGAGACACGAAAACTCCAAATATACAGCAGCAGGCGTCAGGGTCGGGATCGAACCCACGACCTCCTGTAGACCAGGCGAGGTAGTCAACATCTCACCACGGAGAGAGAGACACGCAAACTCCAAATATACAGCAGGCGTCAGGGTCGGGGTCGTACCCACGACCTCCTGTAGACCAGGCGAGGTAGTTAACATTTCCTAGCCACGGTGCGGGCCCACGGTCACGGACCGGTGGTGCGCATTCTCACTTAGGTCAACTTCGGGCGCGGCGTTAAAAAACATTTTTTTGTAACTATTTTATTTTAACTTTTTTTTTGCACAGCCGCCGAAAAAGTTTCGTTGTCGCGTAAAACGGAGAGATGGAGCAGCAATTGGCAGCGGAGAGTGGGATGATGATGGGGGGGGGGGGGGGGTCCAAGACTGGGCATTTGTGAAAAAGCGCTTCATAGCTCATCGGATTTCTCCAGCGTAAAACTTGTCCTCGGCACAGGAATGTGCCCCCCGTGGGGGAACGGAGACCCCACAAAGGTAAAGATCCCCCGTGTAGCCTTCAACAGGCTGTCGGCACGGGGGACGGCGTTGGGGGCGATATCGCCACCGCGCCGGCTGGACTCGTGTGGAGCGGAACAACGCGGAGGGAGAGAGATGTTTACATTTGCGTTCAAACTTTAGCGGCACCGCGGAGTCGAGAGGGGTGTGGGGGGGGGGGCCGGTCAGAGGCGTGCGGTCTCCCCCCTTCCACGGCACTCCACTTAAACTCTGGGGCCTCGGTGCTGCGGTGATTTCCAAGAGAGGCCGGGGAAAACGGTGGCTTTTTTTGTGCGGCCGCGTTTTGAAAATAAAACACCCAGGTGGAATTATACCCCCTCCCCCCGTGCGTGGTGCGGCGTTTGTTTGGAGAGAGTTGGGGGAGGAGGGAGGTCTCGCGGCGAGTCGGGGGTGGAATTATCTTTTCATTGGCTGCGTAACGCTGTGTGGAAGCTGCCCGGTCAGCGGCCTGTCGCTCCACACGAAGCTACGGCTCTTCTCGGCCACGGTTATGACTTCCCTTTTTCTACGCTTGCAAAACGTGGGGGACCCCCTTTAAAAGGAAACATTTAGGCAGGGAAGTCATGTACTGTATACTCAACTTCGCACAATTCTGAGTCACTAATAACTGCTTTGCCGTTACTTTTTGCCAATTATGGACTCGGACTATTTTCCTATCATCTCATAGTCCCTGGCACGTCATAATATGCTACACAGTGGCAGTGGGGGTCGCAAAATGCCGATTTATGACTAATAAACCCCAATGATCCGATCGAAATCAGGGATTTTGATCACCACCACGCGCACAAGGCCAATTCGCGACTCCTTACAGCGCGCAGGCCCGAGTCTAAAACCCCTCTCTCGTCAGGTTCCAATCACGGGTTGATAGCGAACCCGTCTCACACAGTGTCCCCGACAAAGCGCTGAGGCCCCCTATGGGCGGTGAGCCACCAGGCCCACTACGAGGCACACGGGGGGGGGGGGGGAGGGGGCTCCCCCATTGCTTGCACACTCACAACTCCATTCACACAAAGCACGAGAAGGACGTTGTTCACTTTCGGCGTACTTTTATTGAACGAAGAATGTGTTTTACACGAATCGCCGGCAATGTTTGAAAACCTGTGGTGGGGGGGGGGGTGTGTGGTGGTGTTCAAGTGCGACGACGCCACTGGTGTCGCCCTTAAATTCGTAAAACTTAAATCTGACAGCTAACTAAAGCAAGGGCGCTGTATTTACACCTCGACACGACTCGTAAGTCACCGGTACACACAGCGCACGCGTTCCGCAACGACCACATCCTCGCTGGGTTTGTCTCCCTCCCATCCCACGTTCACCGGCGATCGCCAAGGACGCCATTCTGTCAAATCGCTCCCAAAGGTTCGCCTCGAAACGCCTCGGGAGGGGGTCTGAGCCGCGTCTATTCGCGCACTCGCCACAAACCACGTAGCCGCGTGCACACAGAACGCGATAACCAAACGCTTAAAACGCGCACACACGGAGGGGGGGCAGAAAGTCGGCATTTTAGCAAATCATTTTTAAAATTCCATTAAAGCATCTTGAGAAACACGACAACAAAAAATTTCGCAGCTTCAATTTTGGCTAAATTACTTCATGAGCCGTCACGGACGAAAGGGGGGGTGGGGGGGGGGGTTAGCGCTGCGTGTTCAGTCGAGCGGACGAATGAACCGATCCCCCTGCAAGCCACACTGGGGGGAAGGGGGGGGTCACAGCCACAACAAAGAAGCTACCAGCAGGCGAATTCGCCACCCACTCGCTCGTGCCCACCCGGGCCGACAATTGGGCGCTCACACCAGGCGGTTATCAAAAATATCTTTATTCTCAGAACGGTAATAATAATTTACAGATTTCTGCCGCATATACACATGTATACAAGTCGTCGCGCGGGGTGGGGGGTTGGGGGGGGGGGAAAGGAGTCTGCCCGCTCACAGAAATGAACTCCCCAACGTGCCTCGAATTCTCCCCGATCGCTTGGCAAGGATTTCGCGACCTGCAGTGCAAAGTTGCCCAAGTCGCGGGAAGTTGTTCAGCAAGGGGGGGGGGGGGGGGGAGGGGGCTACGTTCCCGAGAGATGGGATGGGTTTCATCCCTTCTCGGTGAGTTAACGAAAGAAAATGTATTCTTAAGACCGAGATGGCGGTTCAAGTAAAGTGCGCCGTACGCGCACATGAGGCAGCCGCGTCACGCACTGCCACGCAAACGGACGTCCTCCTGCGGGCCCGAAAGAAACCCCAAAGCAGCAGCGGCCTCGGCAAGACTTGCGTGCGTTTGGTGGGTCCGACTCACTCTTTTGAGACATTTCTTTTGAGGAGAAAAAAATAAAAACCGCGCCGATAAACAGATCGCAAGCGGGCATGAGGATAGCGGCCGACCACCGCTTTTCACCCGCCTCGCATTTTTAATTCGATGGCCCTCACAGCACACGGCGGCGGCAGCAGCGGGCCTGGCACGTCAAACGCAACGCCGCAATGTTCACTCCATCTCCATTTTGACCTGCACGTCGGCGGGTCGCACCGACACCTCGGTGCCGCCCGGCGGCGAGGGAGAAGCGGTGGCGGCGGTGGCGGTACCGGCGGTGGTACTGGCAGCGGTAACAGCAGCGTTACCGGCAGCTTCCGCGGCGTCGGCGGGCCGTTCGCCCGCCCGGTCGGAGCCCCCGTCGGCGCCGTCCGGCGCGGAGACGGCGTCTCCGCCGGCTTCCACCGCGACCCCGGTCGGACGGCTCTCCCGCGACGGCGCAGCGTCCTGCGGAGCCGAGTCTGACGGGGAGATTTCCAGCGAGCTGCCCAGCGCCGAGTCCTGGGAGCCGCACGCGACCAACGACGCCGAATGGACGGCGTCGGCGGCGCCATCGTTGTCAACAACGCCGGGTTCGCGAGCGTCGCTCAGTGCGCACTCGAGCGGGTTCTCCTGCATGGAGGTCGTGGGAGTCGGAGTGAGGTCAAATGACGACTGGGGGGGGAAGGGAGGGCGGACACGGAAGGTGGACAGGGAGGGGGAGGGTCACCGATGCACATCACTCCCCAACGCACAACAAAATAAATCTCACATTGACCAAAACGCAAAACTAAGCTCTCTAAACTGTCCACGTGTGGGTGGGTGTGTCTACACGGTGTGGTCCGTGGAGAGTTTGAGCGGGGAGTGTGTGGTGGGGTGTGTGTGGTGGGGTGTGTGTGGTGGGGTGGTGTGTGTGGGGTGTGGTGTGTGTGGTGGGGTGGTGTGTGTGGGGTGTGTGTGGTGTGTGTGATGTGTGAGTGTGTGGTATGTGTGTGGTGGGTGTGTGGTGGTGTGTGTGTGTGCAATGGAAACGCCCCAATAGGCAGGGCGGGGCGAGGTGGGTGTACTCACATCCTTGTGGTCTTCGTAGCACGTCGGGTGGAACGTCTGCAACACGAGAGACGGGGGGGGGGGGGAGTCAGGGTGATTCGGGCATCACTCGCGCGCCTCGCGTTCGTTTACGATCAGCGCGATGGCGCACAGTTTCACGGCGCGTGCGCCTTGACCGATCACTCGTATGCCCTTTCAATTCACAGGCGCTCGCTACCAGCACTAACAGTCTGTGAAGGTTACACCGCGGGAGCTCTGTTTTTGTGTGCGAGCGTGCGTTGACCCATCGGGCACCGCCAACTCACCCGGCTGTCCACCCTGACGGCGTTCTTCAGGTGCCACTCCTCCTCGTCCTCGTCCCAGTACTGCTCAAACTGCTCACGGCAGATCTCGCACAGCTGGAAAGTCACGCACGCACGCAAGCAAGCACACACGCAGAGGACCAGCCCCTTTAGTCTCGGAGCACGCAACAGCGACTACGCCGCCGCATGGTGAACGACGGCGATGAACAACAGACGAACGGCATGCAACGACGACGACCGACGATGACCCCCCCCTCCCCGCCCTCCGCCCTCGCGAGCGCCTGCGCACCTCTTCGACGCCGGCGGGCCCGGCGGGCACGCTCAGGAACTCCTTCTCTCGCGTGGCCTCCTGCGTCTTGAGGACCACCTCCTCCTGCACCTGCTCGAAGAACTGGCTCTTGGCCCGCTCCTCCAGATCGGCGATCTCCTCAAACTCGATCCAGTCCTGCGGCGACGGCGGCGCAAACGACGGAAGGTCAAGGGTTGTTGGACAGAGCTCCGAGCAAACGAGTTTGACATCCGATTAGTGCGGTTGTGCCAGGCCAGGTGCGCTTTTTTGCGTGTTTAGTTTGTCGTCCTTTCCATTTAGCGAGGTTGGGTAGGTTACGGTGCGAAAGAAGTTTAACGTACACATATACATAGCACGGCTGGCTACGTACGGTGTGAAAGAAGTGCAACGTACATATGTAATGACAAGAGCCGGCTTGCGGTGTGAGGGGACTCGTGGCCACGGGAGGAAATGACGGAAGTCAGCCTACAGTACGAATGCACTAGTGGCCACGGGAAGTAATGACGGGGGTGTGACGGGGGTGTCAGTTGTGAGTGTGAAGGGACTGGTGGCCACGGGAGGTAATGACAGGGGAGTCAGCTGTGAGTGTGAAGGGACTGGTGGCTACGGGAGGTAATGACAGGGGAGTCAGTAGTGAGAACGAAGGGACTGGTGGCCACGGGAGGTAATGACAGGGGAGTCAGTAGTGAGTGCGAAGGGACTGGTGGCTATGGGAGGTAATAACAGTGGAGTCGGTTGTGAGTGTGAAGGGACTGGTGGCTACGGGAGGTAATGACAGGGGAGTCAGTTGTGAGTGTGAAGGGACTGGTGGCTACGGGAGGTAATGACAGGGGAGTCAGTAGTGAGTACGTAGGGACTGGTGGCTATGGGAGGTAATGACAGGGGAGTCAGCTGTGAGTGCGAAGGGACTGGTGGCCACGGGAGGTAATGACAGGGGAGTCAGTTGTGAGTGTGAAGGGACTGGTGGCCACGGGAGGTAATGACAGGGGAGTCAGCTGTGAGTGTGAAGGGACTGGTGGCTACGGGAGGTAATGACAGGGGAGTCAGTAGTGAGTACGTAGGGACTGGTGGCTATGGGAGGTAATGACAGGGGAGTCAGCTGTGAGTGCGAAGGGACTGGTGGCCACGGGAGGTAATAACAGGGGAGTCGGTTGTGAGTGTGAAGGGACTGGTGGCCATGGGAGGTAATGACAGGGGAGTCAGTTGTGAGTGTGAAGGGACTGGTGGCCACAGGAGGTAATGACAGGGGAGTCAGCTGTGAGTGTGAAGGGACTGGTGGCCACGGGAATGTTCGAGAAGGGAGCGTGGTCAGGCGACGGAATTAGACGGTGGAGTCTGCCGGTGGAGCGAGCGTCCAGAGTCGGCGAGAATGATCGAGCAGGGGGGCGTGGCCTCGTGTCGGTATAAAAGGGAGATGCGACGGAGACCTCCTGTATACCATGCGAGGTAGTTAACATCTCACCATGGGGAAGAGAGAGAGAGACACGCAAACTCCAAATATACAGCGGGCCTCAGCAGGGTCGGGATCGAACCCACAACCTCCTGCATACCAGGGGAGGTAGTTATCGTCTCCGAGCCACCGAGCGATTCAGCGAGCGCCGCTTACCACGAGCGAGTAGTACCAGCGGCGGTGGGTGACCTTCTTGCTCAGGTCCTTGTCCATGCGGTTCATGCGGTAGTGCCAGTCGAGGTGGTCGGCGTAGACGTCCGTCTGGCGCGCCGTGAAGCGCATGCCGCACGAGTAGCACTGGATGCCCGAGTAAAGGCGCTGCACCACCCCGTCGTAGCGCCTTCGCGCACACACGCACGCAACCGGATTAATACGCACACACTCGCGTATACTTGAACACACACGCACGCAACCGGATTAATACGCACACACTCGCGTATACTTAAACACACACGCACGCAACCAGATTAATACGCACACACTCACGTATACTTAAACACACACACATGCACGCAACCGGATTAATACGCACACACACACTCACGTATACTTAAACACACACACGCAAGACATCCTCGCAGCGCGTACTTTCAGATGCGCTTCCTTCCGATATTAGGGAGCCACTGGGAGCTGTCCACATTGAAATAATCGTTGAGATTAACAAACTCATTTCTTTAGAAATACTTTTTTGTGTTTTACTTTGTTATCCTTCCGCACCTCCAATTAGCACGGTTGGCAACGTACGGTGCGAAAGAACTTCAACATACATACATATGCGCGCACACACACACACACTTTTCAGAATAATTAAAATATCAGTAGAAATAAGATCGGCAAACCTACTTGCTATACCCGCCACACAGTGGGTCACCATCCAACATTGCCGAGTGAGCGACCACCACACCTAGGAGATGTTGACTACCTCGCCTGGTCTACAGGAGGTCGTGGGTTCGATCCCGACCCTGATGACGCCCTGCTGTATATTTGGAGTTTGCGTGTCTCTCTCTCCGTGGTGAGATGTTAACTACCTCGCCTGGTCTACACGAGGTCGTGGGTTCGATCCCGACCCTGATGACGCCTGCTGTATATTTGGAGTTTGCGTGTCTCTATCCCCGTGATCGCGTGTGGATTTTTTCTCCGGGTCCTCCGTTTTTTTCCCCTCCACATTTAGAATCAACGTCACGCGTTTGGCTGTTGATATAGATATCCACGTGATAATGATAAACCCCTACGTTGCGCTATCATGTGTCGCTAGGTCGCATCTGGGGCAAAATAAACTTGCTCGATGGTTTTAACGACGCGACGCTGCTCACTGTTTGAGGTCTTCGATGGCGAAGCCGGAGAGGTCCGGCATGTCGACATCGTCGTCCTCCTCCTCCTCCTCGTCCACCTCCTCATCCTCTTTCGAGGCCTCCTCTGCTTTCTTGGCCGCCCCCTCCGTCACCCGAGCGTTGCTCTCGTTGCGAGCGTCGTCTGCGGCGAGAGGGAGAAACGAGCGGAACGGGGTCAGAGAAACAAGCGCAGTGGGGTCAGAGGGCGAGAGGTGACCGGGCTGCTCGGAAGTGACCTCGCGGCGAGAGGGAAAAACGAGCGGAACGGGGTCAGAGAAACAAGCGCAGTGGGGTCAGAGGGCGAGAGGTGACCGGGCTGCTCGGAGGTGACCTCGCGGCGAGAGGGAAAAACGAGCGGAACGGGGTCAGAGAAACAAGCGCAGTGGGGTCAGAGGGCGAGAGGTGACCGGGCTGCTCGGAGGTGACCTCGCGGCGAGAGGGAGAAACGAGCGGAACGGGGTCAGAGAAACAAGTGCAGTGGGGTCAGAGGGCGAGAGGTGACCGGGCTGCTCGGAGGTGACCTCGCGGCGAGAGGGAAAAACGAGCGGAACGGGGTCAGAGAAACAAGCGCAGTGGGGTCAGAGGGTGAGAGGTGACCGGGCTGCTCGGAGGTGACCTCGCGGCGAGAGGGAGAAACGAGCGGAACGGGGTCAGAGAAACAAGTGCAGTGGGGTCAGAGGGCGAGAGGTGGCCGGGCTGCTCGGAGGTGACCTCGCGGCGAGCCGCCGGACACTGCCAAGAACCTGGGTTCGAATCTGGGTCTCGGTCGCTCGTCGATAAACTGCGTCGATCGATCATCTCAGAATGGTCATCGATGAGCGCGCAAGAACACCACCGGCACGGTTCGCCCGGGCTTTGCAAATCAACTGTGCTGCTGCATGCCGGTCGTGAAAATGTAAACTATCGGTTTGACCGCCACACGACGGAAGATTTACTGTCTGTGGCAGAGCGGGAGGAGGAGAAGTTGTGCCCCCACCTCCCCCCGCCCTGAGTGGACGACAGGTCAAGCGGAACACATCACTAGAAGCAGTCCCGCGCTATCCGCACTTCGTCTCACAACGGACAGCGACCCCGCCGGTTAAGGCGGGGGGGGGGGGGGAGGAAAAAAAACAGACCATCGCGGAGATCGCGGGGAGGGGGGGGGCGTACAAACGACGAGGGGTGTGGGGGTTCTCCTTCTCCACTCACCGGCGGTGCCGGGGGTCGTCGTCGTCTGGACTTGCAGGATTCCCGAGGCCACGAGCTTCGAGAACAGCGAGTTCACGTCCACCTGGCCGATGTGGTTGTCCGATCCCATCAGCCCCATCGCTGCCACACGCACACAGACAGACAAACACATGCAAACACGCAAACACACACACACACGCGCGCACAAGCAACGTCGTCAGCCGCCGTTTGCCACCAGGTGGTGGCGACGTCACCGCAGCACTAGATGCTAGTGGCGGTGAGTGGTCGTAGTAGTGGTAGTGAGTAGTATTGATGATCGGTGGCGAGTAGTGGCGGTGAGTGGTGGTGAGTGGTCGCGAGTAGCAGTAAGTGGTCGTAGTAGTGGTGGCGAGTGGTACTGGTGAGTGGTGGCGAGTCGCGGTGAGTGGTGGTGAGTGGTGGTGGTGAGTGGTGGTGGCGAGTGGTGGTGGCGAGTGGTGGTGGCGAGTGGTGGTGGCGAGTGGTACTGGTGAGTGGTGGCGAGTATCAGTGGTAGTGGTGAGTGGCATTGGCGAGAAGCAGCGAGTGGTGGTGGTGGCGAGTGGCATTGATGAGTGGCGGTGAGTGGTGAATGGTAGTGGTGGTGAGTGGTCGTGGTGGCGAGTGGCATTGATGAGTGGCGGTGAGTGGTAGTAAGTGGTCGTGGTAGCGAGTGGCATTGGTGAGTAGCGGCGAGTGATAATGGTGAGCGGTAGCGTTGGGGAATTGGGGAAGAAAGCAGCCACTCACACATGCGATGCTGGTGCTGCATGAGCTGCTGCTGGTGCTGCTGCTGCATGGGCCCGCGGATCATGGCGCCGTGCTGCAGGGCCTGGGACATCATGGCCACCTGCACCTGGGAGGCCGGCATGAACGGCTGGCCCGCCCCAGGGCCAAAGTGCGGCCGGGGTCCCATGCCCATGAGCTGCGGAGAGAGGAGGTAGAACGCCTTAGCTCAGTGGTTCTTATCAACCTGGGTGCATCACGGCATCATCCCCTGGGGGTGTGGCGATACGTGGCCGGAATTTTGTTCCAAGGTAAATCACCGAAACGCAAATTTAGCACGGGCACGTAAGTAACGACTACTTTAAATTTCGATTTAAAGCTTTCGTGACTGCAGGGATTCATCTTCTTGGTTATTTCGGTAAAGTCACGTAGAAGGGAAGTAATAAAATAATAAAAATAAAACATACTAAAATAATTATCACGATGTTTCGGCCAAAACGCAGATATGCAAATTCTTTTGTCAAGGTGCACTTCCCCCCTTCCAACCCAGCTTAAATAGACGCTCCAAGCCTGGTGGTGTTTCATTCAGACGCTGTCTCCCCGAGAGACCTGGTCTTCACCTGAGGACGGCTGCTTGCGTTGTGGCCGAAACATCGTGAGAATTATTTTATTATGTTTTATTTTTATTATTTTATTACTTCCCTTCTACGTGACTTTACCAAAAGAACCAATAAAACGACTACTTTGTTTCCTTAAACCCTATGTATTTATTAACACTATTACTTTTTTTAACGATTAAGTACCAAAGGGGCGTGCAAGCCTGCATTAAAGGTTAAGAGAAACCACTGCCTTAAGATGCTTCTGCAGAGCGCTGCTGGCAAGCCACGCACGCAACGCCACACGCACACAACGCCACACACGCACTAACGCCACACACGCACTCACGCCACACGCACTAACGCCACACTTACGCAACGCCACACTTACGCAACGCCACACGCACGCAACGCCACACGCACGCAACGCCACACGCACGCAACGCCACACGCGCTCACCTGCTGGCCGTGCTGAGGAATGCCCATGCCGAGGTTGCCCATGTGGTGGTCGTTGGGCCCCATCGCCATTCCCTGGAGGTGGGAACCCGGCGGGAATCCAAAGGGGCCCGTCTGGTGGCCCGGCTGCTGCGTCACGAACTGCGGCCCGCCGTCAAAGCGCTGCCCCCCGTGCGGCCCCTCAAACGCGGCCTGTTGTTGACGCTGCTGCTGCTGCTGCTGCCCGCCAAACTGAGCCCCGGCGCCGCCCGGGCCGTCGAACCGAGGAACCGAAGGCCCATCGAATCGTGGCCCCGGATGAGACTGCGGCCCCTCAAAGTGCAGCATGCGAGGCCCCTCGAAGCGGTGCCCTTCGAATCGGACGCCCTGCGGCCCTTCAAATCGGGGCACTTGCGGCCCGTCAAACCGCACACCCTGGGGCCCGTCGAACCTGGGGCCCTGGGGTCCCTCGAAACGCATGCCCTGCGGGCCGTCGAATCGCATGCCCTGGGGTCCCTCAAAACGCATGCCCTGCGGGCCGTCGAACCTGGGACCCTGGGGTCCGTCGAATCGCATGCCCTGGGGTCCCTCGAAACGCACGCCCTGAGGCCCATCGAACCTGGGGCCCTGGGGTCCGTCGAATCGCATGCCCTGCGGGCCGTCGAACCTGGGACCCTGTGGGCCGTCGAAACGCACACCCTGAGGCCCATCGAACCTGGGGCCCTGGGGTCCGTCGAATCGCATGCCCTGGGGGCCGTCAAATCTGGGACCCTGGGGGCCTTCGAACCTGGGACCCTGTGGGCCTTCGAACCTGGGACCCTGGGGGCCGTCGAACCTGGGACCCTGTGGGCCGTCGAACCTGGGACCCTGTGGGCCGTCGAACCTGGGACCCTGTGGGCCGTCGAACCTGGGACCCTGTGGGCCGTCAAATCTGGGACCCTGTGGGCCATCAAATCTGGGACCCTGTGGGCCGTCAAATCTGGGTCCTTGCGGCCCATCGAATCTGGGTCCTCCCTGCGGCCCATCGAATCTGTGTCCGCCCTGCGGCCCGTCGAATCTGTGTCCGCCCTGCGGCCCGTCGAATCTGTGTCCGCCCTGTGGCCCATCGAATCTCGGTCCTCCCTGCGGCCCGTCAAACCGGGACCCTTGCGGCCCGTCAAAGTTTGGCCCATCCAAGGCGGGCCCGTCGAACCTCTGGCCCCCGTCGAACACGGGCCCCTGGGGTCCGTCGAACCTCGAGCCGGGCCTATCGGGGAACCTGCCGAGGGGGGGGCCGTCGGCGAACCTCTCCGGGGGCCCGTCGGAAAATCTGTCGACGGGACCGTCGGGCCGGCCGGGCGGGTGAGGGGGCCCGTCAAAGCGGCGTGGAGGGAGTTCGTCGTCGCGCTGAGGGCTGCGCGGTTCGTCGCGCCACCACCCGGGGGGGTCGTTGTCTTTGTTGTTGCTGCTGCTGTTGTTGTTGAAGCCGCCGCCGCCGGCCCCGCCACGTTGGCCGAACCCGTCGGCGCCGTCGAAGGGGCGGCCGTGCGGAGAGGCGTAGGGGGCGTCCACCGCTGGCGAGGGGTCGCGCGAGCGCCGTGCCCGCAGTTCCTCCACGCCGGGGCCTGACGCGAAACAAAGGACGTTCAAGCGAGCCGGCGATTCCCTGCGGCTCCGTGAGCCTCGCCACGTTACCTCGGTGATAGAACACCGCGTCCGCTGCCTGCGTGGCATCAACCCTGAGGAGACCGGGGCTCACTATCGTTATCGCAGGCAGTCCACCGCGACTTACGGGCGCCCGACTATTTTGCACATCCGCACTTGCGAACCGCGGAAATATTTTATCCAGCGGAGCAATCCTCCGAGAGAAGTAGTGCGTGTAAAAGCTAGCGTGCGTGAATCGACTAAAACTCAAGAGAAAATATAGGTTGTTTTAGGTTAGACCGTGTAAATATAGAAATGTGTTGTTAAACCCGCCACCACCCGATACTGCCAATTGATAAGGTTTGTCACGGAAACAGAACGTACCAATTCGTTACTAGTGTAGTAGGTTCCAGGAGACTTGGACGACGTAGTTGGAGGCACACTTATTTATTAAGCACAAAGTACATAACAGGCCGAGATGTACAACACTTGAAGGGGTATCGGCCCCTTCACCCGTCTAACTGGGAGATCCACACTCTGTCACAGCTAGCCTACTCCTAGGTCCTCCACTACCGGGCTAGGGGAGGCTAGCTAACCCAGCCCTGGTTAAGCTGGGATTACGGCACCCTGAGTCCCCAGACCGGCTCTTACAAGAGCATCGGCTCTGGACTCTCGGGGCCACGCCACTGGCTTGCCCTGGTCGGTCCTGAGAAGGACAGCGAGCCAGGGGAGTCCCAGGGCCTATCTAGCCGGTCTTCTTGCTTCACTGGTTAAGGCTGAACACTGAACCCCGAGCCCTCCGGCTCACCGCCTTATATAGCAACTCCCCCACTGAGGGGTGGGGCCGTGGGGGATCCCAGCTCCGTGTCAGCCCCCCAGGCTGAAAGGTGCGGACATCGATGTAAGCGCCTCTCGGCGTACGGGGATAACCATGCCCAGTGTGTTTGTTAAGCCCTCCGTAACACCTCTACACTAGTACAGCACTACACCGGTGTGTTGGAGAGCAAAGCCACAACATTTACAATCTGGGTGTGTGCGGCAGTGTGTGTCTGGGTGTGTGCGCGTCTGGGTGTGTGTCTGGGTGTGTGCGTCGGTGTGTCTGGGTGTGTGTCTGGGTGTGTGCGTGTGTCTGGGTGTGTGCGTGTGTCTGGGTGTGTGCGTGTGTCTGGGTGTGTGTCTTGGTGTCTGTGTGTGTGTCTGTGTGCGCGTCTGGGTGTCCCACTCACCGGGAAGCTTCTCAAACTTGCCTCTGCGCTCCCCAACCTCCCGCGGAGGAACCCAGTGCTCGGGGGGGGTTCCCACTCTCCTGGGCCCCCCACCCCACTCGCCACGCTGCCCCCCCCTCACACGCGGAGGCTCGGGACCCTGGGGACCGGCGCTGCCCTCCCTGGGCAGCTCCACTCGCTGCTGGCGCCACACACACACACGCGCGCACACACAACGCGATTGTCATTTCAGCCGACGACGCTGCCGCAACCGTAACGGTAATTAACCACAATTTTGACCGACAAAAAGATCCCCCCAGCCGACACATCCCCCCCCCCACCTCCGCCACCCTGACAACCGCAAGACGCCGTTACGCACCTCCCGGCGCGCCCTGCTGCCTTCGTCGGCCGGCCCTCGCTCCTCGTCCTCCCTCTTCACCGCGGCTTCGTCCGCGCCAGCGGCAGCCGCGGCCACGGCCGTCGACGCGCCGCCGGCCACGGCGGTGGCGGCCGCAGGAGCGGCGGCGGCGGTCGCGGCAACGGGAACGGGGGGCGGCGGAGGCGGCTGGGGTCCCCCCCTCCGCAGGTTCGGCGATGGTCCCAGCAGCGGAGGCCTCCGCCCCAGCGTCGGAGTCATCAGCAGGGGCTTGCGGGAGACGCCACCGGGGCTGGCGGGCAGCGGCACCGGCTGCTTGCCGGGCCGCTTGTCGAAGGCGCTGGACTCGGCCGCGTGCGGGCCGTGCCAAGGCCCGTCGGCGAGGGAGCGGAGCGGCGGTGGAGGGGTCTGCAACGACCGCGGGCCGTCGCAGGGCTGCTGCTCCCCGTGCTGCGGGAAAGTGACGGAGCGAATTAAAAATGCAGCGGGGCGGTCGAAAATAAGTTACTACAGCAGAACGTACACACAGCGACGTATCATCGCCACCACCTCCATACTCGCGCACACACACACACCACCACCACCACCACCACCCACACATACAACCAGCTACACACGCAAACACCACCACCACGTACTCTTTGGTTATTTCAGTAAGTCACATAGAAAATAAATAAATTAAATAATAGAATACGAAGTTTCGATTGCAACTCAAGCAACCATCATCAGGTAGGAATGAAAGAAAAAACAAAACCTAGTAATGCAATACAACAGTTGGCTAACACAACAGTCAACACCCTACCTGGTTGATTACGTTCTTCGAAATATTGCTAAATTTGAGAGAGAGACAAACACAGAGACACAGAGACAGACACAACATAGACCACCACCGCCATCGGAGACTGGTGCCAAAGCGCCACTCACCGGCGCCATCGGGTGCACGCCGGGCGGCCGCTTGCCCTGCTGCTTGAGGCTCGCCTTGTGCTGGTAGTAGGCCATGTCGGCCTCGGACAGGAGGGGCCGCGGGCCCGAGTCGCCGCGAGGCCGCAGCTTGAACAGCTGGTTCAGCTGGTGCACCATCTGCATGTGCTGCTCGTTGGTGATGAGGCCGGACTCGCGCTGCATATCGGCCTGGGCAAAACCAACAAGGTCTTCACCCAACGGCGGACGGATCACGGCCAACAGTTTGTCCTTCCCCCGCACCTCCGATTTGCACGGCTGGCGACGTACGGTGCGAAAGAGGTTAAACGTACGTACTTGACGAGAGCTACCGCCGTAGACGGACAGACGGAGCGAGCGCGGCAAAAATAAATGTGGTTTACGTCAAACCGTCGTAACAGACGGAGCAAGCGCAGTGACGCTGGGTCAACCTTCCCTGTTGGGAAGCGTCAACAAAAGGTCACAGTGGGCCCCCCCCTCTCCCACCCCCAACTCGCTCGTCCCCTAGGCCCCCCGGCACCCCCCCCCCCTTCCCCTCACCTTGCGCAACAGCTCGTGCTTGTTGGCCTGCGTGATCTCCTTGGGGATGTGCAGCTCGGGGTCGGTGCTGGGCCGAGGGTGGTGCTGCGTGGGCGTGCGGGGGAACGGGAAGCGGCGGTGGACGCTGACCCCCGCGCCCCAAGAGTCCCTCCGCTGCTGCTGCTGCGGTTGGTTCTCCTGGCCGGTGCGGATCCTACAAAGACAAAGGGTCCCCCCCGCCCGTGTAAACTTAACAGACTGTCGGGGCAAGTGCTCGTCAAGCGAGCGGGCACCTATGAAGGCCGGTGCGGCACTCGAGGGGGTGGGTGGCCAGCACCACGCCTCGGCCGCCTTAGTCTCGAGCGACGGTGTTAACTGCATGCCGCTCTACGTAATTATTTGAGGTCGAGTCGACCTAGCGGAGGCCCATGACCGGTTCAGATAATCATCACCGTTGTTGGCCGTGAGCGGGAATCGAACTTGGGTTCCGCCGGGTTTCGTAGCGGAGCGTGGCACTAACTGCTGCACTACCGCCCCCCCACAATCCTACACCACACGCACATTCACAAGCCCACATACAGAAAGACAAACGCACAAGCACACACACCTCCTCTTCCATGTCGGCTAATTATACTATCGCTGACGACAAGCATGATCAAGACAGTAAAAATTAGTCAAAAGCGCACCCCTTGAACTGCTCCCAGGCAGAGCGGCGGAAGCGCTTGTGCAGGTGGGGGGCCTCGCCGGCGTTGGGAGTGTCGGGTTCGGAGGGGGGGGGCTCGGGCGAGAACTGGGGCGAGCCCAGGTACTCCGGCTCCTTCTCCACCTCGGGGGGCTTGTCCCGGGCCCCCCCACCGCCACCGCCGGCGACAACGCCACCACCGCCGCCACCACCACCACTACCGCGTTTGTTGTTGCGTCGCCATTCGGGGCCGTGCCGTGGGTGGGGGGCGCAGCCGGCCCCCCTGGGTGCACACAAACACACACACACAAACGCACACAAACACACACACACAGCGGCATTCAGACGGACGGGCACAGCAGAATCTCACATTGAAAGACTCGAGTCCGCAACCAGATGTTGATTAATGGCCAATCCTACCCCCCTCTTCCCTTCCCCCCTCCACTCCTTCCCGTCCCTCCCCTGTAGCCCTTCCGTGACCGCCCCTCCCCCCGGCTAAAGTGTCCCTCTCTTGCCATTCACTCATTCCCCAGCACCACCCCCCTGCCATCTAAATCACTCGACCGCTTTTAAAACTACGCCTTAAATCAAGGTGGCTCGAGATAAATATAAAGCAAGATTATTGCGCGTTTGGCAGACGCGTTTGCGAGGTGCTCAAAGCGAGCGCTGCACGCGTGAACACGCTGGGGGATGGGTGGCGTCGCGAAACCTTCACAGAGACGTGCACCAAGTGCGACCGTGCCGTACCTCGCAGCGGGCGCCCACCCGGCCTTGCCGTGCGGTCCCCGCGCCGGCAGGTTGGCCTGCAGCGGCACTCTCTCGGGAGTCGTCTTCTTCGAGCCGGCGCCGCTGGGGGCGGCGGCGGCCGCCGGGCCTCGCGGAGACCTGGGGGACTGGCTCCTCCGCCTCTTCGTCGGCAACCGCCCCTCCGTCATCGGCGAGCGGCTCCCACGGACGCCCTCGCCGCGCTCCCTCTCGCCGCGCTCCCCCCGCTCCCTCGCACGGCTACGCGACGGCGCTCCGGGGCTGCCTCCCTTGCGCCGCCCGCTCCCCCCGGCGCCGGCGTCGCTCCCCGTGGCCCTGAGCGGAGAGTCCAAATTCCTCCGCTTGGTCGGCCAGTCGGCCGCCTTGGCGGGGGACTGGCTGGCGCGCCGCTTGTCCGTCGCCCGCGGCAGAGCCGTCGCCGCGGCCGACGTCGCCGCCGCCGCACCCGCCGCGACCGCCGGCCCGGCCGGGGGAGGCGTGGGGCTTTTGTGGCGCGCGCCGCCGCCGTGCGACGCGGGAAGGGGGGAGCTCGTCTTCCTGCGGCCGCTCCCCGGCGCCCAGGCGGGCGGCGAGCGCCGACCCCTCCTGCGCGACGACGGGGACGACCGCCGGGGCGGGGGGGAGCGGTCGCGCGGCTTGGCGGACGCTCGCGCCGAATCGCGCGGGGCCTTGCGCCCGTCCTTGCCGGACGCGTCGCCCATCTTCTTGGGGTCGGGAGCGTCGCCCCCTTTCTTCCGGTCTCCGCCCGACGAGGGTTCCTTCTTCCGCTCGCCGCCGAACGGCGGATCCTTTCCGTCGCTCCGCTTGCCCGCCGCCTTCGCCGGCGCCTCGTGCCGTTTGTCGACCGGCTTCGATGCGGGGGACGAGCGCGCTCCGGCGGCCGGTCGCGCCGGCGCCGCCGCCACCTCGGGGGGGCTGCCGCCCTCGGCCCGGGGGGCGGGGCTCGGCGTCGCCCGGCAGGGCGAGGAGCGCGACGGCGCAGCGGGCACCGGCGACGTCTCCTTCGCATCACTGGGGTAGAGGATCGACGACAAAACACACGGCACGCGAACGTCAATCATCCATCACCACGGCACAGGCAGCCATGAACCCAGATCACTAAACCCAATGAGACTATCAACCCCTCGAAAAGACTACAAACCTGACTTGATCCTCCATCAACGCCAGCTGCTGCTGCTCGTGATGCTGCTGCGTCATCTGCAGCCGGGGGTCTCGGTTCATGCGGGGGTCGCGGTTGGTACGCGGGTCGCGCCCCGGGTGAACCATCACGGTGGCCGTGCCGTGCCGCGCCGCCGGAACTCCCCCGGCGCTCGTGGTAAGCTGCGAGTGAGAGAGCGGCGCCGCCGGCTGCGGCTTGATCTCCTGGACGGGCACGGAGGGGGGACGGTGGCCAACCAGGGGCCTGGGTGCTCCGGGGATGTTCCCAGACAAAGATGCCTCCTGCGGGGTGGGGGGGTAGGGGGTAGGTGAAGGAGAGCGGAGCGGTCGTTTACAACCATGCAGCATGACACGCGATATCTGTAGAGGAGAAGCATCAGCACGCGATGTTTTGTCCGTCGACGCGCGGATCACTCGGGAAGGGAATATTCCGGACCCGACGACGCCCGGCACTGCGAGGCCACGCCCCTCTCTCGCTGGCGACGCGAGTGGGCGGAGGTGGGCGCTCCCGTGTCCCCGTGCGACCGGACCAGCGGCGGATTTGACGACCGGAGAGAGAACGCGGATTCTAAACCAAAAAGAATACGAGCCCCGTGGGCAGGCGCCGCTCACTCACCAGCTTGGCCTTCGTCTGCTCGAGCTCCAGCTCCAACTTTTTCTGCTGCAGCTCCAGCAGCTGCTTCTGCTTCGCCAGCAGCTGCTGCCTCATCACCTCGGCCGCCTCCGGAGGGTTCGGCTCCTCAGGCTGCGGGGGGGGAAGACAATCGCGGTCAAACAACTCCCCACTGTCACCGGCGACCGTTCTATCGGGGAGGGGGGATCGTGTAAACGAGATGACCAAACACCCGGAATTCGTCAAACCGAATTCCGGGTGTTGGGCAACCCAAGACACATCGAACCTTTTAATGGCAAACGTCAAAAAATATATCTTTTTTTAAATACCAGTGGAAGTGTGAATGCACAAGTGGTTTGCCAACGCTTCCAACGCCCAACTTATGCCGGGGCTTCTCCGATGCGTTTTTTGGCTCGTACCGTGGGGGCGTTTCGGCATTGCCCGACGTGCCGCTCCATGTGCCTAGTGCTAAAACTTAGGCTCCAAGCAAGCGGCGTGAGATCTCAAGACGCGCCAAAACACACGGTACGACACAAACACACGCGCGCAGGTCAGCCGGCCAGCGGCGGCTCTACCCACTCACCAGCTTGGTTACGAACTTGGGGTTGACGTGAATGCTGCCGGTGTTAGCGGAGGCGGGCGGAGGCCGTATGGGCCACGCCGGGTCTATCTTGTTGACGTGCACGTCTAAGCTGTGGAGCTTCTTCGGCGGTAAGATTTGGTCCCACGTGGAGCGAAGTTTGAACATGTTCTTGCGCGTGTTCTCATCCACCTGCGCGACAGAGGGGATGAAATGCTCAAACCACGAAACTCGAACCGCAGGAGGCGAGGGGGGCGCCGCCGCCGACATCGCCCGGCCACAGCACCGTTACACACAGCTCGCCGCGGAAAAGATACAAGGCAGCGGCGGTGGTGACGGCTCTCCGGGCGTGGTTTTGTCCGGGTCGTGCAGCGGCGTCGTTCCGCGCGAAGCGTCGCTCTCGCCAGGAGCATCTTCCGCCTCGGCTCCTGGGCCCCTCCTCCCCCGACCGAGGCACTTGGTGCGAAACGTCGGGATGTCGCGCCGAACAAAGCCGCGGCACAAGCCGAAAAACCGCGCCGGAGAGCCGTGCGCGGCACAACCGCGAAAAAATTACGGTTGAGAAATTTGGCGACGGCACATTTGAGACTAAGAAGCGACGATTTGTATGTTACTGAACGCATTGGCGATCACGGTGTTGAGAGATTCACAACCGTTTCACGCAAGTAAAAAAAAAGAGCAGTATTTTTTAACGAAATGACAGCAACTTTTAACGCGTGCAAGACTCGACAAGTTTTACAGAGCAATAAACGCGAGCGCACAAAACAAGAGCCGGCACAAAAACCGAAGACCAAATGACGTTCAGGAACGTTTTAACGAGCGGCTCGTTTAATGACCGAGGCGGTTTTATTTTTTGAAGGATTTACTTGGGGAGTCGTTTAAAAAAAAGTTATACATCACATTCTGACAATGTTCAACTCGGGGGACTCGGGATTCCATCTTGGTTGACCAATTCAACTGAGGGGGGGGGGGAAGAAATGAAGTCCGATAAGAATGACGTGGTTTTTTTGTTGAGCCAGAATGGATAAGATCTCGGATAAATGTATCTCTTACAGAGTGGGATGGCTCAAAATACGTTTCTTTCCCTGTTCCGCAATAAACTCACTCGCCCCCCAGCTACCCACCCCAAAAAAAAAAACCTTTCACCGAATTTTATGGAACTCTTATCGCGTAACAGTTCACGGGCTGACGGTGCCATTCATTTATACCTTTTCAAAAGTGCAAGTAAACGTCGTCACAATGTTGTGCGAAAAGAACGCAAGGTAATCCTGGGCCACGTTCTTGATGATGGAGTCCATGAGGTAGAGCACGGGAAGGCGCTCCCCTGCTGGTGCCTGCAGACAGAGAAACTCGCACCGTTGAGGACGCGACACCGGCGGGAGCGCAGAGATGTTCGCCGTGCGCGCGCGCACAAACTCCGTACCGTCGCAATAATTACAACTACTTTTTGCGTTTTAAGTTTGTCGTCCTTGGGCCCAGCCCCCTGCGGTTGGCTACGAACGGTGCGAAAGATGTTCAACGTAGTACATACACCCAACTAGCAGTGCTTTGACTTAGGCAATCGAAGAAAAAAAACCCGAATGGTTTCAATAGTTCGCCTGAGTCGGTCAACCATCCGCAGGGGGCTCACTGTCACTACTTAAAGCGACGGATCCCAACGATGAGGCTCTTATATTCAATGCATCAATGCAGTGGTCACTGCAATGCTGTTGGTTGCTGCATGTTACCAACTGGAGAGAGGTGAACAATACTAACCACTTGGGAGTTGCTCTTAAATCATTAAACCGGTAAAAACATGCATCGGCATAGCAGTTTCCAATTTCAAGTTTTTTGTTAGCATTTAAAAAACATTAACCGCTTCGCAAACAAACCATTAAACAATTTAACCAAAAACACAACCAAACACTCCATTGCTGTTGGGGAAAAGATCGTCCCCACGCCAGGGTTCACAGCCACCTGTGAAAATAGCAAAATCGCAACTTCACATACCATGAGTGTCAAACATCCCAAACACGGTTCTCTCCAAAAGGCCTCCTTTTTTTTAACAATCTGCAAACGGCGGTTTTCTAAAAATTGCGTTTTAGAAAGGAGAATCCGCGGCTGGAATTAAGTTGAACACGGAATTATCGGCAACTCAAGGCCAACATTGAAATGACAATGTTTTTTTAAAGTTTATAGTTATTGTTTCCAACAGTTGCGATAACTGTAAAGCCACCGATGCAAAAATCCGGGGCAATTTTTGCAAACGCGTGAAATTTGGTTTCAGGCAAAACAAAAGCAATTTTGCTCGCAGGCAAATTGCCCAACACGAGAGAGATAAACGCCACGCACAACGTGGTCCAGAAACAGTCCCAGATTCCCCGCATCGAGCAGCCGGCTTTTTATTCCCTCGTAAAAACCAGACCACCACCATCACCACCGCAACACGTGGGCTGGTCGACGCAAGAAAGCGGAACTGTAACTGGTCCACGCGGATCAAACCTTTCGTATTCCCCCCCCCCACCGACCCGGTCTAAATCGGTGTCACTGCACCAACATAAAAAAAATGGTGAGCGACCCAACTTGACAAAGATTTCTCAACTACAAAGATGATGGGCCCCAAGCTTGGGAGTGGTCACGACCGTGAAAAACAAGGATTTCTTTGGGCCACTCTTCTCAGCCGTGTCCACGGTTAACGTCTTGATTTTGTCTTCGGGCACTGCCAGGGGTGGGGTCCTTTTGTAGTCTGCGCGCTGAGGTTTCAGGGGAAGAGGAGGATGTTGGTATGGGAAGGGGCAGCAGTTGGTGGTGGCCACAAGATGTTGAGAAATGAGGGGGGAGTGCAACTTGCCAAGCTGCTGCCATCAGCCGTGAAGAGAAGCTTGCTTTTAAGATGTCTGCACTAACATTGATACACAAAAGCCCCATTTGTCTTGGGTTAAATCCGACCCTGGCACAAACAGGGTGAAATTCCAATTTTTTTTTAAACCACAGTTTACTTGCACAGGTATTAGTTTACAACACCAACTGCTTAACGTGCGAGTACAAGGAAATGTTTTTTCCAGTGATGGGAATTTCACCTCTGTGTGTGCACTCAACGCTGTGGGGTTACAGCCAGCCGTAGGCTGCCGTGGCACGCACGCTTGCCCGAGATTGTTTGTTGTTGCTGTTGGGTTTGCTCGCGCTGCCACATTCGTGGATTTAACCTTGGAACACGACGCAGGTCAGCAGACGACCTTCCCTCTACCACACAAAAGTACAGCATGTTCCCAACGCGCTTGCGTGCGTCAAAAGCACATCGTACGGTGTGTTGTTTTCAAATTGCCCGAGAAAATGGTGGCCACAAGGCAATTTTTAACTGCCACATCCCAACACATTTCGATGGGCTTTAAGAGTCCAACGCGCGGTCAATGTGGCTACTACTCCGCAGAGTAGGGAGGGGTGGTGTCAGCGTCCATGTCAGCATGGCTGCCATGTCGAAAGCCTCGGGTCTAGAACACATTAACGCCGTCTTCTCGGGACATCAACTTTTAAACATGCTGTACATTTGCCTACGCGAGCTCAACCTCCGGCGACGAGTCGCCCAAACAGTGGCCGAGATTATAGCTGTCCTAAAGCCGGGAAAAGCCGCGTGTAAGGATCTATATTAGAGACGCACACACACAAATAAAAAAAATGCTGGCGGAGGTGCCTAAGAATTGTTGATCCTGGGCAGATTCCAGCCAGGGAAGGGGCCCAACGAATCCAGTGCAGGCAGAAGTGGGTAGCAGGGGGAGGGCAAAGGGGGGGTGATGGAAATTCTTCAAATGATTGCTACTCCTTGCTGCTGCACACTGCCAACTACAACACGAGGCGAGATGGAACTTAAGACCGGTTAGCACGGGGTGGTTGGTGGTGGGTGGTGAGGGGCTTTGTGAGGCCACGCACAGACGTCGACCCCCGGCCGTGACTCTAAAGACACTGTTTGCTCCAGAGTCCCAGGGAAAGTAACACACCCACAGTGGTTTATTTTCTTTATTTCATACACAGTGCAAAATATCTATATACTTTTGTTCGATTATCGCTCGTGAGGTTTTTTTTGTTGTCGTTTTAAACTTCGTTACGTGCGCTTTTCTTGTTTAAACCGCTGACTTTAGAACCAAAAAAATTCATAATAAGACTTTAGGTAGAAAAGGAAATATTTTTCAAATATCACACCGGCTGCTTTGGGAGGCAGAAAAAAAACCCAGTCACGCAGGCGCAGATTAAATACTGAACGCCCGTGGCAAGTGCTGTAGTAAGTTGAATTTTAAACACACGAAGTGTTATGCAAGCGGTAGGGGGGCCACACGAACTCACCCCGCCCGTAGTCATTACATCACGCCGCCTCTGTGAAAGCTGTCATTATCGATTGCTATATTGTGCAACGTATACAATATATACGATACTGGCTGTACATATCCCTAGCTATCTCTACAGACATACATGCACGCAAACACAGTTGATAAATATATATCTGTAAGTACACATTTACAGATACATATCCAAATTGGATATTGTTGGCAAGTCTTCTTCGAGTCTTGTGCTACGAAAACAAAGATGTGTTTAAATGTCTTAAAACATTAAGTTACTTCATAGACCTTTGTTTAAAGTCCCAACACCAATGTCTCAGCAACGGCCTCGTAAGTTACTGCCGAGGAATTTAAAATGCAGCCCATCACTCCCCTACCGACCATCGACGATTTCCGCAAAACCATCTGCCACAATTACAACACCCCCACCCCAACCACGTGTGGAGGTCACGAGTTTGTAGTAAATTGGTCAACTCAAGCGGGGAAGATAATGGACGAAACTGGGAATCAGCGCGGTACAATGTAACGATTCGTCCCAGATGGTGAACTCTACCCGGTGGCCAGAACGTTAACTAAACTATAAAAACGTTCAAAAATAAAGACCTTAGCGCGCCTTTAAACAAATCAAACGGCGGCGCATCCTTCCTTGAAATTAGTCAAACCAAGTCTTTCATTAACATTACGCGAGATATAGAAATAGGCCGTGTAATTTGCTTACGTTTTACGTACAGCAGCATTATTGTTAAGCACGGACTCAACCTAAAATCGGCGCATCGTTAAGAGCAGTCGCAATCACTCGTGCTGTATTGTACACAGCACTTGCACACGTAAAGACAATGTCCCAGTGATTAACTTTAATTATAGCCACTGGCCCACTTCTCAACTAGACGGCCAAATTAGCAATGTCGTGTTAATACTAAGATCACGCAAGAGACGAGGCCTGAACCAGCCAGTGGATATCCAAATGTGCTGTATATAACGCCATCGGATGTTTACTATTAGTTAAACGCGTTCTATGGTTAACCTGTTATAAGGATCAGTGCATTTCACAATTATTTACTTTTATGCGAGTCACATCAGATGTGTACTCAAGACGATGTGTAGCAAGATACTTAACGAAATACTACTACACGCCATCACCAGAGACATCGTAAAAAAAAACCTACAACGCCCTTTGAATGTTGGTTATTCTCGGTCGAATACCATTCACCAAACCCGCACTGATGAGCGGTGACGAAGTATGTTCGCGTAACACGATGTAGGCACGGCGATAAAACCACAATGCGTACGAACTTTTTTACCCGCACAAAAAAAGCCGCAAGGGCAATTTAACATTAACGCGATCACGTTACGAATTACATTTCGACTTTCGCGTCTCCCTCAAGCCGATGTTTTTAAACAAAAAAATGTAACAAAAAAAATCGGTGTGGATGGCGTGGCTTTCGTGAGAAAACCCCGCCGTTAACTTAACATTTGACCGTGGCTTTTTTAAATGGTAAAAAAAAAAATAGCCTCGTGTTAGTTTTTTTTTCCAACTCGAGGCCCTCTCTCTGCCGTTCGGCCATGTTTGTTTCAAGTCGCCCTCCTCCCGAAAAAAAATATAAAACACCTCATCTCCTCCCCCCAAAACAACCAACGAATAAAACCGCCCCCTAAAAAAAAATCTCACACGCGTGACAAAATGACATTGTTTAGTTTGTAAAAACCTTGGCTATTTGCGCTTCAATAATCTTGACGATTTGCGACGCGAAAGGGAGATTCTCCTCCGCCAGGATGGTCAGCATGTTGATATGCGGCTTGCTGTTAAAGGTCAAGTCTTCCAGCGACGACTTGTACTCCTCGCACACGTCCTCCGCCATGGCTCACTCTTTACCCACAACAGGGGGGGGGGAGAAAGGAACGACTAAAATAAAAAAATAAGAAATCTATCGCGAGGTGACGATAGGCCGAGGTTTACAAAAGAAACTGCCACAGCAACTGCGTCTGAGGCACACCACAAAATGGCCGGGGAGAGGGCGGTCCCCCGCTTATATAGGGTCCCGCCTCCAACCCCGTGACGTCATGAAAACCTGGAGGGGCGGGCTGTACCAAGTGGGCGGGGGCGGGCCGTACAAAGTGCGTGAAGCGGGCTGTACCAAGTGCGCAGGGAGGGACGGGCTGTACCAAGTGCGCGGGGGGTGTTCCGTACCAAGTGCGTGAAGCGGGCTGTACCAAGTGCGCAGGGGGGGCGGGCTGTACCAAGTGGGCGGGGGGTGTTCCATACAAAGTGCGCGATACGGGCTCTACCAAGTGGGCGGGGGGGCGGGCTGTACCAAGTGGGCGGGGGGGCGGGCTGTACCAAGTGGGCGGGGGGCGTTCCGTACAAAGTGCGTGAAGCGGGCTGTACCAAGTGCGCGTGGGGACGGGCTGTACCAAGTGCGCGGGGGGTGTTCCGTACAAAGTGCGCGATACGGGCTGTACCAAGTGCGCAGGGGGGCGGGCTGTACCAAGTGTGGCACATCTTCTTGGTTCATATTCTTAGGTTTTTTCGGTAAAGTCACGTAGGTCAAAAAACATTTAAAAGTAAAATAAAATAAAAAATAAAAATCACGACGTTTCGGAGGCAACACACGGAGGCAACGTCGTGATTTTTATTTTTTATTTTACTTTTTAATGTTTTTTGACCTACGTGACTTTACCGAAAAAACCTAAGAATATGAATCATTGCAGTCACGAAAGCTTCAAATCTAGAATCTTCTTGGTTCTTTCGGTAAAGTCACATAGAATGGAAATAATAAAATAATAATAAAACATAATAAAATAATTCTCACGACGTTTCGGCCACAACGCAAGCAGCCGTCCTCAGGTGGAGAGCAGGTCTGTCGAGAAGACAGAGTCTGAATGAGTTGTGGCCGAAACGTCGTGAGAATTATTTTAGTATGTTTTATTTTATTTTTTTATTTACATTCTACGTGACTTTACCGAAAGAACCAAAGCTCCCCCCCTCCCAAAAAATAAAACATGCTTCAAATCGCTTTAATATTCAATGTGGCGCTGCACTCTGATGTTGTAGGAGAAAACATTTATTAAAAAAGTCTATTTAATTAAGTAGAACGTCTTGTTTATATTTATTTAAAGTTGCGCATTTTGACGTGACGTCACATTTCTCACCCCCCCCCAATGTGCGTGACGTCATTTATGGACGGCCCCTTCGTAGTACTACGTAGTTGCAGTAGTACCAGTTTTTCGCGACCCATTTCAACCATAATACAGATTTTTTTTTTGTTACTAGTACAGCACACCGGTAGTAGTAGTAACTACTAAGCAAATCTTGATTTAAGTATCACGACAAATTGTTAAACTCAACAAAGAATCCTATTCTCGAGCCCACTCACACGTGCGTAGGTTGAACCCTAAGAACCTCACAACTTTTCGATTTAAAGCTTCTTTCGTGACTGCAGGGATTCATCTTCTTGGTTCTTTCGGTAAAGTCATCACGTAGAAGGGAAGTAATAAAATAATAAAAATAAAACATAATAAAATAATATTATTTTATTTTATTATGTTTTATTTTTATTATTTTATTACTTCCCTTCTACGTGACTTCACCGAAAGAACCAAGAAGATGAACCTCACAACAAATGGGAAGTGACGTCATCTAAAGCGCAGTCCACAATGGCTGGGTCTCGACCAGCGAGACGCGCAGTTCGCTAACTCGTGAGTTTAAAAGTTAATATTAAACAATAATCAATAACATGTTACCCCCCTGGAATCGATTAACTTATGGGGCGACCGCCATCATAGGTAGGGGCGGTGACGTCACGACACGTACCCCCCGCCCTACCTAAGATGGCCGCAATTTTAAACGCGTTAAAACTTTTCACATCAATTGAAGCTATAAAGTTGTCGTTTTTTTGTTTAAATTCCACCGGGTAAAGCCCACTGAGAGATTTTTTAAATACTTTTTTTTCAAGAAGCGACCTGGCGATCGCTTTGTTGAGCTATCGTTTGTGGCCAGGCAGCGTTATGAAATGTTAATTTAATACCTTAGTGGGTAGGATTGGGATGGTTTATTTGTGTGGTTTGAGTGATTTATTTACTATTGATTTGATTTATTTACCTTTATTGTATTTTGCGCTATTAACGCATTGTCCTTTTTTTCCTCCCCCCCCCCTCCACATTCATATGCGTGCATTGAGATTGTTTAAGATTAGTTTTGCTGCTGTAAATGTCCAAATGGGCCACTTTTTGTCGATTCTGACCAATAAGTTAATAACTCTGTGGGCTTTGCCTGGCAGGATGGGGATGATTTAGTGTTGTATTTCTGTTTGGGCGATTTGTTTAACTTTCTTGGACGTTGCACTACGATCGTGTTTGTGTTACTGTTGTTGTGACGTTCTTATCCAGTGCCCTTACTGGACATGTGTGACATTATAGAGCTTCATAGCTCATCGGATTCCTCCAGAAGTCGAAATAAAACACATTCCTGCGGAGGGAGCTGGTAGGAACGTTGGGTTGCTCGGTCAATGGCCAGGGTCAACGGCGGCGTGGTGTATTCCGCAAATATGGCCGACTGTGAGGGTGGGCACAAGCCGGCGTGAGTAGGTTAAACGTTGAGCTTTATAAGGGCACCACGGGGTGACCAGCCCCTCCCCACCCCACCACATTCTGGCGAATTGCCTGATGATGCTGGATGCAATTACCAGCGAAACGTCGTACTAAAATGTTGTGGTTTCACGCTTCAACACACCGGTGGGCTAAAGCAGTGAACTATTTGTCTTTTGTCAACGTGACACTTTTTTACTGATTGGCCGTGTCGAGTGGTGGAGGGTTACGACACATTTATAAATAACGCGATCTAAACCCAAAAACGTTGATTATGAATATTGGTCGTGAAAGCCTACGTGTTAAACACATACAGGGTGCTTCAACAGATGTTTTAACAGTCTCCAGACCTTAATCCCATAGAAAATCTGTGGAGGGAGCTGAAGGTTCGAGTTGCCAAACGTCAGCCTCGAAACCTTAATGACTTGGAGAAGATCAGCAAATAGGAGTGGGACAAAATCCCTCCTGAGATGTGTGCAAACCTGGTGGCCAACTACAAGAAACGTCTGACCTCTGTGATTGCCAACAAGGGTTTTGCCACCAAGTACTAAGTCATGTTTTGCAGAGGGGTCAAATACATATTTCCCTCATTAAAATGCAAATCAATTCATAACATTTTTGACATGCGTTTTTCTGGATTTTTGTTGTTATTCTGTCTCTCACTGTTCAAATAAACCTACCATTAAAATTATAGACTGATCATTTATTTGTCAGTGGGCAAACGTACAAAATCAGCAGGGGATCAAATACTTTTTTCCCTCACTGTACCTATTGCAAGGCATCACGTCTGCATCAACCACACATGATACATGCAGACATACATGTGGCTCTGATAATAATGTCAGCATTTGTTTTTGAAACTGATTGGCCTGCACCAGAGGACAGCCTACTTACTTCATGGCCTCGTCTCACCAGTGTCAGACCGGAGAACGTCGAAAAGGCACCGCAAATCTAAAAGTATTAATGGCTTGGGCTGAGCAATTATATCAATGGGACCTTTTTGGCAGTATCAAGACAATGGTAGAAAAACAGTAATAATAAACAGGAGGCGTTCAAGATGATCAAATACGGTGCTGGATAACTACAGCCATCCGCATGCAGCAGCCACCACAACTACCGTCATCCACACCGCTACCGCCACCACCACCACCGTCACCACCGTCATCCCCACCACTACCGCCACCACCACCACCGTCACCACCGTCATCCCCACCGCTACCGCCACCACCACCGTCGTCCCCACCGCTACCACCACTGCCATCACCACCACCACCACCGTCATCCACACCGCTACCGCCACCACCACCACCACCGTTGTCCCCATCGCTACCGCCACCACCGCCACCGCCGTGACCCGGCTAAAAACAACACCGCGCTGTTCACTTTAAATTAGACATTTAATGCGTTGCTGCTCTGGTAAAAAAAAACACACACAAACACACGCGTACAAAACTCCGCGACGCGCATCGAAGTTATTGCTCGGATACATCCTCCACTGAGCGTCGTCACATTTTACAACGTGAAAGGCACGAAGGGCAGAGAGGGTGAGGAGGTGGTGGGGTGAGCTCACAGCCGATGGGTCGCGTCCGACACGTGCCGTCATGTCAAGCGTTGCGCGATAACACGTGTGGCCTGCCAAACTCCCCATCGGCCCTCGCAACCAAACGTACGCCTCGGCCGCACCGTCCAAATTCCATGGGAAAAAAAACACGTGGACTTCCAAATTACTTCAACTGGGGGAGACCCATGCCCACTGGGGAGACCCATGCCAGAGGTCGCAACCGGGTACCCGATACCCGTACCCTACCCGATACCCGGCTACCCGTACCCGGCCGGGTACGGGTAGACCGTGAGTCACCGGTGAGTAACTGTTTGTCACTCATTTCCCAACGTCTTGTCTCTTCTCACAATTCAAGTTCCTAGAATCAACCCACCCTCGCCTGCAACATGGCTTGATTCCAGAGGTCGCAATCAGGTACCCGATACCTGTACCCTACCCAGCCGGGTACGGGTAGGGTACCCGTTTGCGACCCTGGTGCGGCCGGGTACGGGTAAGGAATCAAAACCCGTTTGCGACCTCTGACCCATGCCCACTTGTGGGCCAGCGTTGGTGCCGCATAGATAGGCAACAGCTGCCCCCTGCAGTCCCCTTGGCTCGACTGCAGCACAGCGGCATTGCAATTGTTCAGACGGGGAGTGATGTAAAGGCACTTTGAGTTGCTCATGCATTTCAAGTGGCTCCAACTCCTCAGCATTACTCGAGGCTGGATATACAGGTTTCTTCGGTTTGTGCGGTTTCGCTTGTACACTGCTGACCTACTGCTATCCAAAATTCGCTTCATGCGGTTTGGATTCACTGCATGCGGCTATGCGGTCGGACGTGGGACAACATTGTGTGTATGCTTCTCGGCAAGCAGCTGTCTCACACACAGAGATACATACACACAGATTACATGAAGATGCACACAGAGATACACACACAGACAACATTGTACCGCGTGTGTACCGCGTGTGTACCGTGTGTGTGTACCGCGTGTGTACCGCGTGTGTACCGCATGTGTACTGGGTGCGCTACTCGGCAGGCAGCCGTCCCTGTGCGGTTTCGCTTTGTGTGTCCTGCACTGGGAATGCATCTCCTACTTCTACTACTACCACCACTACCACCGCCGCACAGAGTGAGAGAACACCGCTGCATTCGACCTAGCATCACCGCATTTCGGTTGCCAGCGGCCGCTCGGTCACCCCTTTGCACGTGAAGCCTGCAGAGTGGATACGCAAGCCCTCCGAGCGTGATCGGAGTTCAACCGGCAAGCGAAGTGTGTTTGTAATTCCTGCTTGGCAAGGGTCTAAGGGGAATAAGAGGTTTCTCACCCCCTGCACCACCGCAGCTGAAGGCACCGCACCACCGTCACGCCCTCGGCGGTGCCGTGAGAAACACCGGCTTGCGTCCCCGTTTTGCGATGGGGGACACCGGTTCACATCCGGTTCGAGGGTCGGATTAGCCAGCGGTGGGCAACCCAGACGAGGCGGTGGGCCACGTGAGCGCCCCTCCTTGGAGGAGGCCACCGCCAGGGGCTCCACGGGACAGCAGGTTGCCCCCCCACTGGTTTCGCCCGTCGTCGTCGTCGCTCATCATCGATCGTAACCTTTGGCGTCGCATAAAATAAGTTCTAATGCGTGGGAGGTAAACGGGACGGGGTGGGGGGGGATTGTGGAATTTCCACCGCCAGCTTCGGCGCAGCCGGTCAGTTCAAACCGGGCGACCATGTGGGCAGGAAGACGCTGCTGGGGTTGCCGGGCTGGGGCGACGATGGGTGGTGGTGGGGGGCGGGGGGGCGAACTGCGACTGCTGCCAAGGAACCGATCGCGCGGTACCCATGCAGCCTGTGCGTCGCTCCCACTAGGCCGGGAATAACAAGGGGGGCCCCCCGCCCCCCCACCCCCGCCGCCGCGCGGGTCGTTGACCGTACTTCACCACGCCGGTCGGTGGGAGCACTGGGGAGCACCGCGGGCCGCTGGCGTTGGGCGATCGTTGTTTGCGAGCGCGAGCTGTGCGGCCTCCTCCTGGCGTCACTTGCGCTCCATCCCAGCGGCCAGGGCCAGGGCCAGGGATTCCACTGCCGACACAAAGACGGAGAGAGGCAACGGTCCCCTTCGTTACGTTGCACGGTCCACGGGGCGGGGGGGCAGGTGGTGTGGGCAGCAAACGCCTGGTGATGCCGATGGCACAGTGCTGGCCTTCACAGTGTGTTCAGGCCAACACGGGGGATCGTTGTCTTGGTTGGTGTGCGTGTTTACGTGCGTGTCGGTGCGTGCGTTGGTGTAGGTGCGTGTCGGTGCGTGTTGGTGTTGGTGCGTTGGTGTTGCTGTGTGCGTGTTGGTGCGTGCGTGTTGGTGTGTTGGTGTTGCTGCTTGCGTGTTGGCGTGGTGGTGTGTGCGTGTTGGTGTGTTGGTGTTGCTGTGTGCGTGTTGGGCCGTGCGTGTTGGTGTGTGCGTGTTGGTGTGTGCATGTTGGCGTGTTGGTGCGTGCGTTCTCACGGTGTGGGAAGCTCCCGCGCCGCACGGCTTTGTTGAGAATCGTGACGAGGAACACGTGGCAGCTCTTCAAGTCTCCCTCCGTACGCGCAAGCACGTCCGCACTGCTCACGCACACACACGCACGTACACACATGCACGCACACACACGCACACACACGCACACACACACAAACACACGCACACACACGCACACACACACTCACGCACACACACACACACACAAACACACGCACGCACACACACACACACACGCACACACGCACACACGCACGCACACACCCAGCGATAGCCTCAACAGACTGTTGGGGCAGGTGCCTTTAGCGAGGAGCACCTCATGAAGGGCGGCAATGCGGAACACGAGGGGGGTGGGTGGCCGGCACAACGCCCGGGCCCGCCTTTGTCTCCCCGGTGGCGATGTCGACGCACCGCACCAAAGTCGTCGTGTGAGGCTCCCCCACCCCCATGCACTCCATAGACCGGTGCCCCTTTAACCCAGGGGTCGGCAATCAAAGTAACAAGAAGGGCCGTTGGTTTTTTTTCGAATTCGGAATATAGCTTAACAACAAAAAAAACCCCAACTCAGTATTTCAAGAGCCGCCGATGCTCGGTGGTGAATGCGAGAGGGCGGGTCCCTCGGTAAATGACTGCCGCGTGCCGCTACGGAGCCGCAGGGTCGCCGACCGCTGAGCCAGGCTCACGCCAAGTCGGACCCAACTCAAACAAATAAATTATTCAAGAGATAGGAATAAAAAATCCTTAAAAGAAGCGAGCGAGCGAGGTTGGGGCGGGGGGAGCCAGCGGAGCGAGCGTCCGGAGAAAGTGAATCCACAGCCTGGGGGCACTCGCGTGAGACGAGGTTCCGGTCGTCGTCGTCGTCGTCGTCGTCGTCGTCGTCGTCGTCATCGTCATAATCGTCGTCGTCATCATCGTCGTCATCGTCGTCATCATCGTCATCTTCATCGTCGTCATCGTCGTCGTCGTCGTCGTCATCGTCATAATCGTCGTCGTCATCATCGTCGTCATCGTCGTCGTCATCATCATTGTCGTCATCATCATCGTCATCATCATCGTCGTCATCGTCATTATCATCATCAAATGCGAATGTGGTCATCCAGCACACACCGTACAACGACACAACGCCCCGACCCACAAACACGAAGGAGACGTCACAGCGATGATGACGATGATGACGACAACTACTTCGCTGCTCCTGCCGCCACCGCTATCTGGCTTGACCACCCGAATGTGAAATTGTAGTCGCCGAGCTCTGCATCTACATCGATCGATCGAACGAAGGAGGTCATCGTCGTACGAGAGAGACGTGACGCGTGGCGCGCGGTGAGGTTGTACTGCACGGTCGCTCGCTCTCGTCACCGGTTGGGCAGCGCTACGGTGCGGGAGTTACCGCAGAGCGGCGGGGCCGGCTCGCCAGCGATCGGCAAACACCAGCGCCAGGTTGCACACCTTCATGATGGCCTGCTTCACGTAGCTCACCTACGCTCGCAACACACACACACGAAGCACTGGCATTCAGCCCTGTGGACACTCCAGGCAAGCACTAACAATGTACGTGAACACACTGTGTGTGTGTCTATGTGTATACGCGCGTGTGTGTGGGGAGCGGTAGTGTAGCGGTTAGCGTGCAAACACCAGTGACGATTATCTGAACCGGTCCTGGGCCTCCCCTAGGTCGATTCAGCCTCAAGTGAGTACCTGGTGCGGTGTGTAGTACACATCGCCCCTCGTGTGCCGTGTCGGCCTTCGCAAGTGCTCTCAGACAGCACTTGACCCAACAGTCTGTGAAGGCTATACGGCCTGACCCTGCGCTACGAGGTGGGTCAAGGGCCTTCAGCTGTGTCGCTGTGCGTCTCCTCCTGTGTGGTCCAGGCACCCGTGGCTGGCCTACCCGCTGCTCGAATATCTGAACCATTTCCTTGGCCCGCCGTGGGCCTTAAATGAGTCCCTGGTGCCGCGTGGAAACGTCAGCATTGGGGAGACAAAGCCGGCCGGGCGTGGTGCTGGCCACCCTCCACCTCGTGGCGGCCTTAGTACGTCCTCGCTCAGAGCACTTGCCCCAACAGGTTTGTGAAGGCTAAAAAATTTAATTTAAATTAATAAAAATAAAATAATAATAATAAAATCACTACGTTTCGGAGGCAACACAAGTCTCCGTCATCAGGTGGGACCGTCACAGCCAGATTTGCTGCATCGAGTGAGGCAGAGATTCCAAGATGCAAGCTCTTAAATACAAGTTAAGGGGAAGGAGAGGGGGGGGGGAGCTTATCAGAATGTGGTAGCCAATGAATGGAACGTATCGGGAGGGGGGGGGCGGGGCTAAAAGAGAGCACGAGGTGCACGTGTAAACAAAGAGTATGAATCCTTGCAGTCACGAAAGCTTCAAATCTAGAAATGTGAAGGCTATACGGGGGGAGGGGGGTGGGGGGTGGGGGGTGGGGGGGTCTCTGTCTTTGTGCGTCACCCTGTCGCGCAGCAGGCAGCGGTCGTGAATGGCCGCCAGGAAGTCTCCGTGCGCCGCCAGCAGCTCGTCCAGATCGTAGGCCCCGTCGAGCCGCGGGCCGAACTCCAGCCACGTGCTGTGCAGGATCTGAGAGGAAATTCGAGGGAAAAAACAATGGAATTTACCCTGTCTGGCAATATAAAGCGGGTGTTACGATGCTCAAACACCAAACAGAAACCCCTATTTGCACGGCATCGATTCTGCAGGCTCCGAGGACACGTCACTCTTTAATTTTTTATTATGATTATTATAATAGTTCCGCTAGTTTACCCAGCAAAGCCTCACGAGTCTCCAAGACTCAGGTGCTAGCCACCCAACCACCCCCCTTGCGTGCCGTGCCAGCCTTCATAGGTGCGTTCTAGATTTGAAGTTTTCGTGACTGCATGGATCCGTCATCTTTGTTTTTTTCGGTAAAGTCACGTAGGTAAATAAGTATAACCCGTAAAAAGTTTTTCACTATAAATCCTGTATATGCGTGGCAGCTAGAGTCCTCTCGTCCCCTGGCTTGAGATGGCTGCCACCTATGGGTCAGATGATTGCATTGCACCATTAAGCAATTGGTAATTAAATATAATCTTTTTGTCCTAAAAAGTGTAAAATTTTGGAAAAAAAATTTCACGAACATTAATTGTCACGCACAACGAGTCTGTGTGGAAAATGTCAGCTCGACTGGATCACGGGAAGTGGGTTAAAAAACGACCGAAAGATTTGCACGGTCGTAAGCAAGCAAGCAAGTGAACTTAATATAAAGGATTTAAAAATATAATACATTTAAAATTAAAACAGCTACGGTCAATTAAATCACGACGTTTCGGGCGCAACACAAGCGTCCATCTTCAGGTGGGGACAGACACAGCGAGAGAACAACCGCTTAAGTACGCCTAAGAGATGGCTGTGACGAGGGGGGGGAGGAACCAGAGTGAGTGTGGGGGCGGGGTGTGCGCTGGGAGGTGGGCATGGCATGGAGTTCAAACTAAGGCTTTGTGATGCAGGGGGTGGATGGCGGAAGTTGAGCTGGTTAATAAGAAAGCCGAGTTAAGCCGATTCTAGATTTGAAGTTTTCGTGACTGCAAGGATCCATACTCTTTGGTTTTTGAGTTCATAGGTGCGACTCGTAAACAGCACTTGGCCCAACAGTGTTATGAGGCTATACGGGGGGGAGCTTTGTCTTTGTGTGCGTGTGTGTATTTTCTTATATTGTGTGTTGTAACTTGTTGACCCTGCCCTTACTCGACATCTGTGATAAAGGGCTTAAGAGTGTTTGTGCTGCTGCTTTACATTTCGACACGATAAGGAAGCCGCTTTGTTGAGCTATCATTTGAGGTGGCCAGGTCGCTTCTGAAAAATATCTGTACAGCTCAGTGGACCTTTCCTGGTAAAATAAAAAAAATAGTTGGATAGTTAGTAAGCCTCGTAGCTCACCGAATTACACCGGCCTATATCAAGCTTCTGATTCTGTTAAAAAATAAAGCTTCTGATTGTGGTGTTCACGCACGTGTCTCTGCGTGCGTGTGTCCGCATCTCCCGTCTGCGTGCGTGCGCGCGTGCGCGACCCTACGGGGCCGCACGTTACCCGGGTGAGCACGTAGGTGTGCAGGCTGTTCACAAAGTGCATGAACTTGACGCGCAGCAGGAACATGCGGTGGGCGAGTGGGCACGGCCGGCCAAGGCCTCGCCTCCTGGTGCTGCTGCTGCTCTCCGGCCCCTGCCGCCCGCCGGGGACCGCGTCGTTACCGTCATGCGCGTCGTCTTCACCGCGCGGGAACGCTGCGTCCGTGAGCGCTGCGTCCAAAACACAACAACAGCAGCGGTGACGACTAAAGCAAACGGCAGCGACCCTACGGGACCCGTCTTCTTGGTTCTTTCGGTAAAGTCACGTAGAAGGGAAATAATAAAATAATAAAAAATACAAATAATAAAATAATTCTCACGACATTTCAGCCACAATGCAAGCAGCCATCCTCGGGTGAAGACCAGGTCTGTCGGGGAGACGCTGTCTCCCCGACAGACCGAAAGAACCAAGAAGATGAATCCCTGCAGTCACAAAAGCTTTAAATCGAAACCTACGGGACCCGTTCGCCAGTGTCAGAATATCGACTGATTTCAGAATCACAATCATCGGACTCTTTGTTTGGACTCGAGGAGGAATCCGATGAGCTAAGCAGCTCTTTTCTTCACAGATGTCCAGCAGGGGCACACGGGGTCAGAAAGTGACGTAGGTACAGCAAATCTGGCTGTGACGGTCCCACCTGATGACGGAGACTTGTGTTGCCTCCGAAACGTCGTGATTTATTATTATTTTATTTTTATTAATTTCATTTTTTTACCTACATGGTATGAATCCTTGCAGTCACGAAAGCTTCAAATCTAGAATTCAATAAACCTCTGCGAGTGTGCGATTCGTAGTCCCCCTTGTTTGCTAGATGGCACCGTGTTGGTGTAATGTCATTGTCTTGTTACCAGAACACTCCACCACCCGATGACAGAGCCGATTAAATCGAGTTGTCACGTGGGCAAATGTGCCGATCGATTTGCCCAGACCTTGGCCTGCTAGCCTCCCTGACCTGTGAACCCCCACGGCCTGCGGATCCCCCTGGTGCCGTACCTTGGAAGCGCAGCGTGTCGAGGCTGTGCTTCACCCACTTGATCTGCAGCAGGAGGGTGAACACCTGGCGGTAAACGGCCTCCGCTGGGGGGCTCAGCACCAGGCTGACCGGCCACGGGGCCTGCATCACACACACGCACGCACGCATGCACGCATGCACGCAGACACGCACATAAAGACAAAGATACCCCCCCCCCCCCCCCGTATAGCCTAAACAGACTGTTGAAGCAAGTGCTGTTAGTGAGCAACAGCGCTTATGAAGGCCGGCACGGCACACGAGGTGGAGGGTGGCCAGCACCACGCCCGGCCGCCTTTGTCTCCCCAATGCTGACGTTTATACACAACACCAGGGACTCATTTAAGGCCCACGGCGGGCCTAGGAAATGGGTCAGATATTCGAGCAGCGGGCAGGCCAGCCACGGGTGCCTGGACGACACAGGAGGAGACGCACAGCAACACGGCTGAAGGCCCTTGACCCACCTCGTAGTGCAGGGTCAGGCCGTCGAGCGTGTTGATTGGCTGAGGCTGACCTTCGGCAGAAACCTCCTCAAGCTCCACAGTCAGCCTGCAGTAAACGGTCCACAAGAGGGTTTTTTTGGGTTACATCGCGTGAATATATGTAGGTGTAATGTCACCACCACCACGTAAACAGAACGTGCCAATTAGTTACTAGTTCAGCCAGCCCACCGATTGCGCGTTGGAGAGTAAACCCACAACATTCACAATTTGAGTACGACGTTTCGCTGGAAACTACGTCCTGCACCATCGAGTTGTCAACAGAGCTGGCACGGTGGGCCTTGGCACGGTGGGCGAGCGCCGTTGGTGGGCGATCGTCCGTCCGTCGTAGTCGTGAAACACCGCCGCCCCCAGACAAACGGCTCTTGTCTTAAAAGACGCCACGCTTGTTGGCCCAAAACCCGCTGGTCGGTTCATCCGTGATGGCTCCGTCCTCGCGTCCCGTGTCGCCGGCCCGTTGGGGCGCCGCGGTGGCCAGCAGATGTTAACTATCTCGCCTGGTATGCAGGAGGCTCGTAGGTTCCATACCGACCCTGACGCCGCCTGTTGTATATTTGGAGTTTGCGTGTCTTTCTCTCTCTCTCTCCCCGTGGTTGCGTGGAATTTTTCTCCGGGTCCTGATTCTTCACGTTCTACAGATGTAGATGCCACTGGTTCTTCACATTCTACAGATGTAGATGCCACTGGTTCTTCACATTCTACAGATGTAGATGCCACTGGTTCTTCACATTCTACAGATGTATATGCCACTGGTTCTTCACATTCTACAGATGTAGATGCCACTGATTCTTCACGTTCTACAGATATAGATGCCACTGGTTCTTCACGTTCTACAGATGTAGATGCCACTGATTCTTCACGTTCTACAGATATAGATGCCACTGGTTCTTCACATTCTACAGATGTAGATGCCACTGATTCTTCACGTTCTACAGATATAGATGCCACTGGTTCTTCACGTTCTACAGATATAGATGCCACTGATTCTTCACGTTCTACAGATATAGATGCCACTGGTTCTTCACATTCTACAGATGTAGATGCCACTGATTCTTCACGTTCTACAGATATAGATGCCACTGGTTCTTCACATTCTACAGATGTAGATGCCACTGGTTCTTCACATTCTACAGATGTAGATGCCACTGATTCTTCACGTTCTACAGATATAGATGCCACTGGTTCTTCACGTTCTACAGATGTAGATGCCACTGGTTCTTCACATTCTGCAGATGTAGATGCCACTGGTTCTTCACATTCTACAGATGTAGATGCCACTGATTCTTCACGTTCTACAGATGTAGATGCCACTGGTTCTTCACGTTCTGTAGATGTAGATGCCACTGGTTCTTCACGTTCTGCAGATATAGATGCCACTGGTTCTTCACGTTCTGCAGATGTAGATGCCACTGGTTCTTCGCGTTCTGCAGATGTAGATGCCACTGGTTCTTCACGTTCTGCAGATGTAGATGCCACTGGTTCTTCACGTTCTGCAGATGTAGATGCCACTGGTTCTTCGCGTTCTGCAGATGTAGATGCCACTGGTTCTTCACGTTCTGTAGATGTAGATGACACTGGTTCTTCACGTTCTACAGATGTTTCCACTGGTTCTTCACGTTCTGTAGATGTAGATGCCACTGGTTCTTCATGTTCTGCAGATGTAGATGCCACTGGTTCTTCACGTTCTACAGATGTAGATGCCACTAGTTCTTCACGTTCTGCAGATGAAGATGCCACTGGTTCTTCACGTTCTGCAGATGTAGATGCCACTGGTTCTTCACGTTCTACAGATGTAGATGCCACTAGTTCTTCACGTTCTGCAGATGTAGATGCAACTGGACATACGGATAGGGTCATATCTCTGAAAGTTTGCAAGTCGAATATTCAAGTAGTGGAGTCTTTGTACAAAATAAATAGTAATAATAAAGTAACACAAAATTAAGATTAGAAAATAAAAAATAGAGCTTGCAAAATTATAACAAGAAAAATAACAATTATACAAAAGCGAAAAACATAAAAGTTGATAATAAAAAAAATACAAAAAATATAAAACATTTTTCGATTTAAAGCTTTCGTGACTGCAGGGATTTATCTTCTTGGTTCTTTCGGTAAAGTCACGTAGAAGGGAAATAATAAAATAATAATAAAATATAATAAAATAATTCTCATGACGTTTCGGCCACAATGCAAGCAGCCGTGTCTGTCGGAAAGACAGCGTCTGAATGTTCAGACGCTGTCTTTTCATTCAGATGTTGTCTTTCCGACAGACCTGTTCTTCACCTGAGGACGGCTGCTTGCGTTGTGGCCGAAACGTCGTGAGAATTATTTAATTATGTTTTATTATTTTTTTATTATTTCCCTTCTACGTGACTTTACCGAAAGAAAAAAAATAAAACATAATAAAATATAATATTGTATGTTTTATTTTTATTATTTTATTATTTCCCTTCTACGTGACTTTACCGAAAGAACCAAGAAAATATAAAACAGTTTGCAGTTCAGTTTCAGGCCGAGCGCACCTGCGCGCGTGCGCGTGGTGGCGCAGCGCCTCCTGCAGCGCTGTGTTGAGGAAGGAGACGTCCCGCCAGCACTCGCGTCGCCTCGCTCGCTCAAACACCGGCGCGCAGAAATCCCGCATGGCGTCCCCGGCCTCCAGCAGGAAGAAGCTGCGCATCGCTTGCAGGCAATCCATCATCCTGCGGCGGCAACGGCGGCAGCGGCGGTCAGTCCCACTGCTGGCCGATGGTGTCGCCATCCGCCGTGCACACGATGCGAGGTCGCCAATCTACACCATTGGAACCTCATTTGCCAGTAAAAATATGATCATTGGATTTTTTACCCTTCTATCTGGCAACAAAACTGACACCTTTTTTTACAAGGAGTCATGTTTGCATAGACCGCAATACCTGCAGTCATAATGCAAACAAAAAACATAACTCTGATAATGTATGCACTGTCCTTGAAGTTGATTGGTCCACACCCGAGACAGCTTTCCTGAGAGCCTAGTCTCACATGGTGTTGGTCCAGATGACGCCAAAAGGCGCACAACTCAAAGACAATGCACCATCAGAGTATGAGTTCTCGGGGTGAAGCATTTACACCATTGGAACCTCATTTGCCAGTAAAAATATGATAATTGTTTTTTTTACCCTTCTATTTAGCAACAAAACTGACACCTTTTTTTGGACCAATCAACTTCAAGGACAGTGCATACATTATCAGAGTTATGTTTTTTGTTTGCATTATGACTGCAGGTATTGTGGCCTATGTAAACATGACTCCTTGTGTGTGTGTGACTGTGTGTGTGTGTGACTGTGTGTGTGTGTGACTGTGTGTGTGACTGTGTGTGTGTGTGACTGTGTGTGTGTGACTGTGTGCGTGACTGTGTGTGTGACTGTGTGCGTGACTGTGTGTGTGACTGTGTGTGCGTGACTGTGCGTGCGTGACTGTGTGTGTGACTGTGTGTGTGACTGTGTGTGTGTGACTGTGTGTGACTGTGTGTGGGTGACCGTGCGTGCGTGTGTGACTGTGTGTGCGTGACTGTGTGACTGTGTGTGTGTGACCGTGCGTGTGTGACTGTGTGTGTGACTGTATGTGTGTGACTGTGTGTGACTGTGTGTGACTGTGCGTGCGTGACTGTGTGTGACTGTGTGTGCGTGACTGTGTGTGTGACTGTGTGTGTGACTGTGTGTGACTGTGCGTGCGTGACCGTGCGTGCACGAGTTCCACACCCGTGCCGCTCCTTGAGCATGGCCATGAGCTGCCCGCACACGAGCAGGTACTGCCGCTGCACGTGCGGGTACAGGGAATCGCTGAGCATCTGCTCGAGCGGGGCGGCGTCACCGGCTCTCCGAGTGGCAGGGCCAGTCTCCCCCCCGGGCACCCCCATCCCAGCACGGCCCCCCCCTCCTCCGGCGGGGTCCGGGCCCCCCTCCCCCCGCACGTCGCTCGCCACCGACGGTGTCAGATCAAAGTACAGCCTGGGAGTCGGGGATGAGGGATAGAGAGAGAGAGGCTTCATCAGAATGTGTATTTATACTGGAGGAATCCGATGAGCTGTGAAGCTGTTTTGTCGCAGATGTCCAGTCGGGGCACGGGGTCAGGATGTTACAACAACAAACAATATCAAAGTTCGTTGTGCTTCCCCCGCACCTCCGCTTAGCACGGTTGGCTACGCACGGCGCGAAAGAAGTTCAACGTATGTACGTACGAAAGGTAAGCAAGTCACCAAAATAAAATACAAGTCAAGCTAAACAAATTATTATTTTCTAGATTTGAAGCTTTCGTGACTGCAAGGATTCATATTCTTAGGTTTTTTCGGTAAAGTCACGTAGGTAATTTTTTAAAATTAAAATTAATAAAAGTACAATTTTTTATTATTATTTTACCAAGTAAGGCCCCATTGAGCTATTTAGATTATTTTTCACAAGCGACCCGGCCACAAATGATAGCTCAACCAAGTGGCTTGTACCAGGTGGAAATGTACAGCGGCCCAAATAATCTAGTTACTTCTAAACGCACGTTTCGAACGAGCGGAGGATGGGTGGGCTCAGTGGTTGGCACACCGTTGGAAACCATCTGCGAAAAAATCAAGACGATCAACAGAAGAAATCTTAGTTAAATTTCGATGTAAAGCTTTCGTGACTGCAGGGATTCATCTTCTTGGTTCTTTTTGTAAAGTCACGTAGAATGGAAATAATAAAATAATAAAAATACAACTTTATAAAATAATTTTATTTTATTATAATATTATGTAAAAAAATAATTATTTTATTATTTCCATTCTACGTGACTTTATCGAAAGAACCAAGAAGATGAATCTTAGTTACCCAGACTGCCGCAGGGCGACGGCAGGGTTTGGACGACAACGCGAATCAGCGGTGGACGGCGCATCGAGATGCCGCTGCATGTAGGTGCGGGCCCCGCAACTGCTCGCTCACGTCCCCTGCACGGCGGGCGGGCGGGCGGGCGCGTCTGCTCACGCCCTCCAGGGCTCACTCACCATGCGAGCGAGCTCTGGTGAGCCCTGCCACAGGGTCGTTTGGCCTACTCTTTCCACGCAAAGCCGGCGCGTCATCGCTCGAGGTGGAAGTACCCACGCTACACCTCACCACGCCGGAATCTGCCGATTGACCGGCTACCTCTACAAAGAGGGCCGGGGTCCTGGGAAAATCAGGAGAGGTGGCAGTGCCAGTGATGAAGAGTTGTGTGCCCAACGCACCTTGAGAAGTTGTACGCTAGCAGAGGATCGTGGGTAGCGGGCTCCAGCAGGTGCCTCCCTACGGCCTCCTGCACCTCGTGCAGAACGTGCCTCACCCCGCCACCGCCCCTGCCGCCCCCTCTATCCACCACCAGCGCGGCCGCGGTCCCCCCGCGGCTCGCCGAGCTGCGCTCTGCGCCGGCGCCGGCGTCGTTCACGGGGAGGGCGACGGTGACCGGTGGCTGCGGCGCCAGCGTCGTCGTCGGCGGCGTCGTCGGCGGCACGGGGAGGCGGTGGCCGTCCCCGAGGTGCACGAGGAGAGAACGCACGAAGAGGTCGTAGAGACTCCGGCTGCCCAGCTCTGGTGCCGGACAGAGAGAGGCGGGGGGGGAGGGGGGAGAACCGGACACGGGCTCAACCGCACCGTCTCTGTCAAAACTTTCTTCTTTTTTTATTTACCAGCTAAGGTCCCGCTGAGCTACTGCGTGAAGGCCGTACCCCCACGGTCTGGCGAAGCGGGGACGTTGGCGGTTTTCTCTCCCTGCAGGCTCAGCAGCAGGGCGCAGGACTTCCCCACGAGCAGCAGCTTGTCCAGGATGGGGGTGAGGAAGGGAACTCCGTCTCCTGCTCCGACCCCCCCGTCTGCCGACCGGCGGCCTCCGTCCCGCGGGAAGTCGCGCAGCGTGAACGCCTTCTGCCAGAAGTCCTCGTGCTCCTCGCAGACCACGCGGTTTCTGCGCGAGTCGCAACAGGCGGGCGGGCGGGCGGGCGGACGCGTCCACACACGCAGGGCGAGATGGCGACGCAGGACTGGTCAACCGTCACGTGAACGCACGTCGCAGCGGGTTTCCATAAACGGCGCATCGCCAACACACGTCCGCCCTCTCGTCCTCCTTCTGCCTGTGCCCAATGCCGTTCCCAGTGCTTCTCCCTCCTTGCACCCCTCCACTTGAATCAACTTCCCTTGCACATTGAGCAGCACTGCTACCCATAGACTCAACACTGTCCATAGACTCAACATTGCCCAAAGACTCAACACTGTCCATAGACTCAACACTGCTCGTAGACTCAACACTGCCCACAGACATAACACTGCCCATAGACTCAACACTGCCCATAGACTCAACACTGCCCACAGACATAACACTGCCCATAGACTCAACACTGCCCATAGACTCAACACTGCCCATAGACTCAACACTGCCCAAAGACTCAACACTGCCCATAGACTCAACACTGCCCATAGACTCAACACTGACCCTGTACATTAAGCAGTCCCCCTCCTTAACCTCATTCCGCTCCTCTCTTCAAGCCTCACCTCTTCTCCATCCCCTCCCCTCCCCTCGCCCCTCCTCGAGCGAAGGCGCTCCATAGAAATATTTAAATTCGATAACAGAGGTTTTTTTGGGTTAGATCGCGTAAATATCTAAATGTTTCGTTAAACCCGCCACCACCCGAAACAGACCATTCGTAAGGTTTGTTACGTAAACGGAAAGTGGCCAATTCGTCACTAGTACAGCACTAACCGGTTGCGTGTTTGAGAGTAAACCAGCAACATTTACAATCCGAGTGCGACGTTTCGCCAGCAATCACAACCGGCATCATCAGGCCGCAGACAAACTTGTGGAGCAATCCTCCCGCTTCGTTCCTTAGAACGATAGACGTGATGCAGAGGTCGCAACCGGGTACCTGATACCCGTACCCTACCCGATACCCGGCTACCCGTACCCGGCCGGGTACGGGTAGCCGTTTGCGACCCTGGTGCGGCTGGGTACGGGTAGACTGTGAGTCACTGGTGAGTCACCGTTTGTCACTCATTTCCCAACGTCTTGTCTCTTCTCACAATTCAAGTTCCTAGAATCAACCCACCCGCGCCTGCAACATGGCTTTATCCCAGAGGTCGCAATCGGGTACCCGATACCCGTACCCTACCCGTACCCGGCCGGGTACAGGCACGGCCGGGTACGGGTACGGCTGGGTACGGGTACGGGTACCCGTTTGCGACCCTGGTGCGGCCGGGTACGGGTACGGGTAAGGAATCAAAACCCGTTTGCGACCTCTGACGTGATGGCGTCACTTGTGAGCCCTTCGCTTGCTAAGGGGGATTCATGAATGCAAATCAATTACAATGGGTATCCAATAGCGGTTGAGTCGCCCGTTATGTTGACGTGACAAACCTCACTGATCGGCTGTGTCGGGTGGTGGCGGTGCTTAACCACACGTTCATATTCACGCGATCTAACCCACAAAAAACCTGCGTTATGGATGATATTGGTCGCGAAAACCTACTGCTACGTCAGTTTAACACACAGTAGGCCAACATCATCCACAATAGAAGTCTTTAAATATATAAAAGTGTCGTCTATGGGGCGGGTCGCTCACCTCTCCAGGATGAATTCCCCGGCGGGGTCGTGGAGGTGGCCGAGGGTCACGCACTCACCGGCCATCTCCAGGGACGGCCGCAGGGAGCTCACAAACAGAGTGAGCAGCAGCTGGGCCTGCACGCGCAGACACCACGTAACCACGCACGACGCGCATCACACAGACGCCACGCACGACATACAGGCATCACAAAGACGCATTGCGTCTCTGTGATGCGTGGCGTGTCCCGTGTTGTTGTTGTTGTTGTTACCGTGTGCGTGGCGTGCCCCGTGTTGTTGTTGTTGTTGCCGTGTGCGTGGCGTGTTGTTGTTGTTGTTACCGTTTGCGTGGCGTGCCCCGTGTTGTTGTTGTTGTTACCGTGTGCGTGGCGTGCCCCATGTTGTTGTTGTTGTTGTTACCGTGTGCGTGGCGTGTTGTTGTTACCGTTTGCGTGGCGTGCCCCGTGTTGTTGTTGTTGTTACCGTTTGCGTGGCGTGCCCCATGTTGTTGTTGTTGTTACCGTGTGCGTGGCGTGCCCCGTGTTGTTGTTGTTGTTACCGTGTGCGTGGCGTGCCCCATGTTGTTGTTGTTGTTACCGTGTGCGTGGCGTGCCCCGTGTTGTGATGCTCCACCGCCGCACGGTGCAGCGCGTTGATGAGCCGGGCCGCGCGCACGTGAGCGGGGGGCGCGGGGCAGAGGACGGCGGCAGCGGACGACCCCCCGCTCGACCCCCCGCTCGACCCCCCGTTCGACCCCCCGCTCGACCCCCCGCTCGACCCCCCGCTCGACCCCCCGCTCGACCCCCCGCTCGACCCCCCGCCCGACCCCCCGTGCGGCTCGATGCCCTCGTCCAGTGCACGTCTCAGCTGCAGCAGCCCGGAGCGTCGCGAGCGCAACTCCTCCAGCAGCGCGGACAGCGTGAGTGCCGGGCCCTCTGGGACACACGCAGACACACCGGGGCGTCACGCGCGGCGTCACACGCGGGTTCGCGAGGCGCTGTACGCCCAACTTGTATCGGTACGCACTTCGCTAACCACGCTCATGGGGGGGGTGGGTGGGGGGGGTGCACCGAGGCCGGCGCCTAGGCCTCGGCAAGGCAAGGTAAAAGGTAAAAACAACGAGCCTACCTTTACCCTTACCCCATACAAATGACCTGATTACAGGGTAATTACTGGGGTACTACTACACATGAACAAGGTGTATAACAGGTGAATGCGAGGTAGAGCGCTTTACTCATATTGAATACTCTCGATGATTCCAATTTTAAATGGAGGCCACGGACTGCGCCACGGAGCTTTTAGCGAGCGGTAAACAAGGTAGTAGGTAAACAAGGTAGTAGGTAAACAAGGCAGTAGGTAAACAAGGCAGTAGGTAAACAAGGTAGTAGGTAACAAGGCAGTAGGTAAACAAGGTAGTAGGTAAACAAGGTAGTAGGTAAACAAGGTAGTAGGTAAACAAGGTAGTAGGTAAACAAGGTAGTAGGTAACAAGGCAGTAGGTAAACAAGGCAGTAGGTAAACAAGGCAGTAGGTAAACAAGGTAGTAGGTAAACAAGGTAGTAGGTAAACAAGGTAGTAGGTAAACAAGGCAGTAGGTAAACAAGGCAGTAGGTAAACAAGGTAGTAGGTAACAAGGCAGTAGGTAAACAAGGTAGTAGGTAAACAAGGTAGTAGGTAAACAAGGCAGTAGGTAAACAAGGTAGTAGGTAAACAAGGTAGTAGGTAAACAAGGTAGTAGGTAAACAAGGCAGTAGGTAAACAAGGCAGTAGGTAAACAAGGTAGTAGGTAAACAAGGCAGTAGGTAAACAAGGCAGTAGGTAAACAAGGTAGTAGGTAAACAAGGTAGTAGGTAAACAAGGCAGTAGGTAAACAAGGTAGTAGGTAAACAAGGTAGTAGGTAAACAAGGCAGTAGGTAAACAAGGCAGTAGGTAAACAAGGCAGTAGGTAAACAAGGCAGTAGGTAAACAAGGTAGTAGGTAAACAAGGCAAAGTAAACAAGGCAGTAGGTAAACAAGGTAGTAGGTAAACAAGGCAGTAGGTAAACAAGGCAGTAGGTAAACAAGGCAGTAGGTAAACAAGGCAGTAGGTAAACAAGGTAGTAGGTAAACAAGGCAGTAGGTAAACAAGGCAGTAGGTAAACAAGGCAGTAGGTAAACAAGGCAGTAGGTAAACAAGGCAGTAGGTAAACAAGGCAGTAGGTAAACAAGGTAGTAGGTAAACAAGGTAGTAGGTAAACAAGGCAGTAGGTAAACAAGGCAGTAGGTAAACAAGGTAGTAGGTAAACAGGGCAGTAGGTAAACAAGGTAGTAGGTAAACAAGGTAGTAGGTAAACAAGGCAGTAGGTAAACAAGGTAGTAGGTAAACAAGGCAGTAGGTAAACAAGGCAGTAGGTAAACAAGGTAGTAGGTAAACAAGGTAGTAGGTAAACAAGGTAGTAGGTAAACAAGGCAGTAGGTAAACAAGGTAGTAGGTAAACAAGGCAGTAGGTAAACAAGGTAGTAGGTAAACAAGGCAGTAGGTAAACAAGGTAGTAGGTAAACAAGGTAGTAGGTAAACAAGGCAGTAGGTAAACAAGGCAGTAGGTAAACAAGGCAGTAGGTAAACAAGGCAGTAGGTAAACAAGGTAGTAGGTAAACAAGGCAGTAGGTAAACAAGGTAGTAGGTAAACAAGGTAGTAGGTAAACAAGGTAGTAGGTAAACAAGGCAGTAGGTAAACAAGGTAGTAGGTAAACAAGGTAGTAGGTAAACAAGGTAGTAGGTAAACAAGGTAGTAGGTAAACAAGGTAGTAGGTAAACAAGGCAGTAGGTAAACAAGGTAGTAGGTAAACAAGGTAGTAGGTAAACAAGGTAGTAGGTAAACAAGGCAGTAGGTAAACAAGGCAGTAGGTAAACAAGGTAGTAGGTAAACAAGGTAGTAGGTAAACAAGGTAGTAGGTAAACAAGGCAGTAGGTAAACAAGGTAGTAGGTAAACAAGGTAGTAGGTAAACAAGGTAGTAGGTAAACAAGGTAGTAGGTAAACAAGGCAGTAGGTAAACAAGGCAGTAGGTAAACAAGGCAGTAGGTAAACAAGGCAGTAGGTAAACAAGGCAGTAGGTAAACAAGGCAGTAGGTAAACAAGGCAGTAGGTAAACAAGGCAGTAGGTAAACAAGGTAGTAGGTAAACAAGGTAGTAGGTAAACAAGGTAGTAGGTAAACAAGGTAGTAGGTAAACAAGGCAGTAGGTAAACAAGGTAGTAGGTAAACAAGGCAGTAGGTAAACAAGGTAGTAGGTAAACAAGGTAGTAGGTAAACAAGGTAGTAGGTAAACAAGGTAGTAGGTAAACAAGGTAGTAGGTAAACAAGGTAGTAGGTAAACAAGGTAGTAGGTAAACAAGGTAGTAGGTAAACAAGGTAGTAGGTAACAAGGCAGTAGGTAAACAAGGTAGTAGGTAAACAAGGTAGTAGGTAAACAAGGTAGTAGGTAAACAAGGCAATAGGTAAACAAGGCAGTAGGTAAACAAGGTAGTAGGTAAACAAGGCAGTAGGTAAACAAGGTAGTAGGTAAACAAGGTAGTAGGTAAACAAGGTAGTAGGTAAACAAGGCAGTAGGTAAACAAGGCAGTAGGTAACAAGGTAGTAGGTAAACAAGGTAGTAGGTAAACAAGGCAGTAGGTAAACAAGGTAGTAGGTAAACAAGGCAGTAGGTAAACAAGGTAGTAGGTAAACAAGGCAGTAGGTAAACAAGGCAGTAGGTAACAAGGTAGTAGGTAAACAAGGCAGTAGGTAAACAAGGTAGTAGGTAAACAAGGTAGTAGGTAAACAAGGCAGTAGGTAAACAAGGTAGTAGGTAAACAAGGCAGTAGGTAACAAGGCAGTAGGTAAACAAGGTAGTAGGTAAACAAGGTAGTAGGTAAACAAGGCAGTAGGTAAACAAGGTAGTAGGTAAACAAGGTAGTAGGTAAACAAGGCAGTAGGTAAACAAGGCAGTAGGTAAACAAGGTAGTAGGTAAACAAGGTAGTAGGTAAACAAGGCAGTAGGTAAACAAGGTAGTAGGTAAACAAGGTAGTAGGTAAACAAGGCAGTAGGTAAACAAGGTAGTAGGTAAACAAGGTAGTAGGTAACAAGGCAGTAGGTAAACAAGGTAGTAGGTAAACAAGGCAGTAGGTAAACAAGGTAGTAGGTAAACAAGGCAGTAGGTAAACAAGGTAGTAGGTAAACAAGGCAGTAGGTAAACAAGGCAGTAGGTAAACAAGGCAGTAGGTAAACAAGGCAGTAGGTAAACAAGGCAGTAGGTGAACAAGGTAGTAGGTAAACAAGGCAGTAGGTAAACAAGGCAGTAGGTAAACAAGGTAGTAGGTAAACAAGGTAGTAGGTAAACAAGGCAGTAGGTAAACAAGGCAGTAGGTAAACAAGGTAGTAGGTAAACAAGGCAGTAGGTAAACAAGGCAGTAGGTAAACAAGGCAGTAGGTAAACAAGGCAGTAGGTAAACAAGGCAGTAGGTGAACAAGGTAGTAGGTAAACAAGGCAGTAGGTAAACAAGGCAGTAGGTAAACAAGGTAGTAGGTAAACAAGGCAGTAGGTAAACAAGGTAGTAGGTAAACAAGGCAGTAGGTAAACAAGGTAGTAGGTAAACAAGGTAGTAGGTAAACAAGGCAGTAGGTAAACAAGGCAGTAGGTAAACAAGGTAGTAGGTAAACAAGGCAGTAGGTAAACAAGGCAGTAGGTAAACAAGGTAGTAGGTAAACAAGGCAGTAGGTAAACAAGGCAGTAGGTAAACAAGGTAGTAGGTAAACAAGGCAGTAGGTAAACAAGGCAGTAGGTAAACAAGGCAGTAGGTAAACAAGGTAGTAGGTAAACAAGGCAGTAGGTAAACAAGGCAGTAGGTAAACAAGGTAGTAGGTAAACAAGGTAGTAGGTAAACAAGGTATTCACCGGGTAATACTTCGCGCTACCTTTACCCTACCCTTTACCTTACCCCTTGGCATGTCGACACCCTAACCCTTTGCCTTTACCCGGTAAAAAGGGTAAATTACCTTGCCTTGCCGAGACCTACCGGCGCCCTGCGTTGAGGTGCGTGTAACTCACCCTGCCGCATGGCGCGCCGCTCCACGTCGGTGAGCTCCCGACGGAAGGCTCCGAGGTACTCGGCGAGGGAGAAGGCGAACGCCTGCAGCGTGCGGCACGGCGGAGCCTGCGAGCCGTGACCACGTGACAGGGCATAACGGAGCGTGACGGAGAGCGCGACCGAGGGTGACGGGGCGTGACGAAGCGTTAGGGAGAGCGCGACCGACGGTGACGGGGCGTGACGAAGCGTTAGGGAGAGCGCGACCGAGGGTGACGGGGCGTGACGAAGCGTTAGGGAGAGCGCGACCGACGGTGACGGGGCGTGACGAAGCGTTAGGGAGAGCGCGACCGACGGTGACGGGGCGTGACGAAGCGTTAGGGAGAGCGCGACCGAGGGTGACGGGGCGTGACGAAGCGTTAGGGAGAGCGCGACCGACGGTGACGGGGCGTGACGAAGCGTTAGGGAGAGCGCGACCGACGGTGACGGGGCGTGACGAAGCGTTAGGGAGAGCGCGACCGAGGGTGACGAGGCGTGACGGACTGTAGCGGAGAGCGCCACCGACGGTGACGGAGCTTGACGGAGATTCATACAGTGCGGTCATTCGCCAACGCCTCCCACGTACGATGTCATTTCAGGCGTTTTACAAATCGCCTCGCGTTCCCCCTGGGACATTGCCACGTACCCACAGCAGCCCGCGTATCCCCAGCCCGGGGAATACCAAGGCGAGCCGTGCGTGTGCACGCAGCTACGCCGGGGCTAGGCGGAGAGCGCCACCTCTCACAGCGCCACCGACGCACGCCAGACGCTCGCCCCCTACGGGGGTCACCGCGTGTCCCCCGTCGTCCTCACCTCGTCGCTGGCCGGCCGCGTCGTGTCTTCGACGAAGGCCTGGAGCCTTAGAGTCACCTCGCCGAACGCGCACACGTCGCCCAGCAGCGCTCGCAGACTCGCCTGGCACGCACAAAGACAAAGATCCCCCCCCCCACCGCGTAGCCTTAACAGACTTGTTAGGGCAAGTGCTGTGGGCGAGTAGCACCTGATAATTGTTTTTTTACCCTTCTATCTGGCAACAAAACTGACACCTTTTTTACAAGGAGTCATGTTTGCATAGGCCACAATACCTGCAGTCGGAATGCAAACAAAAAACATAACTCTGATGATGTATGCACCATGCGGCTTGGTGGGAGCCTTCGACAGTTCACGAGGTGCACCCAGCCTGGCGCAAGCGCCGTGGCGAAGCCACCGCGAATTGGCGTCCGTCGCTGCGCGGCTACTCAGCCGCCGTCGTCGGAGTCAGCTGAGACGCCGGTGGTTCGATCGCTGGATCTCTGACTCCGGAAGCCACGCACGCGGCCACGCGATTCGTTCGTTTAATAATCTCACAAAATGTAGGGTCCCGGCCACAGCCGAGCTGCGGGGCTGCGTTACCGGAGTAAGGTGGGTGACGCCGATGCCTTCGCGGACCGTCACCTTCCCGTGATGCACCTCAAACGCAAAGAGGTTCGTGGTGCCCATCAGTAGCCTGGTGGAAACACGGGACACGCCAATGTCACTCAACATCACCGGGTGATACAACGAACTCACAGCCTCAACGGGAAGCTACAACAACCTACAACACAAATTCACAGGCTCAACACTAACTCACAACACCAACCCACAGCCTCAACACCAACCTACAACAAAAACTCACAGGCTAAACACTAACTCACAACACCAACCCACAGCCTCAACACAAACCTACAACACAAACTCATAGGCTCAAGACTAACTCACAACACCAACCCACAGCCTCAACAGTAACCTACAACAACCCACAACACCAACCCACATCCTTCAACAGTAACCTACAACACCAACTCACAGCCTCAACACCAACCCACATCTTTCAACAGTAAACTACAACAACCCGCATGTACGTGTGTGTGTAGCGATGGGGGAGCGGTGGCACAACGGTTAGTGTGCTGCGCCACGAACCCGGCGATCCGAGTTCGACTCCCGCTCACAGCCAACAGCGGTGGCGAATATCTAAACAGGTCCTGGGCCTCGTCTAGGTCGACTCAGCCTCAAATAAGTAGCCGGTACCGTGTGCAACGTCGCCACTGGGGAGACAAATCTGTCCAGGCTTAGTTCTGGCCACCCACCCCCTCGAGTGCTGTGCCGGCCTTCACAGGTGCTGCTCGCTAAAAGCACTTGCCCCAACACTCCGTTAAGGCTACACGGGGGATCTTTGTCTTTGGAGCGAGGCAGAGTATGGTGTCGACTCACCACAGGGTCTCCCTCACCAGCTGTGCCTCAGTGAGCACAGCACCTGCCCGGGGCACGGACAGGGCGTCCGTCTCGCAGAGGAACCCCTCCCTGTCGCCACACACACAGCAGAGACATCGCGCGTGGACACAGGGCGGCGGCGCCGGAGGAGGCGGTACGTGGGCGTGCGTACATATCCACGTGTGTGCGGGCAGATGTGTCCGTGTGAGTGTGTGAGTGGGGAGCGGTGGTGTAGCGGTTAGCGCGCTGCGCTATGAACCTAGCGACCCGGGTTCGATTCCCGCTCATGGCCAACACCAGTGACGATTATCTGAACCGGTCCTGGGCCTCTCCTAGGTCGACTCAGCCTGAAATGAGTACCTGGTGCGGTGCGTCAACATCGCCACTGGGGAAACAAAGGCGGCCGGGCGTGGTGCTGGCCACCCACCCCCCTCGTGTGCCGTGCCGGCCTTCACAGGTGCTCGCTAACAGCACTTGCCCCTGCAGCCTGTAAAGACTATGTGGGGCATCTTTTTCTTGTGTGTGTTCTTATTGTTGTTGGTGTGTGTGTGCACATGAGTATGTATGTACGTTTGTCTGTCTGTATGTGGTTGTATGTTACGTGGGTATGCTGTAATGCATTTGTAATAATGTGTATGTGTACGTGCGTAATGTGTGTGTGTGTCTAATCTGTACTCGTATATATGTACTAGTACAGATGTAACGAAATGCACACAAGGGGGTAAGTTTTTCCCACCAGTTATGAACACCGTGTCTTTACATAATACAACAGGGTGCTGTGTTCATGGCCTTACCAGGCCTTGGCCAAGTTGGAGTGGAGGTGAGTGCTACACGGGCAGTGGGGAGACGGGACAGCCCAGTATCGACGCACGAGGTGCTCACGGAGCCAGCGATAGTCACAGCTCTCCTTCTCTAAACACAACAACACACGCCACGTGCATCACCGACGTCATCACCAATGTCACCACCAACATCACCACCACCGTCACCACCACCGTCACCACCGACGTCACCACCGACGTCACCACCGACGTCACCACCGACGTCACCACCGACGTCACCACCGACGTCACCACCAACCACCCCAATCACCGCTGCCGGCTTCCACCGGACGGAGCTCTACGGGAGCCACCTCTCTGGAGGGAGGAAATTTGGCCTACTCTTCCACGCCGATGCACGTACAGTCCCGTTCTCCGATGAGCGCGGATACAACAACGCGATGAAAGTTGTTAGTAGCAGCGGGTGAATGCTAAATTATTTTTTTTTGTAACGCGGTTGCAGCTCGATCGGGCGAGCGGAACAAGCGGCCGTGCGGCAGCCTCGGCGAGGCGCTGGGATGCTGCGAGATGCTTCCAGATGCTGCCCCACGCGCCTCGGTCGTTGTTCAGCCCCGCGTAACGCATCTCACGCGCTGACGCTTTACCCCTACATTGCATATTTATTCGTTATTTCACGCGGTTTTTGTCAGGAACGCGGCGTTCTTCAGGAACGCAACTACTACGATGATGATGATGCCGATGATGATGATGGTGCCGACGATGCTGACGATGATGATGATGATGACGATGATGACGATGATGACGATGATGACGATGCTGACGATGACGATGATATTGACGATGAGGACGATGATGATGCCGATGATGATGATGGTGCCGACGATGATGATGATGCTGATGATGATAATGATGCTGATAATGATGCCGATGATGATGATGACGATGATACTGACGATGATGACGATGATAACAAAGATGACGATGCTGACGATGATGATTATGCCGATGATGCCGATGATGCTGATGATGCCGACGACGATGATGATGGTGCCGACGACGACGATGATGAGGAAGAACCTGCTGGCTTTGAGACGTCCGTGCCCTTGGGAGGACCGGGGTGCAGCACGGGACTCCGATCGGCCTGAATCCCCGAGTCCACACGACGGAATCCTTTCTTTTCCTCATCCTCCTCCTCCTCATCCTCCTCCGACCACTCCTGCACAGACAGCAAGCGTGGCCCCGCACGTCGTTAACCGAGCCGAATCTCCGGGAGGGTGCGAGCGTGCGTGTGTGCCACCGTGGGTTGCCACGCGTGTGCCGCGGGATGGGAGGTGGTGGGGGGCAGGGCTTGGTGACGTCACCTGCAGCACCGGGCCGCGCCGTGACACTGCCTCGTGGTAGGCAGCAGACTCTGTTGGTCTCGCTACTTCACGGGGCGCCATCTCGGCGTGATCCGCCAACCCTGGTCACACGGGCATGAGCCGCAGCCACGCTCAAGATAAATCCGCCACGCTGGCTGGGAGATGTTGACTACCTCGCCTGATGTGCAGGAGGTCGTGGGTTCGATCCCGACCCTGACGATGCCTGCTGCTGTATATTTGGAGTTTGCGTGTCTCTCTCTCTCCATGGTGAGATGTCAACAACCTCGCCTGGTCTACAAGAGGTCGTGGGTTCGATCCCGACCCTGACGATGCCTGCTGCTGTATATTTGGAGTCTGCGTGTCTCTCTCTCCATGGTGAGATGTTAACAACCTCGCCTGGTCTACAAGAGGTCGTGGGTTCGATCCCGACCCTGACGATGCCTGCTGTATATTTGGTCGCGAAAGGCTACGTGTTAAACTGTATATTTGGAGTTTGCTGTGTCCTGCTCAATCCCCATGGCCGCGTGGATCTTTCTCCGTATTTAGAATCGGCGTTTTAATATTTGGCTGCCATAAATGTCCACGTGATAAGCCACTTCGTTGAGCTATCATTTGTGATAGCCAGGTGACTTCTGAAAAAAATCTGCGTAGCTCAGTGGGGGCCTTACCTGGTAAAACAATAATCCTAGTAAATAAATAAAAAAGTTGTGTGTGCGCGTGTGTGCGTGTGCGCGCGTGTGTGCGTGCGTGTGTGCGTGTGTGCGTGTGTGCGCGTGTGCGCGTGTGCGTGAATACGTACGGGCGTGTCCGGGTAGGGCCCCGCGAAGACGTCTTCCCGCAGGTAGCTCGCCCAGTCAAACGCCTCCTCCGCCGCTGGCGAAACGATCAAGGTCGAGAGGTCATCAGCCTTCTGTCCTTCCTTGCTTCCTTCCGCCTAACTTCGTAACGTCGAATGTTGCAGTACCCACGTCGTGACGGGTACCACAAGATCCGAGCGTGTCCGTCCAGTGCTCGGATAGGCTTCCGGTTGCCGATCAAACTCGTTACAAATGTCGTGCTCGTTACACGCTAAACGCTTGACACAAATGAGCCACAATACCTCGCTGGTCTAGTCAAGGCGACGCATAAACCACCCAGCAAACTCCGGTCATTCCTCACAGCGGCTTAGGCTAACCCCTCGCACAAAGACGGTGGTCGCCGCATCATCGCGCGTTTTCAGATGCCCTTCTGCGGCCGTCTGGAACGCTCTTTCCTTCCGATGTTAGCAAGCCACTGGAGCTATGCGCTTTTAAATCAACATCATCATCTACATTGAAAACGACTTTCTTTCGAACTGCATTTTGTGTTAAGTTTGTTGTCATTCCCCCGCACCTCCGATTAGCACGGTTGGCTACGTACGGTGCGAAAGAAGTTCAACATTTGTACGTAAGTAGCATGCAATCGACGCCGCCAATGTCCGGCGACCGCTATAATCGCTTCGACATCGGCACCGCCACCTGGATTTAGCACTTCCCACTCTTACAGTCAGTCGGTGGCGTTCACTCGGAAACTTTCTGCGGTCAGCAATGCGAGCAATCAGAATATTTATTTAGACTGCAGGAGTAATCCGATGAGCTAATGAAGCAATTCTTTGCGCAGATATCAAGTAGGGGCACGGGGTAAGAACGTCACAACAACAGTTACAACCGTAGTGCAACTCCCATAGCAATGAAACTAAACCATCCCCATCCTAGCAGGCAAAGCCCACTGAGGCAGTCACTTAATATTTAGCATCGCCGCTGCACCGCCCCCCCACCAACCCCATGCCCCCCACCCCCCCCCCCCCCGGCGTTGATCACTGGATGCGAACTGCAACGGCAACCTCCGCTACAATCACCGCCGCCGCTGTCGCAAGCTGCCGCAAGCTATCGCAAGCTGCACCGCGCTCGCGCGAGATCAGGATCGCAACATTTGTTCATCCCGGAGGAATCCGATGAGTTGTGAAGCTCTATTTGTTTCACAGGTGGGGGCGGCCGCGGTTACCTGGAGGCTGGGCGACGGGGCGCTCCGTGTACTCGGAGTTCGACGGAGAGGCGGACAAGGCGAGCAGCAGGAAGAGCACGGCATAGTGAGCCTCCGTCTGGCACGGAGCGCACGCGATCGACGTCATCATCGTCGTCGTCGTCACCGTCGTCGTCGTCATCGTCGTCGTCATCATCGTCGTCATCGTCGCCATCAACATCTGTGTGCGTGTGCGCCTCGAACTTCTTTCACAACGCACGTAGCCGACCGTGCTCATCGGAGGTCCCTACAGGAGATCGCAACTACAAATTCGGAATCAACGGGAATCTCTCTCCCATAGACTGACACTGCCCATAGACTCACAACCACCCATAGACTCAACAATACCCATTGACTCAACACTGTCCATAGACTCAACACTGCCCATAGACTCAGCACTGCCCATAGACTGACACTACCCATTGACTCAACACTGCCCATAGACTCAACACTACACATAGACTCAACACTTCACATAGACTCAACACTACCCATAGACTCAACACTTCACATAGACTCAACACTACCCATAGACTCAACACTGCCCATAGACTCAACACTGCCCATAGACTCAACACTACCCATAGACTCAACACTGCCCATAGACTCAACACTGCCCATAGACTCAACACTGCCCATATACTGACACTGCCCATAGACTGACACTGCCCATAAACTAACACTGCCCATAGACTCAACACTGCTCATAGACTGACACTACCCATAGACTCAACACTGCCCATAGACTAACACTGCCCAAAGACTCAACACTACCTATTGACTCAACACCACCCATAGCCTCAACACCACCCATAGACTCAACACTGCCCATACACTCAACACTGCACCTCCGATTAGCAAGGCTGGCTACGTACGTATACAGGATGTCATGGGTGCGATCGCGACCCTGACGCCTGCTGTATATTTGTATTTTGCATGCTCTCCCCGTGGTCGCGTGGATTTTTCTCCGGTTTTTTCCTCCACGTTTAGAAACGACGTGACGTGCGTTTTTAGAGTATTTGGCTGCCGTAGATTTCGCCGCGACTTCGTACAGCTGTCATTTGTGGTGGCCAGGGTCGCTTCTGAGCAAAGAGCTGCAGAGTAGCTCAGTGGGGCCTTAGCTGTTAAAACAAAAATTGCTCAAATTTCGATTTAAAGCTTTGGTGACTGCAGGGATTCATCTTCTTGGTTATTTCGGTAAAGTCACGTAGAAGGAAAATAATAAAATAATAAAAATAAAACATAATAAAATAATTCTCACGACGTTTCGGCCACAACGCAAGCAGCCGTCCTCAGCGTCTTTCCGACAGCCCTGTTCTTCACCTGAGGACGGCTGCTTGCGTTGTGGCCGAAACGTCGTGAGAATTTTATTACGTTTTATTTTTATTATTTTATTATTTCCCTTCTACGTGACTTTACCGAAAGAACCAAGAAAAAATTGCTCAGTTTACTTCTAATTTAGTTTACTCGACTCCGGCTCCGGCGAGCCGATGGGCTCACATTGTGCTCGGTGGTGAGGAGGAGGGGTGAGTGTAGGAAGCCGTGGGTGAGGCTCCGCCAGCTGCCTGCCTTCAGCGCGTCCGAATGCACCAGCAGCTTCTCATGAATCCTGCGTGCGCACACGCGGGGGGGGGGGGGGGGGTGGCAGCTCGCTCGTGAAGGAGGCCTCTCCTGCGCCAGAGGTCGCAAACGGGTTTTGATTCCTTACCCGTACCCGGCCGCACCAGGGTCGCAAACGGGTACCCGTACCCGGCCGTACCCGTACCCTACCAGTACCCAGCAGGGTACGGGTAGGGTACGGGTATCGGGTACCTGATTGCAACCTCTGGGATGAAGCCATTTTGCAGGCGCGGGTGGGTTGATTCTAGGAACTTGAATTGTGAGAAGAGACAAGACGTTGGGAAATGAGTGACAAACAGTTACTCACCAGTGACTCACGGCCTACCCGTACCCGTACCCGGCCGCACCAGGGTCACAAACGGGTAGCCGTACCCGGCCGGGTACGGGTAGCCGGATATCGGGTATGGTACAGGTATTGGGTACCCGATTGCGACCTCTGCCCGCAGCGCACACGGTGGCAAGATGTTAACTACCTCGCCTGGTGCACAGGAGGTCGTGGGTCCGAACCCGACCCTGACACCGGTTGTATATTTGTAATTTCCATGCGTGTCTCTCCCCGTGGTCGCATGGGTTTTCTCTGTTTTTATCCCTCCGCATTTAAAATCAACGTCACGCGTTTAGAGTATTCGCCTGCTAAAATGTCCACGTGATAAGCCACTTCGTTGGGCTATCGTTTGTGGCCGGCTCGCTTCTGTAAAAAATAACTGCATAGCTCAGTGGGCCTTACCTGGTAAAATAATAAAAATAGTGTTTAAGTTTAGTTTAGAAGTGAGTTGTGAGATCTCAGCTTGGAAACCAATGACTGCACAAACAAAATCAAGACAAAGCCACTCACATTAATTTAGCCCTGCACTTAATTTTGCTAAATGCCACGCGTCACTCACCCATCTATTGCACGGATCACCTTGTGTCGGTCCACGTCCAGATATCGGTGAAACCTGTATAACAATAACAACAACAGTTACCACCATCGGCTTACACGCGCCAATTAGGTCGAGTAATCGAAGGCTTCTGAGATGATGAGACGACGCAGCCGCACTCGCCTCAAGGTGGACGCCACGAAGCTGGTGGCCAGGGAGAAGTTGGCGGTGCCGGGCGCCAGTTCCGTCACGGCCCGAACCAGCTCGCGAGCCTGCCGCTCGGCCTCACGCCCCGCCATGCGGACTCGTGCCTCGCCTCCCGGAGATGGGCAGGACGTCACCTGCAACAGCAGCAGCAGGAGCAGCAGCAGGAGCAGCAGCAGCAGGAGCAGCAGCAGCAGGAGCAGCAGCAGGAGCAGCAGCAGCAGCAGCAGGAGCAGCAGCAGCAGGAGCAGCAGCAGGAGCAGCAGCAGCAGGAGCAGCAGCAGCAGCAGGGGCAGCAGCAGCAGCAGCAGGAGCAGCAGCGGCAGGAGCAGCAGCAGCAGGAGCAGCAGCAGCAGGAGCAGCAGGAGCAGCAGCAGCAGCAGGAGCAGCAGCAGCAGCAGGAGCAGCAGCAGGTGCAGCAGCAGCAGGAGCAGCAGCAGGAGCAGGAGCAGCAGGAGCAGCAGGAGCAGCAGCAGCAGCAGGTGCAGCAGCAGCAGGAGCAGCAGCAGCAGCAGCAGCAGGAGCAGCAGCAGCAGGAGCAGCAGCAGGTGCAGCAGCAGCAGGAGCAGCAGCAGGAGCAGCAGCAGCAGCAGGTGCAGCAGCAGCAGGAGCAGCAGCAGCAGCAGGAGCAGCAGCAGGTGCAGCAGCAGCAGGAGCAGCAGCAGCAGGAGCAGCAGCAGCAGCAGGAGCAGCAGGAGCAGCAGCAGCAGCAGGAGCAGCAGCAGCAGCAGGAGCAGCAGCAGCAGCAGGTGCAGCAGCAGCAGGAGCAGCAGCAGCAGCAGCAGCAGGTGCAGCAGCAGCAGCAGCGGCAGCAGCAGCATGAGCAGGAGCAGCAGCAGCAGCAGCAGGTGCAGCAGCAGCAGGAGCAGCAGCAGTAGGTGCAGCAGCATCAGCAGCAGGAGCAGCAGCAGCAGCAGGAGCAGAAGCAATAGGAACACAGTCAGCAACCAGTAGCAGTAGTAGGAATACAATCAGTAACCAGCAGCAGTAGCAGCAACACAAGCAACAGTAACGCGTGTTGCCTCCGAAACGTCGTGATTTCATTTAGTTGTTTTTTTTCATTTACATTTTTAACCTACGTGAGAGACACACACAGACAGACACAGACAGAGACACACACAAAGAAAGACACACACAGACACACACACAGACAGACACACAGATAGACACACACACAGACACACACACAGACAGACACACACACAGACACACACAGACAGGCACACACAGACAGACACACACAGACAGGCACACACAGACAGAAAACACAAGAGACACACAGATAGAGACCCAAACACAGACAGACACACAACTACACAGCCACACACAGACAGAGACACACAGACACACACAGACAGAGACACACACATACAGACACACACACAGACACACACAGACACACACACAGACACACACAGACACAGACAGACACACACACAGACAGACACACACACAGACAGAAACACACAAGAGACACACACACACAGACACACACACAGACACACACAGACACACACACAGACACACACAGACACAGACAGACACACACACAGACAGACACACACACAGACAGAAACACACAAGAGACACACACACACAGACACACACACAGACAGACACACACAGACACACACACAGACAGACACACACAGACACAAACACACAGACACACACACAGGCAGACACACACACAGACACATACAGAGACACACAGACACACACAGACACACACAGACAGAGACACACACATACAGACACACACACAGAGACACACAGACACACACAGACACACACACAGACACACACAGACACAGACAGACACACACACAGACAGACACACACACACAGACAGAAACACACAAGAGACACACACACACAGACACACAGACAGACAGACACACACAGACACACACACACAGACAGACACACACACACACAGACAGACACACACAGACACAAACACACAGACACACACACAGACAGACACACACACACACAGACAGAGAGAGGCACGTCCCGGACTTCAACAATAAAGTTTCAGCCTCGCGAAGTATAAAAAAGAACCTCGCAACTTACAAACCACGCGGCTGGACGCTCTGGCCTGCAGCGCCCGTTCACTCCGATTCCTTCCTTCTGTTGGAAGCTTTTAAACACGAACACGCAACTTTCACACGCAACTTTCACACGCAACTTTCACACGCAACTTTCACACGCAACTTTCACACGCAACTTTCACACGCTCCACGTCTCGTTCGCCTGCACACTGTACATCCACTGTGCTTGGTGTCGCCGTGACGTCACGGACACGGTTGTTCATAGCGACGTCACCACGTCTCGCGGCGGTGACGTCATCCCGCGCGTGAAACCTTCGGCCGTGACGTCATCTCGCCAGCAGAACCGTTCGGCCTCGACGTCATCCCGCGCGTGAAACCGTTGATCGTGACGTCATCCCGCCAGCAGAACCGTCGGCCTTGACGTCATCCCGCGCGTGAAACCGTTGATCGTGACGTCATCCCGCCAGCAGAACCGTTCGGCCTCGACGTCATCCCCCGCGTGGAACCGTCGGCGTGACGTCATCCTGCCAGCAGAACCGTCGGCCTTGACGTCATCCTGCGCGTGAAACCATCGACCGTGACGTCATCCCGCGTGTGATCTTCCGGCCGTGCCGCGCAATGACAACCCTTGCTTTGTGTAAAAGCCGGGGATGGCCAGCGCGTGACGTAATGCCGTGACGTCACAAAAGCGTTGTACTCCATGGCTACGATTAGAAAACTACAGAATTCTGTCTCTAAAGTGGCCTCTGTGGGTGGGTGGGTGAATGGGTGAGTGGTTGGGTGAGTGGGTAGGTGGGTTGGTGGCTGGGTAGGTGAGTGGGTGGGTAGGTGAGTGGGTGAGTGGATGAATGGGTGTGTGGGTGAATGGGTGAGTGGTTGGGTGAGTGGGTAGGTGGGTGAGTGGGTGGGTGAGTGGATGAATGGGTGTGTGGGTGAATGGGTGAGTGGTTGGGTGAGTGGGTAGGTGGGTTGGTGGCTGGGTAGGTGAGTCGGTGGGTCGGTGGGTAGGTGAGTGGGTGAGTGGATGAATGGGAGTGGGTGAATGGGTGAGTGGTTGGGTGAGTGGGTAGGTGAGTGGGTAGGTGGGTGAGTGGGTGGGTGAGTGGATGAATGGGTGTGTGGGTGAATGGGTGGGTGAGTGGGTAGGTGGGTTGGTGGCTGGGTAGGTGAGTGGGTGGGTAGGTGAGTGGATGAATGGGTGTGGGTGAATGGGTGAGTGTGTGGGTGGCTGGGTAGGTGAGTGGGTGAGTGGATGAATGGGTGTGTGGGCGGGTGAGTGGGTAGGTGGGTTGGTGGCTGGGTAGGTGAGTGGGTGGGTAGGTGAATGCGTGAGTGGGTGAATGGGTGTGGATGAATGGGTGAGAGGCAGATCTGTAAAGTACTTGAGTAATTTTACTTGATTACTTTATTTAAGTATTATTTTTGGGGAGTTTTACTTTACTTGAGTACGAATAAAAATCAATACTTTTACTTAATTACATTTTTTTAGAAAAAACAGTACTTTTTACTCCTTACAATTTTATTTACAGTCAAAAAGTACTTATTTTTTGGAGATCACTTCATTCTATTTTCCCTTGCTATTACCAAACCAATTGAATTGCGCTGATGCACAGTTTAATTTAAATGTTATTTATTCTGCCTATGAAAATCGTTTTCACATTACATGCAATTGGTCAGACATCATGGGAACCTCATTTGCCAGTAAAAAGTATAATTGTTTTTTTACCCTTTTATCTGGCAACAAAACTGATACCTTTTTACAAGGATTCATTTTTGCATAGACCACAATACCTGCAGTCACAATGCAAACAAAACACCTAACTCTGATAATGTGCACTGTCATTGAGTATTATTTTTGGGTCCAACCCATGTGAGACTAGGCTCTAAGGAAAGCTGTCTCGGGTGTGGACCAATCAACTTCAAGGACAGGGGGGGGGGGCGAGAGCCCCCACACAGTACATACATCGGTTGTGTGTTGTACATGTTGCGCTTGGCTCTCAACACACCGGTGGTGCTGTACTCGTAACGAATTGGCACGTTCTGTTCACGTGCCGAACCTTACTAATTGGCCGTGTTGGGCGCTGGCGGGTTTAATGACACATTCATATCTTCACGCGATCGAACCCAAAAACAAGTAAACCCGTAAAAACAAAGTTTTTCACTATAAATCCTTTATATGCGTGGCGGCTAGAGTCCTCTCGTCATCTGGCTTGAGATGGCTGCCACCTATGGGTCAGATGATTGCATTGCACCATTAAGCAATTGGTAATTAAATATAATATTTTTGTCCTAAAAAGTGTAAAATTTTTAAAAATTTTTTCACGAACATTAATTGTCACGAACGAGTCTGTGTGGAAAATGTAAACTCGATTGGATCACGGGAAGTGGGTTAAAAACGACCTAAAGATTTGCACGGTCGTAAGCAAGCAAGCAAGCAAGCGAACTTAATATTAAGTATTTTAAAAAGTCCGGCACTCTGGCACCGTGGTAGGAGTTCGGGTATCCATATATTTTTTTTAATAAACAGAGATTTATGTCAATGCACAGACGTGTGGGTGGGTATGTGTGTACGTGCGTGGGATACGTGTGTGGGTACGTGCATGGGTACGTGCGTGGGTACGTGCGTGGGTACGTGTAAATATTAAGAGGCTACGGAGTAGGTCCGCGCGGTTGTCACAGATCCACGGTGCTGGGGATATTCTTCGGGAAAGCGAACGAACGAGTCTTTCGGCAGCTGAATCGCTCCTGAGAGCGGCTCTCGACCACGTCGACCGAAACGTCAGACAACTTTGCCGAGCACGCGCGCACAACACCGCAAAAGCACCGGAGTATCGCGCGGCATGGTTTTCCGTCAGTCACGTGACCCCGACGTCAAAAGCGATGACGCGATCGAATAAAACAAGTGGCTCGTGCCTTTCATTCAAAAATAAATAAAAACTCGCTGCAAGCCGCTTCGACTAGGCCTCGGCAAGGTAAGGTAAATACAACGAGCCTACCTTTACCCTACCTTTTACCTTACCACAAAACAATCACTCTACCCTTACCTTTTGCCATTAGCAAGGTAAGGTAACAGGTCAAAAAGCAACGAGCCTACCTTTACCCTTACCCCATAAAAATGACCTGATTACAGGGTAATAACTGGGGTACTACTACACATGAAAAAGGTGTATAACAGGTAAATGCGAGGTAGAGCGCTTTATTCATATTTAATATTCTCGATGATTCCAATTTTAAATGGAGGCCACGGACTGCGCCACGGAGCTTTTAGCGAGCGGTAAACAAGGTGTTCACCGGGTAATACTTCGCGCTACCTTTACCCTACCGGGTAATTCTTCCGTGCTACATTTACCCTACCCATTACCTTACCCCTTGGCATGTCGACACCTTTACCCTTCCCCTTTACCCCGGTAAAAAGGGTAAATTACCCTACCTTGCCGAGGCCTAGCTCCGACACATGGGTCTCACCGTACCGTAACCAAATCGAGATGAACGTCTGCTCGGGGCTCGCAGACCGAAAGACTGCACAAAATGTCATGCGGCGAGATATTTAGCGGAACACCATTTTAATAATCAATCGGGCGATCAAAATCGGGCTCCAGCATGCGGCAGCCGACGTTTCAGCACAGGGCCTTCGCCCGCCGGCAGTGGACGGACCGCGTGGTCGACAATGGCCGTCTCCACGGCGGCACGCCGCAGGGTTTTCGGTACGACGTCGCTCTCCGCGCCGAAACGAGGGGAGCCCGCAAACCGCGAAGATGGCAGCGCCCTTTGCCGGCGGTTACGCAAGTTCACCCGCGGCCTCGATTCGTGGGCCCAGTCTCTGGATGCCGGGACTCTGCCAAAGCCGTAAGGGGCGTGGGGGGGGAGGGGACCGTTGCGATTGTTTGACCGGACTTCACCGAGCTGCTCAGTGCGGTGAAGGTGGTGGGGGGGGATGAGAGCGAAGGCGTGAGAATGATTGTACATGACGACAACCGCCTCGGCCGCACTCTCCTCTGCTTATATAATCCCAGTGGTCTTGTCAGCTGATGGGGAGCATAGTATACAGTACAACGATGGATTCTGGCGCATTGGAACGAGCGCGGTGTAGATGTGCACGGGCGAGCGAGTGAATCTGTACCAGTGTCGTGTGAGCGTGCGAGTACGTGTATCGGGCGCCTTTGACACTGCACTTGGCCTCAAAGTGCACCTAGCCTGACACAACTGCTGCACTGGTGATGTCACCCCCACTTAGTGAGACATGACGGCTGTGTGCGTGTGTGCGCGCGTGTCTACGTGCATACGTGCGTGCGCTGCATGCGTACGATCGCTAGCATGCAGCGCCTGTGCGTGCGTGCCGTCACAACAACGGCCTGTGCGTGTGTACGTGTGGCTGTGCGTGCATCCACGTGCTTGTCCCATGTGCGTGCTGTGACTTGAGTGTGCACACGCACGCACACACATGCGCACGGAGCCTCGGATCCTCTTCACTCGCCCATGCCCAGCCGCCCCTTGCTGTTCTGCTCCAGACGGTTGAGCACGAATTTGCTCGTGTCGATGAATCTTCCCACGCAGTTCACGAGGCACACCTCTGTGCGGCTGTCCAGCTTGGGTCCGGGCTTGTCCATGCATTTCTCCTGCACACGCACGCACACACGCGCACACGCACACACACACGCGCACACACACGCACACAGGCACACACACACGCACAGACAAAAAGGTTCCCGCCGCCGTATACTATTTAATTCACCGAGGAACTTAGCTCAGAAGCGACCTGGCAATGACAAGTGATAGCTCAACGAAGTGTGGGTGTTTATCGCAGCAGCCAAATGCTCTAAACGCGTGACGTTGATCCTAAATGTGGAGGGAAAAACCGGAGGACCCGGAGAAAAATCACAGCGAGAGACACACGCAAACTCCAACACTGCCCATAGACTCAACACTGCCCATAGACTCAACACTGCCCACAGACTAACACTGCCCACAGACTCAACACTGCCCATAGCCTCAACACTGCCCATAGACTCAACACTGCCCATAGACTAACACTGCCCACAGACTCAACACTGCCCATAGACTCAACACTGCCCATAGACTCAACACTGCCCACAGACTCAACACTACCCATAGACTCAACACTGCCCACAGACTCAACACTGCCCACAGACTCAACACTGCCCACAGACTCAACACTGCCCACAGACTCAACACTACCCACAGACTCAACACTGCCCACAGACTCAACACTGCCCACAGACTCAACACTGCCCAGACTCAACACTACCCATAGACTCAACACTGCCCATAGACTCAACATTGACTAACACTGCCCATAGACTCAACACTACCCATAGACGCAACACTGCCCATAGACTCAACACTGACCATAGACTCAACACTGCCCATAGACTCAACACTACCCAGACTCAATACTGCCCATAGACTCAACATTGACTAACACGGCCCACAGACTCAACACTGCCCATAGACTCAACACTGCCCACAGACTCAACACTGACCGTAGACTCAACACTGCCCACAGACTCAACACTGCCCACAGACTCAACACTGCCCACAGACTCAACACTGCCCACAGACTCAACACTGCCCACAGACTCAACACTGCCCACAGACTCAACACTGCCCACAGACGCAACACTGCCCACAGACTCAACACTGCCCACAGACTCAACACTGCCCACAGACTCAACACTGCCCACAGACTCAACACTGCCCACAGACTCAACACTGCCCACAGACTCAACACTGCCCACAGACTCAACACTGCCCACAGACTCAACACTACCCACAGACGCAACACTGCCCACAGACTCAACACTGCCCACAGACTCAACACTGCCCACAGACTCAACACTGCCCACAGACTCAACACTGCCCACAGACTCAACACTGCCCACAGACTCAACACTGCCCGTAGACTCAAAACTGCCCGTAGACTCAAAACTGCCCGTAGACTCAACACTGCACCATAGACTCAACACTACCCATAGACTCAACACTACCCATAGACTCAACACTGCCCACAGACTCAACACTGCACCATAGACTCAACACTGCCCATAGACTCAACACTGCCCACAGACTCAACACTGCACCATAGACTCAACACTACCCATAGACTCAACACTACCCATAGACTCAACACTGCCCATAGACTCACACTGCACCATAGACTCAACACTGCCCATAGACTCAACACTGCCCACAGACTCAACACTGCACCATAGACTCAACACTGCACCATAGACTCAACGCAGCACGGCTGGCTACATACGGTGTGAGAGAAGTTCAACATACATTCGGAAAGGTTCTTCATTCATCAGTGACCACACGTGGATGTTTACGACGGTCTCATTCGACGAATGAACGAGCAGTGCAGTTGCTCAGCCGACGGCCCCTTCACGATGTAACAAGACAGACATGTTGGGGGCTTCTTTGCGCGCACGTGCCCTGGCACCGTGACCTTGTGACCTTGCGGCCTTGCACGCCCCACTTGCTGGCAACGACGGCTCTGCGTCCAGCCGCGAACGAGTGAATGGGTGAACGAATAGGGCGAGCGAATGAATAGGGCGAGTGAATGAGTGAATGTGGGAGGCTCACGCAGCGCACGTGTCCGTCACGTTGTGCACCACTTGCTGGAATGACTAAGTGACTGACTGGGTGAATGACCGAGTGAATGACTAAGTGAATGACCGAGTGAATGACCGAGTGAATGGCCAAGTGAATGACTAAGTGAATGACTAAGTGAATGACTAAGTGAATGACTAAGCGAATGACCGAGTGAATGACCGAGTTAATAACCGAGTGAATGACCGAGTTAATGAGTAAGTGAATGACTAAGTGAATGACTGAATGAATGACTGAATGACTAAGTGAATGAATGACCGAATGAAGGACCGAATAAACGACCGAGTGAACGACTGAATGAACGACCGAGTGAACTAGTCTCACCCAGCACATGTCCGTCACGCTGTGCACCACTTGCTGGAAGCGCTGCCGCTGCGTCTCGCTCTCGATGAACCGCTGCAGCTCGGGGTCGGCCTGTGGCGCTCCCTCCACCATCATGTCGCTCCTGTCCACACAACGGACAGGGGGGTGAACGAGACGATTCGTTCGCGAACGATGAAAAGGAACGAAACGCAACGAACTCCGCAGGCCCCGCGCGTGTCACCTTGTGGCTCGTGAGCGGCACTGTGGAAGGGGGAAGTGACGTCACGCGAAACGCGACGGAGTAACCAGGCGGCCATCTTACGTAGGGTAATGACACAGACAAAGACCTCCCCCCCGTGTAGCCTTAACAGGCTGGAGGGGCAAGTGCTGTTAGCGAGTAGCACCTATGAAGGCCAGAACGGTACACGAGGGGGTGGGTGGCCAGCACCACGCCCGACCGCCTTTGTCTCCCTAGTGGCGATGTTTTTACACACCGCACCAGGTACTCCTTTGAGGCTGAGTCGACCTAGGGGAGACCCAGGAGCGGTTCAGATAATCGTCACTCGGTGTTGGCCGTGAGGGGTAATCGAACTCGGTTCACCAGGTTCAGTAGAGCAGCGCGCTAACCGCTGCACCACCGCTCCCCCACCCGCACCCCCCACGACGCACGTGGCTCAAGATTCAATGGAGTCGTCCCTTACAAAGATGGCCGCCAACCACGCGCGTTTCCGTCTCGGCCCTGGCGCTGACTGAGGACGGTCCTCGACTTACGAACGGTGACGTCACCCTCGCCCCCTCCCCCAACGGGGACCGTTCGTAAGTCGAATTGTTCGTATCTCGGAACTCAAAATGTCATTAGAAATGCGCTCAGCGTTGTAACATTTTGTCATGGTTTAATAAGTATAACCGGTAAAAACAAAGTTTTTCACTATAAATCCTTTATATGCGTGGCGGCTAGAGTCCCCTCGTCCTCTGGCTTGAGATGGCTGCCACCTATGGGTCAGATGATTGTCTGCCACCATTAAGCAATTGGTAATTAAATATTTAATTTGTTTTCCCTAAACAGTGTAAAATTTTGGAAAAAAATTTTCACGAACAATAATTGTCTGGCACAACGAGTCTGTGTGGAAAATGTCAGCTCGATTGGATCACGGGAAGTGGGTTAAAAAACGACCGAAAGATTTGCACGGTCGTAAGCAAGCAAGCAAACTTAATATAAAGGATTTAAAAAAGGGGGGGGGGACTATTGTTGAACTCATGAATAAGAATAAATATTGTACATTTGCATGTACTACTGTAATAAATACTGTAAATAAAACTTAAAATAAAATAACATGAAAATAAATAGTTTTTCACTTGCCTTGAGTCGTGATGCCGGCTTGCTTGTCGGAAGGGGGGTGGGGGGGGGGGGGCAACAGGTGAGATGCTGGGACTCATCACGACTCCCTCGCAGAAGATCGCTCCGCCGAACAAAATAGTTCGCGAGTCAGATGGTTACAAAAAAGATAACACCTTCTTGGTTCTCTCGGTAAAGTCACGTAGAAGGGAAGTAATAAAATAATAAAAATAAAGCATAATAAAATAATTCTCACGACGTTTCGGCCACAACGCAAGCAGCGTCCTCAGGTGAAGAACAGGTCTGTCGGAAAGACGCTGAGGACGGCTGCTTGCGTTGTGGCCGAAACATCGTGAGAATTACTTTATTATGTTTTATTTTTATTATTTTATTACTTCCCTTCTACGTGACTTTACCGAAAGAACCAAGAAGATGAATCCCTGCAGTCACGAAAGCTTTAAATCGAAAAAGAAAACACCTTATGGCGGTACGTTCGTAAGAACGGGCGTTCGTAAGTCAAACGTTCGTATCTCGTGGACTGCTCGTATACAGAATCAACATCTGGCTGTCGCCTGATGATGCTACTTGTAATTACTGGCGAAACGTCGTACTCGGATTGTGAATGTTGTAGTGGGTTGACTCTCCAACTCACAACCGGTTAGCGCTGTACTAGTGACGAATTGGCCACGTTCTGTTTACGTGACAACCCTTATTAGTTGGCTGTGTCGGGTGGTGGCGGCGGGTTTAACGACACAACATTCATATATTTACGCGATCTAACCCAAAACACCTCTATTAAGGATGATATTGGTCACGATAGCCTCCTGCTGCGTGTTACACTGACTAACATCTCTGTCACCATGCGGCACTGCACTGCTTGAGGGTATAGACAGAACACCCAGCCACTCACCCAGCCAGCCACTCACTCACCCAGCCACTCACTCACCCAGCCACTCACTCACCCAGCCACTCACTCACTCAGCCACTCACCCAGCCAGCCACCCACTCACCCAGCCACCCACTCACCCAGCCACTCACTCACCCTGCCACTCACTCACTCAGCCACCCACTCTCCCAGCCACTCACTCACTCAGCGACTCACTCACCCAGCCACCCACTCACACAGCCACTCACTCTCCCAGCCACTCACTCACTCAGCGACTCACTCTCCCAGCCACTCACTCACTCAGCGACTCACTCACCCAGCCACTCACTCACCCAGCCACTCACTCACCCAGCTACCCACTCACCCAGCCACTCACTCACCCAGCCACTCACTCACTCAGCGACTCACTCACTCAGCCACCCACTCACACAGCCACCCACTCACCCAGCTACCCACTCACCCAGCCACTCACTCTCCCAGCCACTCACTCACTCAGCCACCCACTCACACAGCCACTCACTCACCCTGCCACTCACTCACTCAGCCACCCACTCTCCCAGCCACTCACTCACTCAGCGACTCACTCACCCAGCCACTCACTCACCCAGCCACTCACTCACCCAGCTACCCACTCACCCAGCCACTCACTCACCCAGCCACTCACTCACTCAGCGACTCACTCACTCAGCCACCCACTCACACAGCCACCCACTCACCCAGCTACCCACTCACCCAGCCACTCACTCTCCCAGCCACTCACTCACTCAGCGACTCACTCACCCAGCCACCCACTCACACAGCCACTCACTCTCCCAGCCACTCACTCAGCGACTCACTCACTCAGCCACCCACTCACACAGCCACCCACTCACCCAGCTACCCACTCACCCAGCCACTCACTCACCCAGCCAGCCACTCACTCACCCAGCCACTCACTCTCCCTGCCACTCACTCACCCAGCCACTCACTCACCCAGCCACTCACTCACCCTGCCACTCACTCATTCAGTCACTCACTCACCCAGCCACCCACTCACCCAGCCACTCACTCACTCAGGGGCTGGGTGGGGAGGGGAGGGTGGGGAGGGGCTGGGTGGAGAGGGTGGGGAGGGGCTGGGTGGGGAGGGGTGGTGCTGGGTGAGGATGGGCTGGTCACCCCGTGGTGCCCTTATAAAACTCAACGTTTAACCTACTCACGCTGGCTTGTGCCCGCCCTCACAGTCGGGCATATTTGCGGAATACACCACGCCGCCGTTGACCCTGCAGGCCATTGACCGAGCAACCCAACGTTCCTACCAGCTCCCTCCGCAGCAGGAATGTGTTTACACCAGGAGCCACCACCTCTCCCGAGTCGCCTCCAGGACCGCTCCTACAACCATGGGGGGGGGGGGGGGGTTTAGTTTATTTCATTTTATTCCAACGCCCCCTGGCAGCGCGGTTACGCATCTGTCTTCTGAAAAGAAAAAAAGCCTTTCCAATTTTTTAGTTTTTTTCTGAGTTCTGTGGAGTCGTTTCGGGTCACGTGTCCGAGGGGGTCACGTGTCCAGTGGACCGGAGCAGCCACCGCGGCGTGGGTCGATGTGCTCCCCCCGTTCACGGCCAACAACGCCGACTATCCAAACCGGTGCTGGGCGTCCCCCCCCCTAGGTCGACTCGGCCTCAAATGAGTACCTGGTGTGGTGTGGTAACAACATCGGCCACCCGCCTTACCTCGTGGCAGGCATCACACTGTTGGTGGGTGCCTCGCTCCTTCACGGGGCTCCATCTCGGCGTGATCTGCCAACCCTGGATTACACGGGCATGAGCCGCCGCCGTGCTAGGAATAAATCCACGACGGTGGCTGGGAGATGTTAACTACCTCGCCTGGTATGCAGGAGGTCGTGGGTTCGATACCGATGCTGACGTCTGTTGTATATTTGGAGTTTGCGTGTCTCTCTCCCCTGGGTCGCGTGGATCTCTCAGATTTTCCCCTCCACATTTAGAATCGACATCATGCGATTAAGAGAATTTGGACGTGATGCATTTCCACGTGATCAGCCACTTTCGTCGAGGTATCATCATCCGTGGCCAGGAGGCTTCTGAAAGAGCTGCGTAGCTCAGTGGGGCCTTATCTGCTAAAATAAAAACGTAGTTTAGTTAATGAGAATAGGTTTTCCCATTTTTTTCTGCCAACAAAACAACTGTTAAGATACATATTCTTGGTTCTTTCGGTAAAGTCACGTAGAAGGGAAATAATAAAATAATACAAATATCAAACAATAAAATTCTCACGTTTTGACTGCAACTCAAGCAATCATCATCAGGTGTGAAATCCACACATTTCTTGCTGTGGATTTCACACCTGATGATTGCTTGTGTTGCAGTCGAAACGTCGTGATAATTTTTATTGTTTTATATTTTTATTATTGTATTATTTCCCTTCTACGTGACTTTACCGAAAGAACCAAGAATATGAACCCCTGCAATCACGAAAGATTTAAATCAAAATTTAAAGGTGTTAAGATGTTAAAACACCAAACCGAAACCTTATACAAGGAATCACGTCTGGATTAACCACAATACTTGTGGTCAGAATGCAAACAAAAAACACTGTGATAATAAAATGCATTGACTTTGAAGCCGATTGGTCCACACCAGAGACAGCTTTCTTTTGAGTCTTGTCTCAAACGGTGTGAGACCAGAGGATGCCCAAAGGCGTACACAGCACAAAGACAATGCCACCATCAGAGTAATGAGGGCTGGGGGTGAGCAACTACATCATGGGACCTACTTTGCCAGTTCATGCAGACAGGATTCCTTGTAAAACGTTTCAGTTTGGTGTGTTAACAACTTAACTGTTTTGTTGCCAGAAAAAAGTGGAAACCCTATTCTCATATTTTGGTATTGGCAAAGGAGGTCCCATGATGTAGTTTAGTTTAATTGACTAAATCCACACCACGTCTGGCAATGCCAGGTGTTTCCCCAGGAGTTGCACAGAATCTCAAGACATTGTTTCCAGGAGGTCCCTGCCACACCGGGGATGTCCGGCGAATCTTGTCCGCACGTTGACCCGAATGTGAACAAGTGCGTTTCAATAAAGCGTACAAATGCATCACGTTCGAGTCATATTATGACAAAGTACTTTATTCATGATAATGAATAATCACAGGTATATAAAAAGCACACGGTTAAGGCATATATTCTCCTCCGACTTTTCTTCCTTTTCCATGGATTAAATGTTGCAAATGATGTTACGCGGTATTTTTATTTCATTTGAACACTATGTACACACACGCGCACGCCCGGTCGCAGACAAGGGGTCTGTAATAATAAGAAATCTTTAAAAAGTCCAGGTCACAGACATCGCCGGAGATTCTAAAAGCACCCGCCCCCCCCTCCGCCTCCGAATGACTCCCCGTGCCCACGGCGCGATCTATCGGACGCAAAGGTGGAGTGTCGGTGGGCTACTCGGCTAGTTAGTGTGGATATTGCTGCTGCACGTGTAGGGGAACTCGGTAACGTGATCTGCAGGGGGCGCAACAAAAAACCTTTCCCGCCGGTGGAACGGTTTGTTTTGTAGGCGGGCGACGACGCTGCGCTCGAAACGGAAGCCGGCCCTCCACACGCCGGCCCTCACAGTCTTCTTCAGTGGCAGGGTGAGTGAGTGGCTGGGTGAGTGAGTGGCTGGGTGAGTGGCTGGGTGAGTGAGTGGCTGGGTGAGTGAGTGGCTGGGTGAGTCAGTGGCTGGGTGAGTGAGTGGCTGGGTGAGTGAGTGGCTGGGTGAGTGAGTGGCTGGGTGAGTGAGTGGCTGGGTGAGTGTGAGTGGCTGGGTGAGAGTGAGTGGCAGGGTGAGAGTGAGTGGCAGGGTGAGAGTGAGTGGCAGGGTGAGTGGCTGGGTGAGTGGCTGGGTGAGTGTGAGTGGCTGGGTGAGTGTGAGTGGCAGGGTGAGAGTGGGTGGCTGGGTGAGTGAGTGGCAGGGTGAGTGGGTGAGTGAGTGGCTGGGTGAGAGTGAATGGCTGGGTGAATGAGAATGGCCGGGTGAGAGTGAGTGGCTGGGTGAGTGGCAGGGTGAGTGAGTGGCAGGGTGAGTGAGTGGCAGGGTGAGTGAGAATGGCAGGGTGAGTGAGAATAGCAGGGTGAGAGAGAATGGCAGGGTGAGTGAGAATAGCAGGGTGAGAGTGGCTGGGTGAGTGGCAGGGTGAGAGTGAGTGGGAGGATGAGAGCGAGTGAAAGTGTTGGTAGTGAGTGTGAAAGTGTTGGTAGTGAGTGTGAAAGTGTTGGTAGTGTCAGTGAGTGGAGTCTGCAGCATGTTCCTGTAGAGTGCTCTCCGGGTTCCTCCGGTTTTGCCTCCCCTCCACATTTAGAAACCTGCATCTATATTATTTGGCTGCTGCTATCAATCCCCACGTGTGATGATGATGTAAGTCACTTGGACTTTCCATCACAAGTGGCCAGGTCGCCTCTGGGAAGAAAAAAAGCCAGTAGCTGAGTGGACTTCACCCGCTAAAATAAAAGCTAACCACCTTCAGTACACATTCACAAAACGGACCCGCTATTTTTTTTTAAGCGCACAGCACTCTTTATAAAAGTTGCGTTCTCCCCCACAAGAGTAGTATTTTTTGAAGTTTTCGTTGCACACACCTCAATACCACGCGCGTTCAGAGCGAGCTCCATGGACCGGGTGGTCGAGGCGAGAGGGGAGGGCAGACACCGCTACCACTGGAGAGAGATCGTGGCGAGAGAGAATATCTCGAAGATTTAGACGCATCTGCAGACGTTGCCGTGCAGGATATTCGCAGAGCCAACATCGTTACACGCAGAAATGTCCTACTCACGAGCATCTCCGGGAAGAGCATCATCCCCCGCGAGTATCGAGGGAGCACTGCACGGCGATCCAATTCCTTACTCTCAAAACGCGTGGCCAAAATCACGTGAAAGGGTTTTTTTGTCACGTCGCTTAAAACAGAAGATCGATTCGGCCGATATCCCTGGCGGTCTCCGCTGCGCGTGGCTCACCGAAGAGCCGCGGTCCTCCCGTGCCACAGAACTCCACCTCGAATTTCGTCTCGTGTGTCGGCGAGCTCCGCTGGCCAAATGGTCGGGAGCAAAACATGTCAGAGGGCGTCAAAACCGATCACCGGGCCGAAGCCAGAAGAGTGAAGGGAACGGCGTGCGTTGGAAGCAGCAGCAAGCGCAGCTCAAAACTCCCGGCTCTCTCGAGTTTGTTTCTGGGTCTTTGCAAACCACCGAAGCAACAAAGTTGCATAGGACTGCTCGCGGTGTAACGCGCAGAGACGGCATGGAACGAAACTTCGCAGGCGGGGAAAGAGGTTGCGGCGCTTCGACAATCGGGACTCGGGTAGCCGCCTCCACGCTCACGCGGCCGCTTTGTCCACGTCCCAGCGAGTGGTTGTGCGACAGGGAAATCTAAACTCCGCGGTGGTGAGATGTTGACTACCTCGCCTGGTCTACAGGAGGTCGTGGGTTCAATCCCCACCCTGACGTCTGCTGCTGTATATTTGGAGTTTGCGTGTCTCTCTCTCCCCGTGGTGAGATGTTAACTACCTCGCCTGGTCTACAGGAGGTCGTGGGTTCGATCCCAACCCTGATGCCTGCTGTATATTTGGAGTTTGCGTGTCGCTCTCTCTCCCGGTGGTCGCGCGAATATTTCTCCGGGTCCACCTCCGGTTTTTGCCTCCACATTTAGAATCGACGTCGCGCGTTCAGACTATTTGCCCGCGACACATTTCCACGTGATGATGATGATCAGCCACTTCGTTGAGCTATCAATTAACGGACGAATTCCTCCGTTAACCTTTGGACAATGCCCAAACGTTACCCAGGATCCCCTCTGGTTAAAACCTAACTAAATGACGCATGAACATACGCCGTTCTAATTTTCTGTTAAAATCCGAGCGAGCGTTACCCTCCCCGCCTACCCACCTCTACAGTCGCCTCTATCTGGGGAGGGGGGGGGTAACAATAAATCTAAAGTGAACATTTGCTACATCTTGGAAGCGTAGGTTACACGGCAAACATTACCGTGTGAATATTACCGTGTGAATATTACCGAAAGTACGCGTTACAATTGCAGCGCCCTCCAACTAAGCGTCACGGCTCCAGCTCTGGCCGTGTGCGCATCTGCGGAAGTCGGCACGCGAGGAAGGGGGGGGGGTGCACACGTTGCGAGTTTACAAAAAGTCAAAATAATAAAATCCGAATTTGTAGTTTTTTCTCTCTCTCTTTCTCTTCAAATATACTTCGCGTCGCTCAAAAAGGCGAATGCGCGCACGCACACAGCGCTGTTTCCTCGAGATCATCGGCACGGTCTGTTGTACAGCAAGCCGGGATTTGTTTCCACTCAAACAGGAGGGGGAGGGATTTATCCACGACTCTGCCGCCTGCTGAGGCTGGCTGATGTTGCTGCTGCTGTTGCTGCTGCCGCTGCTGTTGTACGGAGCGGCGAAAATGTCAACACGGTATTTACTCTCCCAACACACGAGCGGTGTGCGTGCTGAACTCTAAACAAATTGCCACGTTGTGTTCACGTGACAAACCTGACCAATTGGCCGTGTCGGGTGGTGGCGGTGTTTCACGAGGCATTCGTACGTCTGCGCGATCCAACCCAAAACAAACCTCCGGTCACGTGGTCGCTGCCGTTTTAGGTTTTACTACTTACGAGCGTCGCGATCGTCCCCACCCCCCTCCCCGCCACAAACAGCGCGTCGCGACGGAGGCGATACACACGCCACGCTACCCGCGCTGAGAGCCTTTAAAAATTAGGTGGAAAATGTGACGGAATACGGGGGGGGGGGGGGGGGGGTACAGGTTCTGCGACGAGTTCTCTCCCTGGCACGCTCCGACACTTTAAAAAGGAATTTCTCCGGCACCCTCCCGGGTCTCCTGGAACAACAAGTTGTGTTTTCGCATGTGCGGGGTGTTTTTGTACCCCTCTTTGAAAATGAGCGGCGATTAGAAACTCCGGGGACACTTTAAGAAGAGTTCGCGGGGGGGGGGGGGGGTGTATACGGTTGCTGTTAACGCACAAAAAGGTGACTTTTAAGAAACCTTAAAAAAACTAAGAATTTTAGTTTTTTTTAATGAAAGAAATTGTAAACGTACAATGTCATCGTCGGTGTGGCCCAGGACTGTCAGCACCCAGTGGGTGACGACAGGGCGTGTCTGCTCCACACGCAGAGAGTAAGATGCCTTCACGACCAATATAATCCATAAACAAAAGGTTTTTATTAGATTAGATCGCGTAAATATAAATGTGTCGTTAAACCCGCCACAGCCAATCGGTAAGGAGAGTAGATGTCACACATCTATCCCTCTATATAACTAACTAAACAGGAGGAGGATTTCTCCACAAGTCTGGCTGCCGCCTGATGATGCCGGTTGTAATTACTGGCAAAACGTCGGACTCCGATTGTAAACGTTGGGTGGCTTTGCTCTCCACCGCAACCGGTTAGTGCTGGACTAGTGACGAATCGGCACGTTCTGTTCACGCGACAAACCTTACCAATTGGCTGTGTCGGGTGGTGGTGGCGGGTTTAACGGCACGCTTACATTCACGCGCTCTAACCCAAAAAAAACCCCGCGCGTTATGCTTGGCGCTAAACTGCGTTATTGTCCGTCCCCCCATCAAATTCGTGTTCATCGGCAACCGAAAAGGACCAGAAGGGGGGGGGGGAGAGTAAAAGAAGGGAGAGGCTTTAATAAAATAATACAAATAAAACAATAAAATACAATACTCACGACGTCCTCAGGTGAAGAACAGGGCTGTCGGAAAGACAGCGTCTGAATGAACTGAGGACGGCTGCTTGCGTTGTGGCCGAAACGTCGTGAGAATTGTATTTTATTATGTTGTATTTTTATTATTTTATTACTTCCCTTCTACGTGACTTTACCGAAAGAACCAAGAAGATGAATCCCTGCAGTCACGAAAGCTTTAAATCGAAATTTAAGGGAGAGGCTTTAAATCACGAAGATCCAACCGGATGTAGAGTCTATGTCGGACAGACACCTTACCCAGGGCTGCACGCCGTGGTCTGCCCCGACGTGAGATCAACTTCACTCGCAGTGCCGCAACAGCGCACAGCAGCGCACAGCAGCGCACAGCAGCGACAACTCGAAACGCACAACAGCCGCGCTACAAAGCCACCACGCCATCGTGTCGCTAGGAGGCTGTACTCACGGCGGCTCCCCAGAGTCACTGAAAAGTAAAACTTTCTTCTCAATCGGAAGCTTCAATGACGCTTGCGTCAAGACGGTCCGGAACGCCACTACTTCTCGTATTGGGTTGCGTAATCGATTGGGGTTGTGTATTTTGCCAAAACCGCCGTCGTCACGGATCAATGATTTCGCCCGCCGCCGAAGACTGAACGACGGCTCCTCATCACGCTCATCTCGCTCCGCCGGCGTCTGCTGGAGGGGCCGTGCACCGTCTGACGGCGGCTGGTGGCGGCTGAGGCTGTTACGGACCGTGCAAGGGGGGGGGGGGTGGAGGCGGCCTGGGCCCTCCCCACACCCACAACTGGTCGTCGTCGATGCGACCAAGCCGGCTTGAGGGCCGCGAGACGGCCAAATGAGCGGCACGCGAGGCCACAGCGGTCGTGGCCGGCGCATTCCGTGCGGACAAGAAATTGAGCGAATGGAAAATCGTCGGGATCCCAATCTCAAATTAAAATCCAGGCTCTTATTTACCGCGACAGCTAATAAACAAAAAATGTATTTCATCTTTCAGCAGGCAACGCAGCTACGTTGGCCGTTATCAACAGATATCTGGTTGGATGCAGCGCGTGCCAACACGGATACACCCACCACACGACAGCTCCCTTCGTTTCTCGGTAAAAGAAAAGAAACCGTGTTGCGTTTATTGCTCCGGACATTCCTCTAAGTGCGAACAATCGGTGTCGACCTGCCCACTCAACAGCGTACTCGTTGGGAGCGAGACGCGAGACACCGCAGTGCCGGGCGACCTTAAGCGGTGGTGACAAAATTAATTTGGGAGGGGGGGCGGGGGTCAAGCGGCTGGGCAAACCCAAAGCAGCTCTCTCTGCGCAAGCCAACAGGGGGGTCACGCCCGAGTATTTTTGCCGAAATTTCATCGGCATTAATAAAACGTTTCCCAACTCTCCACCGGGGTGGTGGGGGGGGGGGGTTGCCACAGTGGCCGCTAACCGGCGAGCGACACCGGGGACTTGCGATCCCGGATGTCGCGCCGGCATCAAGGTGGCCGCTGCCCCGTAGCTCGCAGGGGACGCGGTGACACGTGACACGCGGAGGGGGGCGAGGGGGGCGGTCGGGTGACCACGGCGGCCGAGGGAGCAGCAACAAACAGCTCCTCTTCAATTTGTAGCAGAGGCAGAGAGAGACGGTGGGGGCGAGTGACGGTGAATCGAGCCCGCTGTTACGCAACTCCGGGGTAGTAGTGTTTGAGTTTGCATTTGTACACCAGCGAGAGATACAAGAGAGCGATAAAAAAACGCACAAAGGGCGATAGAAAAATTACACAAAATTGCGGTCAGCACCCGAGGCGGTGTATTTGTACATTGGTTGTTGTTGCTGCTGCAGAGCGGACGAGCATCTGCCGCCCGCTGGCCATAAGTGTTCAGGTACAACGGCGGACACGGGAATTTGATTTTGCCCGAGGTGCTGGCCGCAATTACGCAACGGAAGGACGTGTTTGTTTTTGTTTAAAGCCGTCGTGAAACGACCGATAAGGTACGAGACAAAGGGTCGTCGGGAATTCAAAAATATACTGGTAATTTCAACATACCAGGCTCTATACAATATGAACAGCGGCCGACAAAACCTGCGCCAGCATTCCCCGGCAACGGTCGGAAGTCCGTGTCACTTAAAAAGAAAGAAAAAAGTGTTTTGATGCACTGCAAAAAAAACGACGTTCGCTCCCCGTTGCCCAGAGGCGGGGTAAACATTTGTTTTGGTCTAAACTAGGTGGCGGCGGCGGATGCTTGTTTTCGTTACGGGAGAACGTCCGTCGGTACAGGCGACGGTGACGTCCTCGTTGGCGGGGGGGGGGGGGTAACCGATGGGGGCGGAGGCCTGCACGTGTCATGGCACCTACTACGACGGAAGCGACAGCTTTGGCGGGCTCCAACGGTGCTTTAAGTTACAAAAACAAACAAAAAACGAAAGAAATCAACAACAAAATAAACAGAAAACCAAAACAAACAACAACTCTCTTCTTTGAGAAGCATATAAATTGATTGTCATTTAGTTTTGTATATTCTCCCGAGTCCACTTTGATCCCTTTCGCGGTATGTACACCCACGTGACGCCCGCCGGGCACGCGGGGTCAAGGGGGGGGGGGTGTAGCGGGAAGAGGGGGACGACAAGGGGGCGACGGGTTCAGCGGCCGCGTCGCCCCCAATCCCCCCGAACCACCCAGTCACACCCTCTCCTCCTTCATAGTCACCACCTCCACCTCGGGGCTCTCCGACACGACCACATCCGAGTGCGGCACGATGTGCAGCGGCACCTCCTCGCTCGCCGTCGGAGCGGCGGCGCCGGGCGCCGTCTGCGCCTGCTCGCTCGGCAGCGAGAACAGCAGCTGCGTCGCCTCTCCGTGCTCCCCGTTGGCGACGGGCGTCAGCACCAGGATGTACTCGTGAGGCTGGTGGTGCTGCTGGTGGTGCTGGTGATGCTGCCCCCCCACGGCGATGGCGGGAGTGGCGGCCGAGCCGACGGCGCCCGCGTCGCTCACGTACGTCGTGGCGATGACGGTGCCGGGCGGCAGGTCGTGCAGGGCGCCGCCGCCCGCCGTCTGCAGCAGGATTCTCGGGCTGCCGGCACCGCCGCCGCCGCCCCCGCCGGAGAGGTTGATGACTTGGCCGGAGGAGAGCGCTACCGACTGCCGGTAGGCGGTGTCGATGGAGATCACCGAAGGCATCTGCACCGCGCTGCGGACGAGAACGCGCGGGAGCGCGACGGCGCGTCAGCGACAATCGGAGACGGTGCCAGTGACTCGGGACGTCTCGCAGATCGGCGGCGTTCAACTGGCGTGCCACCCCGCCCCCCCCCCCCCGCCGCGAGAGGAAGGCCCGTGGATCGGCCCTCGCCGACACGAAGAGATGAGGCCGGCGAGGTGACACGCGAGAAGGACGGGGGGTACGCACGGTGCGACGCGGCAACTGCGCGCGTCGCAGCGGCGTAATAACGTCACGTGATCATGCCGCCACGATGGCAAGATGTTAACTGCCTCGCCTGGTCTACAGGAGGTGGTGGGTCTGATAACGACCCTGACGCCTGCTGCTGTGTATTTGGAGTTTGTGTGTCTCTCTCTCCGTGGTGAGATGTTGACTACCTCGCCTGGTCTACAGGAGGTCATGGGGTCTGATAACGACCTTGACATCTGCCATACATTTGGAGTTTGCGTCTCTCGCTCGCTCTACACCCCGTGGTCACGTAGATTTTTCTCCGGGTCCTCCGGTTTTTCCCTCAAACATTTAGAATCGACTTAAACTCGTTCCAAGAGTATTTTGGCTGCTGTAAATTGCCAACGTGACGACATGCCCACTGCCTCTAGCTCTCATTCGCGATGGCGGGCGTTGTGTCAGAAACACAGCTCAGTGGGGGCCTTACCTGGCTAAATAAAAATGTTTAGTTTAATAGTTTACATTATTTTGTCCATAAGAGGTTTTTTGGGTTAGATCGCGTAAATATATGAATGTGTCGTTAAACCCGCTACACCACCCGACACAGCCAACTAGTGAGGTTTGTCACGTAAACAGAACGTGCCAATTCATCACTAGTACAGCACTAGTGTAGTAGTATATAGTGTAGTAGTGTATAGTGTAGCGTACTAGTAGTGTGTTGGAGAGCAAATCCACAACATTTGCAATCTGAGTACGACGTTTCGCCAGTAATTACAACGAGCTTCATCAGGCGACAGCCAGAATTGCGGAGAAATCCTTCTCGTGTTACATATTCACATTTTCAAATTAAGTGCATTTTTTTTAAAAATCATTATTTTTTTTTCCCGTCGACGCGCGCCACCCACCGGACGGTCGTCACGCACGGCGTCCCACCCATCTTCTTGGGCCTGGCGGGAGACGCCGCCGCCGCCTTCACACGCAGCGGCGGGGGGGTGCCCTGCTGCAGCTCGGCGCTCAGCGAGGCGATGACCGACTCGTGCCCCGAGTCGTCAGACGGGTCGCCCAGGTCGTCCAGGAAGCCCTTGGGCATCTCCTTGAACTGGTAGACGAGGCGCTGGCCCTCCACCTTGGCCAGGATGCCGCGCTGGTAGTAGTAGCTGCGGCGGCGGTGGACAGAGAGGTGGGGGGGGGGGGCGAGTTAAAAGAGGGGAAAAGAGGGGGGCTACGCATGGTTGTGGGTGGAGTGGGGTACAGCTGCGGGTGAAGGGGGCACGAATGCGGGTGGAGGTGGGCACAGATGCGGGTGGAGTGGGGTATGGTTGTGGGTGGAGTGGGGCGCGAATGCGGGTGGAGGTGGGCACGGTTGTGGGTGGAGTACGGAATCAGCTGTGGGTGGAGGGGGGCACGGTTGTGGGTGGAGTGAGGTATGGTTGTGGATGGAGGTGGGCACGGCCGCTGGCATCGCGCAGATTGCCCGCGCCACAATCACCACAATCAGCCAGCCAGATCGTTATTACGGAGTTGAACTCTTGGGGCTTTCGTGACCAATATTATCCACAGCAAAGTTCTTTTTGGGTTAAGACCGAGTAAATATAAATGCTGGGTTTACTCTCCAACAACGCCGGCGTGCTGAAGCATGAACTAATTTGCGTGACAGATTTGACCAATTGACTAGAAAAAACGAATCGACCCCCAACTAGCAAAGCAGACGCAGCTGCCTAGCCCCCCCATCGCTGGCGGAGCACGATCGAGACTCCCTCTGCCGACTTGTGCTCCCAGCGAAAACCCCACCAAGCTCGTGCCGGTCCAAGAGGCTCTCATGCCCTCTAGTGGCTCCGTTTATTCTCTGCCTCGTGAGTTTACCACCGCGGGTCGGGTGGGGGGGGGTAATGTCCCGATAAAACATTGCGACGCTGTTCGACAGCACGCCAGATTGAGCCGTAGTCGTTGTTGTGTGTGTGTGTGGGGAGCTCACAACAACGAACGGAGCGCCGGGTGGCTAAAACACAGCAAGTTGATACAGCAGGGGGCACAGGTGGTGCATCGGCCAGTCATCTCAGTCGACCCATGGCACCTGGCTCTGTCCCGTGACCTCCTGCCAGCGGGCGTTCAACACTTCACATAGCCTGGCACAAGCACCATAGTGACGTAGTGCAGCAGTCAGCGCGCTGCGCTACGAACCTGGCGACCCGAGTTCGATTTCCGCTCATGGCCACCAACACCAGTGACAATTATCTAAACCGGTCCCGGGGTTCCTCAAGGTTGACTCGGCCTCAACCGAGTACCTCGTGTGATGTGTAAATACCGTCACTAGGGAGACAAAGGCGGCCGGGCGTGGTGCTTGCCACCCACCCCCTCGTGTGCCTTTCCGGCCTTCATAGGTGCTCGCTAACAGCACTCGGCCCAAAAGTCTGTTTAGGCTATACGGGGGATCTTTGTCTTTGTTTTTAATAGACAAATGAGACGGAGCGCGTTTGCTCAGACGGGAGTCAAAACTGCGGTGCGCTTTTGTGAATGGCGATCAAGCAGCATTAATAGCGGCTTAGGCCGTCGTCAACGGTGGCTAGGGGATGTTAACTACCTCGCCAGGAATTCAGGAGGTCGTGAGTTCAATCCAGACACTGACGCCCACTACATATATATTTGGAGTATGCGTGTCTCTCTCTCTCTCTCTCCGGCGGCAGCGGGGGCCGGGTTCGAATCCAACTCCCGGCGCGCTCGCAGCAGTTTTGTGTAAACAATGAGTTCACCGCAGTGAGCCGCGGTGGCTAGGAGATGTGAACTACCTCGCCTGGTCTACAGGAGGTCGTGGGTTCGATCCCGACCCTGAAGCCTGCTGCTGTATATTTGGAGTATGCGTGTCTCTCTCTCTCCGTGGTGAGATGTTAACTACCTCGCCTGGTCTACAGAAGGTCGTGGGTTCGATCCCGACCCTGAAGCCTGCTGCTGTATATTTGGAGTATGCGTGTCTCTCTCTCTCTCTTCGTGGTGAGATGTTAACTACCTTGCCTGGTCTACAGGAGGTCGTGTGTTCGATCCCGACCCCGACGCCTGCTGCTGTATATTTGGAGTTTGTGCGTCTCTCTCTCTCTCCCTGTGGTGGCGTGGATTTTTCTCCGGGTCCTCCGTGACCTCGGCCTAGCGTCTGGGCAGTCTCAGGGACACACACTCGCGGCTATTAAAAACCACACGAGCCCCCGGGACCAACCATCAGGCTCCCCCGAGCCCACGGGACGGGGCAGAATCAACCGGCACCCCCCCCCCCGCCCCCCCCCCCCCCGACCCTGGGCTCACCGCAGCGCCCGGCCCATCGTCTCGTAGTTCATGTCGGGCTTGTTCTTGTGCTGGCCCCAGAGTTGCGACACGGCCTTCGAGTCGACCAGCTTGAAGATTCCCTTTTCTCGCTCGGTCCACTTGATGAGGCGAGGGCACGTGCTCTTGTTCTGCAGCAGCGACAGCAGGAACTCCCACAGGTACACGGTGTGGCCTGCACGCAGGCGGTGGGCGGGCGGGGGAGGTCGACACGTCAGCGCAAGTTTGCTCGATCATTGAGGTTCCACGGCGGCGGTCATAACACTTACAAAAAATAACGTTTTCATTTTACACAGCAGCATCATTCATGCCAACGGCTTTCCCACAAAGCTGTACATTCACTATGCGCGCACGCGGTTGGCTACGTAGGGCGTGAAAGAAGCCCAGCACACGCACGCACGCATACATACCAAGCAAATAAAAACCTTACTACTTTCTACCCAGCAAAATAAAAAATGTATAAACAAATTAAAAAATGCCTCTTGCCTATAACTAACACACGGCAACCGAGCAGCGTTGTTTCAAAGGCCTGGCTCTGTACGGTGAACTTCTTTCGCACCGTACACAGCCAACGTGCCATAGCGGAGGTGCCGATGAGACTCGGGTTGCCTTTCTCCAAAAACGCCGAGAGCCAGCGCAGGACTCTCAGGGTATGGTGGTAATGACGTGGTCACCCCCGCGTGGCTATTTTTCCAGTCAGGCAGGAACCCAAGCCAGGCCGGGCGTACCCAACCGCGACGATGAGATGGCCTCACGTGCCGCACCCGAACCTGGCACAGGGCCAAGGAGGTGGTCCAGGGGGCCAAGCGGGGCAAGGCACGGGGAGGGGGGGGGGCGGTGGCGGAGACGACGTCTAAGTACGCATTCACAGCGGGGGTGCGAACGAATGAGTGGGCGACCGGGCGAGCGAGTGAGCGGGCGGGCGAGTGAGCGAGTTAGCGGGCGGGTGAACGAATGAGCGGGCGAGCGAACGTGCAATCGCGGGCACCCAACTTCTGCAAGTCTCTCGTTACCTTCTCGCGACTTCTTCTTGGCCGGCGTGTCCGGGTTGAGAGAGGGGGAGCACGGCAGAGTCGTCTTGATTTTCCGCCCTGAAACGGCGAAGACGCGGCCGTTACGTCCACATCCACACGGCACACATGGCACACACGGCACACATGGCACACACGGCACACACGCAGAACGACCAGGGCAGTTGCAGAGGCGACCAGTCGCTGGGGGCAATCATCACTGGCAACGCCTTCTGCTGTGAAGCAACTGCAAGCGAGCAACGCAGGTGGGGGAAGGGGGGGGGCTGCGGGCATCACCTTTCTTTTTCCGCGGTGACTGGGCGCCGTCGTCCAACAGAGATTTGTCGAACGATCCCGGGGAGTCGGACGGCACAAACACCTCCACCTCGGCCGCCACTGCAGCGACGAAGACGACACGGAGGGGTGGGGGGGTGGGCACGCAGGAACGGAGAGCGACGATCGGTCGATTGCAATCCGCGGCTGAAACTCGTAGAAAGGCGTGCGCCCGTCAAGTCGTTTCGGTTGATGTTGTTTAAAACCGTGGCGAGAACTCGAGGGAGACGCGGAGGGAGCCTCTCGTATTCGCCAGAGCGGCCTGGCGCGTCAGAAGGCTGCCAATCGAGGGTGTTGACTGCCGCGGTGTGCAATGCTGATTCAGTCATTTACAGGTCGCTAGGCGGGACTACAGCCGCTGGGTCGAGACCAACGATGGAGCGGATGCCAAAGCAGATAACGGAGCCTGATTAGGATGTCCACTACGGGCATGGAGCGATGGACGTACGACGATGATGATGTCGATGACGACGATGGAAACGTTCGTGTCCTTGTTCAGCGCCTGCTGACTCACCTATGTGGTGAGCGTCGCAGTTGGGGTCTGGGGCCTCCATGTGGAGCAACGTCTCCGCCGCCTCCATAGCCTCGGCACCACCTCCTCCGCCCTCCTCGCTCGGGCCCACCACCTCCTCGGCAGGCTCGGACACCTCGTCGTTCATCTCCATGCCCTCTGGGCTGCTCGCCGACACCTCCACTGCAGAGACACGGCAGGCCACCGCCACCATCGTCGTCATCAATGTAGTCATCGTTGTTATTATCATCGTCCTCGTCATCTCGCAATGATCATCGTCGTCATCATTGTAGTCATCGTCGTCATTATCATCGTCGTCATCATCGTCATCATCGTCATCAGTCATGATCGTCAACTGCATACAATGAACGTCGTTGCGCCATACTTCTGTGCTCCCCACCTTTACAAAATAAGCACTGCCCGATGTCATGAAGTACGGTGACGTAACACCCACGGCTGGGGGGGGGGGGTATGCCAATAAATACACGGTTACAAGTAACAGACAAAGATCCCCTATATAGCCTGCACAGGCCGTAGGGGCAAGTGCTGTTAGCGAGAGCAGCACCGATGAAGGCCGGCACGGCACAAGGCCAGCGCTACGCCCGGCTGCCTGTCTCCCTAGTGGCGATGTTGACTACACACCACACCAGGTACTCACGGGGCCGAGTCAACCTAGGGGAGGCCCAGGACCGGCTCAAGACATTCGTCACTGGTGTTGGGAATCGAACTCGGGCCGCCGGGCTCCGTAGCGCAACGCGCCGACCGCTACGCCGCCGCTCCCCACACACGAGGGCAACGTCACGCACACCGCAAGTCGTCTTAGCAACTCACAGGCAAGTGTTCACGGACAAGCTGGCCTCGGGCAGACACGGCGGAGGTCTACGGAAGGTGCCACGCGTCCATGGAAGCGGTGCCGACGCTGACACGGCCGATTCTCGCGACAACGGCAAGCGTCCAGGACGGGAACTGCACAGCAACAGCAGCTGGAGTGTATGCGGCCCGATTGCGCTTTCTCAAGTTTAACCGGCGCCCGACGCACCTCTGCGCTATCCGCGCCGGCCCCATACAACTCTGTGGATGCAGGTTGGCGGCAGGCTCAGGTGGACTCAGGTAGACTCAGGTAGACTCAGGTGGACTAAGGTGGACTCCAAACCGCTGATAAAGAAGGCTGCTGCCTGGTTCAGCAAGACGAGCGTACGGTACAAAATAAAATGAAGAGTCGGGTTGCTGCGTTACGTTGAACCGGACAATACTAATTCCGTGACGACCGTACGGTCTCTGTATTACAATTTGTTACATCACGGTGATCCGTGCTTTTATCTATTTCACAAATTTCCGACGAATTATTCGCAAACACAATAATTTCAGTTGCAAGTACACGAGCTATATCACCCAATTAATCACGTGTATTTTTTTGGAATCGCAGCCTAAAAGTAATCATTAAAGGCCCTTCAGGTCTCCTTGAAGGGACATTCGGCGCGGGAACAGCTCCCAAGGCTTCGCGATGGAAGAAACCGGCGTCGCGCGCACGGCACTCGCACGGCACTCGCACGGCACTCGCACGGCACTCGCACGGCACTGGCACGGGCACGGCACGGGCACGGGCACGCGCTTTGCCAGCCGGAAACCGTTCTCACCTTGCCAACCAACGGAGCCGATGCTCGCAGGGTACACATTGAGCCACCCACATGGCTCGCAGAACCAAAGCAAGGGGGGCTCAACCGGGGTGACCGGGCATTTGGCAAGTGCAGCTCTCGAGCTCTGAAACGCTTTGCCCTGTGCTGACGTACGGCCGCCGGGAGTCGTGAGCTAGATCTAAGTGCCGTCTTGAAAACTCGCCTCTTTAAAAACTGGCCAAGACTTTTTAAGACGAACATCCGAAACCGGCCCTGGGCCTCCTACACTAGGCAGACTCGGCCTCAAACGAGTACCCGGTGCGGTGTGTAGGAAACATGGCCACCGGGGAGACGATGGTGGCCGGGCGTGGTGCTAGTCACCATCCCCCTCGTGCGTCGTGCCGGCCCTTCATAGGTGCAACTCGCCAGCAGCACTTGTCCTACGAGCCTGCTAAGGCTACACGGGGGATCTTTGTTTGTTTGTTTGCTGTGAGTCTATGAACCACGCAGCGAACGGTGGCACAGTGGTTCACCAGCGCCGGTTCGATTCCCGCTCATGACCAATAACAGCGCCGAATATGTCAACCCGGTCCTATATGGGGGGGGGGGGGGGGGGGGAGAATCTTTGTCCTCGTCTTGTTTGTCTTATCACCAGCCTGTGCTCCTACGAAGAATTATCAAACAGTGCTAAATGTCACCTCATTGGAGCCAGAATAACCGCTCGCAGGCCAAGTAAACATACACAGCATTTCTGCCAAGAGGATCGATTGACCACCTCCACCCACACCAGTGGAGGATGAGAAACTCAAACGGTGCGAGCTGAGCGCTCCGATACCCCGAGTCCTCTCCCCCCGACCCCAAACGGCACGACACGCTGGGTGGGCGCGGCGTCACCGGGGGAAAAAAAATGTTCCAACATTCACGGTCGCTTGGTCCAAAGAGCGTTAAAAAAACATCTCGGGTCCAATGGGAACTCCGAGCGACGGAAGAACAAGATGCCAGTTTATACTCGGAAGCGCGGCCTGCCAACACAACCTGCGCCAATTAACAAATCAGCACAACGACAACAAATGACACGCGGGGGGGGGGGGGGGGGGGGATGGGAGGGAGCCGGATAGTAAACGCTCAAGCCCACGCGTCCGTTACGAAAGGCTGTTTCAGGGCGCATGGGCAGAATACGCTACCCGCTACACGCCGCACAAAAGACACGGGCGCGGCCATCAACCGCCCCACCCCCACCACCGGCGCAGTCGACAAAGGCCATCGTGGCGAGCGCCGTGAGCGAGCGCGTACTGCCGGCATAGCGGATGAGAGGTATGCGCGCGTGTGCGAGATCAGCACCGTGCCCAGCCGCCTTTGTCTCCCCTGTGCCACACCGGGTGCTCATTCAGGGCCGTGGAGAGGCACAGGAGCACTTCAGATAAATTGTCACCCACTGCAATCCGCGGCTACCAACTTGACCCTTTGGGGGTGGAGCACAGTGCACCGACCACTCACTGCAGCACGCCAAAAACAAAGATCCCCCATGTAGCCTTAACAGACTGTCGGGGCAAGTGCTGTTAAGCGAGAACCTATGAAGACCGGCACGGCACACGAGGGGGTGGGTAGACAGCATCCACGCCCGGCCACCTTTGTAATCCTAGCTGCGATGTTTACACTCATTTTAGGTTGAGTCGACCTAGGGGAGGCCCATGACCGGTTCAGATAAACGTCACTTGTGGTTGGCCGAGAGCGGGAATTGAACCCGGGTCGCCAGGTTCATAGCGCAGCGCGCTAACCGCTACACTACCACTCCCCTTCACACACACAGACACATACACACACTCACCACCAGCTACTCTGCCTGCACACGCAAGGGGTGCGAAAATGCCGCATGATGAACCCACATTAGAAGAACTTGAAACACCCTGCGATCACCACTGCCTTGTGACCGCATGCTGTACTGGCTAACCTTTTTAGATACTCGTCGAATAATTATCTACGATAGTGAATAGGTCAGCGTAATCGCCCTCCATAAAAGTGAAAAGAGGTCTGTGTAATAGCTATACGATAGTGAATAGAGGTTTGTAACAGATTTATGAACGTGAATTGAGGATTGTGTGACGGCACCACCGCATCCTAGCCAAGCATCACAACAACCACCGCATGCTAGCCAACCACGACCACCACCACCGCATGCATCCTAGCAAAGCACCACCACCACCACCGCATGCGAGCTAACCACGACCACCACCACCGCATCCTAGCAAAGCACCACCACCACCGCATGCTAGCCAACCACTACCACCACCACCGCATGCTAGCCAACCACTACCACCACCACATGTACCACCGCATCCTATCCAAGCACCACCACCACCGCATCCTAGCAAAGCACCACCACCACCGCATGCTAGCCAACCACTACCACCACCACCGCATGCTAGCCAACCACTACCACCACCACATGTACCACCGCATCCTATCCAAGCACCACCACCGCATGCACCGCCGCACGCTATCCAAGCGCAGTCCTCCCAGCACGTGTCCACAGCACCCCCTGGCGAGGGAGGGCGGAAAGGCAGCAGAGGCCCCGCTAGGCAGGGGCGGCACCGTGAGGGAGGGGGGGTGCAGGAGGGGGGTGGGGGCATCCACTTCCGTGTTACATTTCCGTGTTTAGCACTCTCTCTCTCTCTATCAGTGAGAGTCCTTGTGTTTGAAAGTCGTCTGCAAGGAGCGCGTGTGTGGTGCGCGTGCAGATATCTCTCTGCTCGAAAGGCCGAGACGCCCCACCCCGTACAGCCTTCACAGACTATTGGGGCAAGCGCCGTTTTACTCAGCGGCCACTTGTCAAGAGGTTGGTCACGGCACACGAGGCCTGTGGGTGGCCACCATCACGCCATGCCTCCTTTGTCTCCCAAAGCGCTCATGTCCGCACTACATCTCGAAATGCACTCGCACACACGCGCCGCTATGTGGTACCTAGGCGCACACGTGTTTAGGTAGCAACGTGCATAAACAAAGCCCTTGATCATGCACACACACGTCAAATAAACTACGTAAATATGCTGCCCTAATATAAACAAAGCAAATATCCCTGTAGAGGCATAACAATGATTGGGGAAAGTGCTGTTAGCGAGCACCTATTGAAGCCGAAACAACGCCCGTGGGAGCGCTGCGTTAAGCGTCACGCACGGCCACCTTGTCTCCCCAGTTCTGATGTTTACTCATCGTGCACGGACCCAGGGTAAGCCCGAGGGCAGGGGGGCCCGTCCAGATATCACTCCTCGCCACCCATGTCAGCCGTGGCCAGGAATCGAACCCGGCTCGACGGCGCAGCTTACGCGAACCCACCGCCACACCACGCACCACACCACGCGTGCCCCAACGCGACACAAACACTTGCCACTACACAAACACGCGTGGCTCGCCAATACACAACGCACTACACAGTGAATATGTTGCAGGGGGGAGGGGGCAGTTGGAGAGCCAAGAGGCTCGTGTCATTTGTGAATGCTACGCAAAAGGTGCTTCTTGCCGAGTGGTTTCATTTTTGTCGCCGCGTATCGAGATGCACGGCGGCCTAGC